GTCACCGTCAGGCTGCTGGTCCTTGTGAAGTCGGGGTGCCCGCACCCTAGGGGTCCCACGAGGCTAAAGAGGAGGCAGGTGGCATTCGGAAGTTACAGGGCGAGAGGAGACACACAAGGGCCACCCCTGGATGTCAACCCCCACAATGAAACCACCCCCACCCCGTGCTCACCCACCCCATCCATGAGGGCACCCCCCCACCCATGAGGGCACTGGGTGCACTGCCCAAAGGCACTCCCCCTGAGCGGCTCCCAGGCCCTGCACTTGTTAGGCACCTGCACGCCCAGGCCAGCCTGAGGCTCAGGGTTCCCATGTTCCTGCTTCCTCTTTAGACCATAATGAGCTGCTCTGGATGATTCACAGCCACTTGCTAAGTCCGTCCCAGCCAGCTGCCTGCTGCTGGGCCATGCGTGCACACCCAGCTGTGTGTCTGTGCTGGGCACACGGCAATGTTTCTTTCCTTTTAAACATCTTTATCGATTTCAGAGAGGAAAAGAGAGAGAGAGAGAGAGAAACATCAATGATGAGAGAGAATCATGGACCGGCTGCCTCCTGTATGCCCCACATTGGGGATGGAGCCCGTAACCCGGGCCTATGACCTCACTAGGAATGCAACTGCGACACCTCCCGGTTCATAGGTCGAGGCTCAACCACTGAGCCATGCTGGCCGGGCGCACGGGAATATTTCTGTTAAGCCTCCGTCAGTCCTGCATGGGAGGGCGGCCCTCTAGGCCGGAGTCAGCTCCTTGATCCTGTTTGCTACTCGTCCTTCTCCGTGATCCTGACCCCTGGTCACTGCTGGCGCCCATGCCAGGCGTTCAGGCACAGTTTCTGTTCCTGCCTCACTGCGGGCTGTGCTGGGTGTGGCCTGGGTTCACGGTTGGGGAAATTGAGGCTTAAGGAGAAAGACGCTGCCTCTGACACTGCCTCTCAGCTGCCAGGCGGCCCGCGGGGAGCGCTCCTGCCGGCCCGGCAGGACCGCCGGTTAGACACCCGGGTGAGCCGTGCTGTGGCTCTTCCTGAGGCCGCAGCCTCACTGTGCTTCCTCGGCTCCGAGGCACCTGCAAAGTCAGGATGGAGCTGCCCCGGCCGCAGCCGGACGGGCTGTGGGAACAGATCCTCTTACACGGCCCCTGGAGACTGGGCCTCGGCTGGGCTCGAAGACGGAGTCTCTCTAATGTCACGTGAGGGACGGAGGCTGATGGCTCTCTCCCTGCCCAGGGTCCTGCCCGCCTCACAGGCCCCGGGTGACGCAGAGCACAGGCTCAGGGCTGCGTCTGGAGAAGCCGGTGCCGGACTGCGCCTCCCTCCTCCTCAGGCCAGGGAGCCTCACCGAGGCTGCGGGTGCGGCGCTGGCCGCCTCCTGGAGGCCATTGCTTCGGGGTGAGGGGAGGGGGGCGCGCGGAAGGAACTGGAGAGAGCCGTGGAAGGTTGGGAGAGAATCGCTTGGTGGAGGCCCCATTGATTTTTTCTTGGTATGAAACCAGGCCCCTAAATACTCAGCCCCGGAGTCTTCCAGTTCCAGCCAGTATTTGATGCTGGAGCGGGCCCTGGAGCAGCCCGCCCACTGGTCCCAGGCCTGGCTGCCCATCACAATCGTGGAGGAGCTTGATAAACCAGGTTTCTCGCCCGGCCAGTGTGGTTCAGTGGTTGAGCACTGGCCTGTGAACCAAGAGGTCGCCGGTTTGATTCCAGGTCAGGGCACATGCCCAGGTTGTAAGGTGGATCCCCAATGGGGGGCATGCAGGAGACAGGCGGTTCTCTGTCACCCTTGATGTTCCTGTCTCTCTTTCCCTCCACCTTGTTCTCTGAAATCATACAAATATATTTTAATTTTTTTTAAACGGTTACTTCTGTGTGATGCGAATTTCACCTCAATAACAATGGTCAACGATTGACCCAGTGCAGAACAAACACAGCAGTCCCGGGCCTGACTCCTCGGGTCTCCAGCTCCGAGCTTCCCGCTGACTCGAGGCCCCGATGTCTGCGGATAAATCCACTTTAAATATCACTGCGCTTCCTGTTCCTGCAGGAGCTTGGCTTTCTGGCACTCCGCCCCCCCGCCCCCATTCCAGTTGCATCACTTTCCTCCTAGACTGAAGGAGCGTTCCCTGCAGACGCTCCTGACTCTGTAAACACGGTGCCCCACGAGCCAAGACACACCAGCTTTCCGTGCCTCTTCTCCCTGTTTGCTCAGCTCTCCGTGGCATTTGCCGAGTCGGCCTTCCCGCTGCGAGCTGTCAGGTGGGGCGGACAGGATGATCTCCCACTCCTGGTCCTCCCCATCGTCCTCAGCCCTGGAGCCTGGTCCCTGATCCGCGGGCGCGGGCCGTGCCTTCCTCAGTGACCCCGGCTCCTGGGCCCGTCCCAGCTCCGCAGGGCCAGTCCGCTCCCCCCTTCTCCCTGTGCCCGTGGGCAGACAGGGAGGTTCGCTCCCCTCCACCCTCCTCCCATCCTCCTGTTTGGCAGCCTGGGACGATGGAGCTGGGGCTTTGGTGTTGCATTTTCTTGGTGGTGTTTTTGGCGGGGGGAGCGGGCAGAGAGGAAGAGGACAGCGTGCGCCTTCCCCTGCCCGAAGAGAACTTGGCATCGGGCTCACGCTTCTGTCAGCCTCCGAGCGCAGTCCCTGGGTTTGGACAGAGCCCGGGTGGCAGATGGGAGCGGCACTGGATGTGTGATGCTGGCTTCCTCCGCCCCCCCCCCCGCACCCTCCTCCCCCCGGCTCCCCTCACCTCCCTAAATAAGCACCGCTCTGTGGTGCGGCCCACCAGGCGGTGGACGGCCCACTCAGCGCCTCAGCGGGACGGCTCATGGGCGTTGAGAAGACGCATCGCTGAAATGAAATTCTCCATCTTCACGCCCTCCAACAGAAAGCTCCCGCAGAACCCGAGCCGATGGATCTCGGCTGAGCGCTGAGCTCTGCTCCTGCTGCTCCAGGCCAACCCCTCTGCTCGCCTCCGGGGCCAGCACCGGCTTTGCCAGGCCCTCCGCCTGTCTCCAGGCATTTGTCTGGGTGTTTGCCCCTCCTCCTCTTCTCCTCCTCCTCCAGCAGCTCCTCTTTCCTGATGTAGAGCTACTCCTGGAGCCTCAGGGGTGCTTCATTCACCAGGTTTACCAGCGCCCACAGCACTGTCTCCACCCTCAGGGCCTTATGCTCTCCAGGGATGCAGAATTCCCCTTTGGCTTTCCGCTGTTCTTCCAGCAGCCTGTGACCTGAATGGGCCCACTGTGGAGGGCTCCAAGCACCCCTGTGGCTCCGCCCACCCTGGGCTCCACCCACACCCATGGCCCCACCCCTATGGTTCCTCCCACTCTGGCTCCTCCCACCCATCGGCTCCACCCACTCGTGTGGCTCCACCCACTTCTGTGGCTCTACCCTCCTCTGAAGCTCCTCTCACCGCCCCACCCCCTTCTCTGATCTGCACACCAAGGAGCTCATTTCTTCGTTAAACACATCTCCTAAGCAGCGGGCTTAGATCTCCCTCCTCCATGTTCTGGAGCGTCACTGTCCACGGCCCTTCAACAGCTGGCAGCCCCTCTCCCGGCCGGCTTCTCCTGTGCGGGCCCTCGGGGCTCTGCTGCAGCTTAGGAAGGCGCCAAAGTGTTTTTTCAAAAACTTAGTTACATTTATTCTTCAGGGGCCTAAAATAACACTTGTCATAGCTATTCTTTGTGGCATTTCTTTGGAGTGAGATCCAACCACAGCGTGTGTGCGTGCACATACACATACACACATACACACATACACACAGAGATGGCCTGCCTAGCCTTCTGCCGAGTCCCTGTATTGACTGTCTCAGTGCCGAGCACCCTGGGGACCCAGCGGGATGATCAGTGTGCTCGGCCTGGCCATCCAAGGAGCAGAGGGCCACGGGAGCTTGGTGGCAGAATTTTGGAAGGTGACTTTACCATCACATTTGAATTGCTTAATTTAATTTTCACTTCGAATCAGTTGCTAAGCAACCGGGAAGACGGGACGAAATCAGCAAGGCTAACGTGGTCCTGGCGCGCGCTCGGTGACATGGCGTGTTTACGGAGATGCTGGTGGTAAACACGCTCGGTCCGACGGGCTGCTCTGTGTCGCCCGGGAACGCGGTTGGCGTGGGAGAGACAGCAAGGCTGTGGCTGGGCCGGTGATGCTGAAACTCGCGCTCCTGCCTTCGGGGACCCGCACGTCATCGCAGTGTTGGGCCGTGTCGGGCCCGTTGGCATGTCGGGGGGCTGCTGGGCCCGGCCCTCCCGCGGCCGTCTCGGAATGGAACCGCCGTGGCCTGTGAGCCCCGTGGCACCGTGGATCCGGCCTGCTGGTTCCCAAGACCCAGCTGAGCCCAGTCTGAGTTTGAATGTGTGCACGGCCGTCAGCGGGCGAAGTGTGCAGACACAGAGCGTGGACCGTTACACGCTTGGGGCCTTAGAGACGGCATGCCCAGTGTTTGGTGTATTGGTTCTAACATCCGGATGACTCTGCAGCCACCAGCCCGTTGTGCTGGCGTTGCTTCTCTGTGGGGCCGTGTGCAGGGTCACGCACCCAGGAGGTCCCACCTGGAAGGGTGCCACGGTGCGCTGAGGCCGGGGGACAGGAGACGACTGTCCCAGACCAAGTCCGGATAGTTTCTCTCTATTCCCTGAGAACCATCTCGTACTTACCCCATAAGAGCCTCTGTGTAAGCTACGCTCGCATTTTTCCGCATGGTCGCTGGAGGAGGGCGGGGCTTGCAGTGGAGGTGCCTGTGTGTGGACTGGCAGCGGGTTATGCGCCCTCTCCCCTTCCCAACAGAAGCTGGGGAGCCGCAGTGAGAGCCCCGGATTTGACCCTGAGCCCCAGCTCTGCCCCTCGGGCCTCAGTTTCCTCCCTGTAACCTCCCATGGAGGTGCTGAGAACTGAAGGTCAGAGGGGAGAGGTGATCAGGCCGGTGGAACAGCCTTCTGCGCGCCACGGGGTGGGTTTCCCAGGCGGGGCGCGCCGCCCTCAGTAACCGTCCTGATGTCTGTTCCCCCAGACTGCCTGTTCCGGCTCTGCCCCATGAACCGCTACTCGGCGCAGAAGCAGTTCTGGAAGGCGGCCAAGCCCGGCGGTAACAGCACCACGGACGCCGTGCTGCTCAACAAGCTGCACGTAGGTACCGGGCGGGCGGCGCGGGCGCGGGACCGTGAGCCAGCTCGGCGACCGTGCTCTGTGGTGAAGGGACGGGGCTGCCCCGAGGACCGCTGGGTCCTGGGCGCCAGCGTTCGTGTTCCAGGCCCCTCGAGTGAGCCGTCAGGGTGGAAACTCGCAGTCGTCCCGCTGCCCCTCACGGCAGTCCTGGCATTGCGCCTGCGGGTCCCTGCTGTTCCCTCGGCGCCTCCGAGGGCCTCCCTGTGCCCGGGGCTCCCTGTGCCCGGTTTTTCCTGTGCCCGGGGTTCCCTGTATCTGAGGTTCTCTGTGCCAGGGGTTCTCTGTGCCCGGGGTTCCCTTTATCTGAGGTTCCCTGTGCCCGGGGTTCCCTGTGCCCGGGGTTCCCTGTATCTGAGGTTCCCTGTGCCCGGGGTTCCCTGTATCTGAGGTTCCCTTTGCCCGGGGTTCCCTGTATCTGAGGTTCCCTGTGCCCGGGGTTCCCTGTATCTGAGGTTCCCTGTGCCCGGGGCTCCCTGTGCCCGGGGCTCCCTGTTCCCGGTTTTTCCTGTGCCCGGGGTTCCCTGTATCTGAGGTTCTCTGTGCCAGGGGTTCTCTGTGCCCGGGGTTCCCTTTATCTGAGGTTCCCTGTGCCCGGGGTTCCCTGTGCCCGGGGTTCCCTGTGCCGGCTCTTTCTGTGCTGAGACCGGAGCTGCCTTCTCCTTTCCAGTCTCAGTTCCGGTCTTGTCGTCACGCGGACTCTCCCTCCTCCCGCCTGGGGACGCCCTGTGGCCTCCTCAGTGCGGTGCCCTGCTTACCTCCCCCTCCATCCTTCACAAACGCTGGCCACTCATCCACTGAACGTTAAAACACTCCACCAGCACAGCATGGCGGGCCGGCTGCTTCCTGCCATTTCCCCGGGACCTGTGACGTCTCATCTGCGCCTCCTCCCAGGCTTCTTCCCTCGAGTGACCTGGGAAAACTGCACCGTTGCTAAAACGCAGCCCCAAAGGCCACCAGGAACTGGGAATTCCTTATTAAAAAAAAGAAGAAGCCCTTCTTCCTTATGCTGTCTGCGCTACGAGGAGGTTGGGAGCAAACCGACTCAGGGTCATGGATGCCGCTTCGGGGCGTGGTGCCGGCTGCGGGGTCCCTGCTTTCCCGCTCACTGGAACTCTCCTCTGGCTCCGACTCAGAGCAGTCACCCCAGGGCGGTATTTGGGGCAGCTGCTCGCCCTTGGGGAGGGAGGCCGGTCTCCAGGGGGCTTTCGTGTTTATTTTGGTCAACGGCCGTGCAGGACCCCGGTCCGAGGTCAGACTGTTTCAGCTGAACGCCATTTAAGGACTTCGCTGTCTAGACCCCTTGACTTCCTTCCCACTGGGGCATGGGGCCTGCCCACAGCTGTCTGAGGAGAATGACATCTAGTGGCCGGGCCCGTGCGTGTCGCCGGCATCACGGTCCCAGAGGCCCGAGCTCAGTGTCATGTTACACGGCAGGGCCGGTTGACCTTGAAGATGGTCCCGGCACGTTGAATACCGGTTTCTCTGCTTCTGGAGTAGAACAACAGGTGACGATGGAGTTGACCTTGGCGTTGCTCGGGAACACGGTGACGTCCGTGGTGGATTGACGGTGGTAGAGATTGCAGTGGAGGGTGTGAAGTCTCTCTTAGAAACCCAAAACAGCCCTCAGCCCGTCAGGTGAGGGGCAAGACCAGCACATCCACCTGTGTGCGATTTAAAAAACAAGTTTTTACTGATTTGAGAGAGAGGGAAAGGGAGAGGCGGGGAGAGAGAAACAGAGGAAAGAGAAACATAGATCAGCTGCGTCTGGCATCCCCCCTATTGGTGATTGACCCCGAAACCCAGGCATGTGCCCTGACCAGGAATCGAACCGTGACCTCCTGGTTCCTAGGTTGACGTTCAACCGCTGAGCCACATTAGCCGGGCAACATGCATGTGATTTTAATTAGCCAGGCCCCAGGGTGGAGGGCAGAATCAGGTTCCTGACAGTCTGTGGTCGGCAAACTGTGGCTCACGAGCGACATGTGGCTCTTTGGCCCCTTGAGTGTGGCTCTTCCACAAAATAACCACGGCCTGGGCGAGTCTGTTTTGAAGAAGTGGCGTTAGAAGTTTAAGTTTGAAAAACTTGGCTCTCAAGAGAAATTTCAGTTGTGGTCCTGTTGATATTTGGCTCTGGAACTAATGAGTTTGCCGACCACTGGTTAGGGCCATTCAGGGAAAAAAAGGAAAAAAGGTGGCCATGGCCTTGGGCACCTGCCCAAGTATCTTCTTAGGAGAAACCCCTGGACACGGAACTGCTCTGTCCTCAGGGGGCCCGTCAGCACCCTGGGTGATGGATGTGGCCAGTTTCCTTTGGAGAGAGAGAACCGGGGTGGCCGCTCCTTAGAAGCCTCCCGTGGGCCCCCCGAGCCAGATCTGCTCCTTCCCGCCGTGGCAGCGGCCTCGATCCATGGGCCCAGGTGTAGTTCGTACCGTATTTCCTTTGGGTCTGCCTTTGCCTCACCTGTTGGCCCTACAACTCCGGAGGGTGTTTTTGTCTGAAAGCCCTGTTTGACAGCGCTGTTTGTCCGTTGGACCTTCTAAAACTAGGGGTGGGGGGTAAGGGAGGAGGGCATAGGGCGGGGGGACACTCAAATTTGGTTTTGTGGAGGGAGTTTTCTCCGGATTGACGTGTGCGCTCAGCTGGACACAAGCAGCATTGTGTAAACGGCGCAATGGATCGGGCGTTTTCTCGGGGATCAGAGAGATCTGGTAGGCAAAGCGCCTTCTTAGAATGTCCGTGAGCTTCAGGCAGCGGTGCCTCCAGGGAGGCTTGGGCGTCGGTAAGCCTCTGGCGGTTCCGGGTGTGACAGCTGCCGTTCTAAGAGAAGTTTGTCGCTGTCCACCCTCCTATTGGTCCTACCATCTGGTCTGACTTGACCTCTGGTTTGTCTGCACAGACACCCTCAGACGTTGCTGTGTTTAGTGCGTCTTTAACACAGAAACGATGGCGGCGGGAGGACGCACCGGCATTTGTTTTAGCGATGCCAGGGGCTGTTGAGTTGGCATTTTCGTACCTTGTCTACACGTGGGCGGGGACTTAACGTTTTAGGTTAGTGACTCTTCAGCCGGCCCCTGGCCATTCCTGAGAGCCAGAGGACTCCGTGCGAACGGTCCTCGTCCGGCCCTTCTCCCATTTATGCCCGAACAGCAGCCCCGCATGGTCCGCTCAGGTGATGTTTGCAGCAGAGGAGGACTGTATCGTTGGTTGGACATTTTAAAAGAAATATTTTTTTATTTGACTTCAGAGAGGAAAGGAGAGGGAGGGAGAGATAAACTTCAGCGATGAGAGAGAATCAGTGATTGGCTGCCTCCTGCACGCCCCCTACTGGGGTTGAGCCTGCAACCTGGGCATGTGCCTTGAATCGAACCCTGACCTCTTGGTTCCTACATCTGTGCTCAACCACTGAGTCACACCGGTGGTCATACTTTTATTTTACCAAATCTGTTCGTTTTCTCCCCTTCGACGTTTTCCCTGGAATCTCCCATTTCTAAGAGCTGAAAGCTGCCTCGCCGAGGAACCAGTGACTTTCTACAGAGTCTAACCAGGGGTCCTCAAACTTTTTAAAGTGGGGGCCAGATCACGGTCCCTCAGAGAGCTGGAGGGCCGGACTATATGAACTACTAATTCCTACTGTAACACCTCGGCTGCGCTCACTGCCCAAAAAACCTGGCGGGCCGGATCAGACTCCTCTGCGGGCCGCATGTGGCCCGGGGGCCGTAGTTTGAAGACGCCTGGAAGCCCTCCTCCCGTGGGCTCCGTTCCGGCTCCTGTTTGGAGAGCCCTCTTGGGGTGCAGCTCTGCAGAAAACGGGGCGGAGGGGGGGAGGCGAGGGGGTGAAGGAGGGTGTGAGAGGAGGGGCCATTCCCGGTGAGCCATGGGCCCGCTGGGTCTGTCCTTCCATCACCGGCACGGCAGGCGGCTGGAGGAGGCTCTGACTAGCTGCGGGCAGATGTGGGGAGCACAGGCCTGCACTCACCGCAGTCCTCGCCTCCTGGAGGTTCTCAGTGGGCAGGATGCCTCCCGCAGCTGATTCTCCCCAAGGCCCTCCCTCCCCACAAACCCCTGCGGCGGGTGGAGGCGGGGCAGGCGCCGCGGGAGCAACTGGCCACCCATTCCCCGTCTCCTCCGTGAGCCGCGCTGAGCGTGAGCGACCAGGTGAGGGGAAGGGCTGACGTGCTGAACGCTGACTGTGCGTCTGCTTCTTCTCGAACCGTCACCCTGCCCTGAGCGGCTGCGGCGCCCCCATTTCGTGGAGGAGAATACCGAGCGAGGCTTGGGGAGGTCAGGTGCCCTGGCCGAGGTGTAGGTGGTCTGTGGGAGCAGGGAGCCGGGGGGGAGGGGGGGGGGCGCTGGAGTGACGGGCCCCATTGCCCGGAGGAGCCGGGCTGGAGCGTGGTTCTGAAATGCTCGCAGGACGCGGCGTCATGCAGGTGAAGGCAGGAAAGGGGTCCATTGAGGTTGGTGGCCCTGGGAGACTGTTCCGGAAGCTCCCTTCAACCTGACGGACTTCCCTGACCGGCCGAGTTTGTGCGAGTACTCTCTCCCAGCCTCGAGCGTGGCAGGGTAAATCTGGACTTAACCCACATGTGCCTTGGGGATTATTTCTGCTACTTAGTAGATGTGTGACTTTAAAAAAGGAACTTCCTAAGCAAAATTTCAGATATGCACACAAGTAGAGAAAATAGTAGACAAATCCCCTTTAATGCCATCACCCAGCTGCCTGTGCCTCGGCGGCCGCATGCTCTCATCTCTGGTCTGTTTCTGCTTTTTCTAAAATTGGGATACGGATCTTGTCCTCGAGGGAGTACCATGAAGACGAAATAAATGATAATTAGTGTCCAGTGATAATAGCTGGTGCTCATGAATGCTGCAGGGAAGACACTGATTCCTGAGGGTGTAGGTTCTGTGTGTTTTTAAAAAAATAAATTTTATTGAAAAAAAATTTTTTTTTACAGAGGAAGGGAGAGGGTGAGAGAGTTAGAAACATCGATGAGAGAGAAACATAGGTCAGCTGCCTCCTGCACACCTCCTACTGGGGATGTGCCTGCAACCAAAGTACATGCCCTTGACCGGATCGAACCTGGGAACCTTCAGGCCTCAGGCTGACGCTCTATCCACTGAGCCACCCTGGTCAGGGCTAGGTTCTGTTTACCCTCATTTTTCAAAAGGGGAACGGAGGCTCCCACCTGCTCAGTAACACAGTCCTGGCCACAAAACCAGAGCCAGCACCTAGACGCAGCTTTATTTTAGCCCTGAGCCTTCAGAGGACCTTGACAGACCAGAAAAGGGCTTTGTAAATGCTCTTTCCCCTCCCCTGCTTTCCTTAAAGGCCCATAAGCTCAAGGAAAGAGAAACACATCAGCCTGTGACCTGAGCTGGGCCTAAGCTGACCCGCCCATGAACCCCTTAACGAGAAAGACGCGCTTTGGAAAAGGCGCCGAGGCTGAGAGCAGCGGCCGAGCTGGCGCCGGGCCTTCCCCGGGCTCAGCCGCAGGGGAGCTGGGGGCCTGCCTGTGTCTGCAGTTCTCAGGCGGGTGGGCCGGCGACGTTGGCCCTGTGTCCCTCGGAGAGACGGCCGGCTGCCTCTGAGGCCGTCTTCCTTCTCCCCTGCAGCACGCGGCCGACCTGGAGAAGAAGCAGAACGAGACGGAGAACAGGAAGCTGCTGGGGACCGTCATCCAGTACGGCAACGTGATCCAGGTGGGTCTGCGCCCTTCCCGGGCCCGGGCACCGCGGTGCCTGTGCAGGCCGACAGGTCCCGGCTGGACATGGCGTTCAGGGGGTCCTCCCTTGGCGGAGCACCCACGTCTCCCCGTGGCTGGTCGGGTGAGGTCCTCGCAGGACCCTGTGGGAACGCCCGCCCGCCGGCCGCTCGGTCTGTGTACCCCGCGGTGCTGAGAAGTGCCGATTTGGTGAGATTGGCTTCCTGTGACTCTCCCTCTTGGTTTGAGACCAGGCCCAGAGGCGGCGGCGGGAACATGCAGTGCCTCCAGGGGGCGCACTTGCGGGCAGGCCTCGGAGGTTTACCTGTTCAGCTCCTGCACCTTTAGGTCTTAGGTCTGACCTGGGGAGAAGCCCAGCCTGGGAAGCAGCACGTGGGCGGGAGGGGAGGGAAAGGAAAGGGGTGCTCGTGTCTGGGCCTCTCCCGGCAGGAGAGAGAGAGAGAGAGAGAGAGAGAGAGAGAGGGAGGGGAGGCGGAGTCAACTGTGGCCTCCTCACCTGTCCAGCGACCTCTGGCCCCATGGAGGGTCCACACAGGGACCAGTGCTTGGGAATGGCACCCAGGGGTCGTCTTGCTCCATCAGCTTCCTTTTCGGAAGATGTCGTTCCTTCATTGACGTGAGCTCCCCTGGTCACGGAGGCGTGCCCTCTCCCTCCCCCCCCCGCCTCGCTCACACCTGCTCCGTGTTGAAGTGGGCGCTGCTATCAGGGCCGTGACAGGTGAAAGCAGCTTCCGGGTTCTGGCTGAGGGCCAGGTCCGGCCAGACCCACCTGCCGCCCCTCCAGGCTTACCCAGGGAGAGCCGGGGCCTGCTTTAGTTCTGGGCCGGGCCAGGCCTTGGAGCTCCGGGCTGGCTCCCGGGTCAGACGGGAGGGTGTGGCCTGAACCGAAGATGAGCGAGGGCGCAGGGGCTGAGGTCGTAGCCCTTAAGGACGTGCATCCCAGGTGTTCCCACTGAGAACACCCGTCTGCTGCCTGGCAAACTGGGAGCAGTGGCCCCTGCCTCCCGGGGTCACCGGGAAGTTCTCTGTAGAGGAAGCTCTGAACGCACATGGGAGTCAGCCCCTGGACAGGTGTGTGTGGGGTCAGGGGCCACCCACCAGGTAATAGTGAGGCCAGGAGGGCATGGCCTCCTCCTTGTCCGTCATGGCCAGGGGATGGCAGGGACCTGTCCATCAGACGAGTTCCTTCTGCACCCCCGCAGCCCGGCAGGAGATTTGTGGACCCAGGCGGACTGTTCTAGAAATGGTCTCATGACAAACGAAAGGGGGTCCGGGCAGTGGGCAGGGGAGGCCCCAGGCTGGCCTGACCACGCCTCAGGGGTGGGCAGTCGCCGCCTCCCTTCCTCTGCTCCTAGCCCATCGGGAAGCGGCGGCCAGCGCTTCTGGTCTGGACCTGCTGCGAGGCAGGCTGGTTCTGGTCCTGGCTTTCCTCTCCTCTCACACGCTCCTTCCCAAGAAGCAAGTGCTCGGAGCCCCCGGGGACATTGTGGTGGCCAGTGTTTCCCCATGCAGGGACCGGCCCCTGGCGGGGTCGCCTGTGCATTGCTCAGCCGTGTCCTTCCTCCGCTCCCCTTGGTGTCAGACTGCGGCTCCTGGGTCCCAGGCTCAGGGCCACGCCCCTTCTGCTCGCCCAGGCTGGGTGGCGGCCTCGCTGAGCACCTCCAGCCTTGCCCAGGGCTCTGGGGGACAAGGCAGTCTTCCTCCTGGCTCCGCTGCTTGGTCTCCTAAGCGTTCCCGCCTCGGGCACTCTGCGGTTCCCACCTCGCAGCGTGCGGGGTGGCGGGTGCTTGATCCATGTTTTATGAGCGGGAGGAGTGGCAGAGTCAGAGGCTCGCCGACAGCCCCCTGTTCCCGGCGGTTTCAGCTCCTGCACCTGAAAAGTAACAAGTACCTGACGGTGAACAAGCGGCTCCCAGCGCTGCTGGAGAAGAATGCCATGCGGGTGACGCTGGACGAGGCGGGCAACGAGGGCTCCTGGTTCTACATCCAGCCCTTCTACAAGCTGCGCTCCATCGGGGACAGTGTGAGTGCACGCTGGCCCCCAAGCCCAGCCTTTCCCTGGAACCCCAGACTCTGTCACAGCAGGCCAGGCTGCGCAAGCGATAGCGTTAACCCTCCCAGGAAAGGGTGCCTTCCTCCCTGGGCGCCCAGCCTCCGGCCACGGACTCCGGGGAGCCCGGGTGACGCAGGGACTGGGCGTTCCCTTATAGCAGCGGTTCTCCACCTTCCCAAGGCCGTGACCCTTTAAAACAGCTCCTCAAGCTGTGGTGACCCCCAACCATAACATTATTTTCGTTGCTACTTCATAACTGTGATTTTGCTACTGTTATGAGTTGTAATGTAAATAAACAACTGTTCTCCAGTGGTTTTAGGCCACCCTGCTAGTGGTTCTTGACCTAAGACCATCGGAAAACACGGGCATTTACATTACGACTCATCGCAGTAGCAAAATGACAGTTATGAAGTAGCAACGAAAATAATGTTACGGTTGGGGGTCACCACCACATGAGGAGCTGTGTGAAAGGGCCGGGCATTGGGAAGGTTGAGAGCCGCTGATGCAGTGGCTCGTGGTGTGATTTTAGGAAGTGGGATAGAATGGGAAGGCCCTGTGGTGAGGATAAGCACTGATAGGGACACCTGGTGTCCCAGGTAAGTGTAGGAGTCTGTGTCACATCAGTGCACACGGACACACACAACATGCACTGAAGTGCGTGTGCTGGTCTTCATGGAAACGGGCCTCTTTGTGTGGCTTGTGCTCAGAAGAGCATGGGTGTCACGGCTCCCCACGCAGACGACGGCCCTGCTCTTTCAGAGACAGGCCTTCCACTGATGCCCCCCCCCTCAACGCGATGGCGCTGCCACCTCGGGAAAGGGCGGGCACTCAGCGGGGGCGTCCACTGCTCGGGCACCAGGCGGCCTGCCCTGCGAAGGGTTCGGCTGTGCCGGCCAGGACATGCCCCCTCCGGGGCGGGCTGAGGACACTCCCGACCGGTTTTGTGAAAAGCTCACGGTGCCTTCTCTCCCAGGTGGTCATAGGCGACAAGGTGGTGCTGAACCCGGTCAACGCGGGCCAGCCCCTGCACGCCAGCAGCCACCAGCTGGTGGACAACCCCGGCTGCAACGAGGTGAGACGGGAGGCCGTGGTACGGCCTGCGGGGAGGGGGAGGGGGAGGGAGCTGCAGGAGCAGGCCCAGGCCACAGCATGCCTGTGCTGGCAGCAGTGACATGGGCACGTGTGGAAACCGAGGCCCCGGTCAGGGTCGCCTGGAGGCTGTGCCAGGCTGTGCATGGGTTTGGGTGGGGCTGAGCGTCACCCCTGGGCACAGGGGACGGTGCCTTAAGTCATTGGGGACCGGTTCCCGGGGGTTAAGCCATAGACGGGACCCCTGACTGGGTTTGCTGGCCAAAGGGGCACCGTTTTCTGGTTCGTCGCCTTCAAGAGCGAGCCCTGTGCTGATTTCTCAGAGGGACGCGGGGCGAGGCATGCTTCTGGCTGCGCCTCTCCTAAGCCTCCTGACGGGCAGGTACGGACCCAGGACCGGGAGATGGTGACATAAATCATTGTCTAATGAGGAGTCAGATGTGGGTTCAAGTCCCAAGTCTGCCCCCAGCTCCGTGGCTGCGGGTCCGTCACCTGGGCTCCCGGGCCTCAGTGTTCCTGTCTCTGAAATGGGCACAGTGGTCACTCCTGGGTTGAGGGCATTTTCGAGGGTGTTTCCGGTGCCTGCAGAGCCACGGTGTGCCCACAGCGCCGGCGCTGACGTTTCCGTGTCGCTGGCATTTCGGTGTAGACGGCGATGCTGCCTTACCTGGCAGGCCGTCCCCCTTTGTACGCGCCTGTTTCTGGAGGAAAGGATGCTGTGGTTCCCGTGGAGCGGATGCCGTGACTGGTTCACGCGGGCCCTTGGCTGCCAACTGCTCCTGCCCCGCCTCGATCTTAGGGTGTCCCCTCGGGGCGGGGGCTGAGAGTGGCGTGAACTGGAACTGCTTCTCTTCCAGGTCAATTCTGTCAACTGCAACACCAGCTGGAAGGTCGTGCTGTTCATGAAGTGGAGCGACAACAAGGAGGACATCCTCAAGGGGGTGCGCGTCAGGCACACGGCGGGAGGTGGGGGGAGGACACGGGGGGTGCGCGTCAGGCACACGGCGGGAGGTGGGGGGAGGACACGGGGGGTGCGCGTCAGGCACACGGCGGGAGGTGGGGGGAGGACACGGGGGGTGCGCGTCAGGCACACGGCGGGAGGGGGGGGGAGGACACGGGGGGTGTGCGTCAGGCACACGGCGGGAGGGGCGGGGAGGACACGGGAGGTGCGCGTCAGGCGCATGGCGGGAGGTGGGGGGAGGACACGGGGTGCGCGTCAGGCACACGGCGGGAGGTGGGGGGAGGACATGGGGGGGTGAGCGTCAGGGCACACGGGGAGGTGTGGAGAGGACACGGAGTGAGCATGAGGACATATGGGGGGTGAGCATGAGGACATTTGCGGGGGGAGCGTGAGGACACGTGGAGGGGGAGGGGAGGCTGGGCGGCGCTCCTGGTGCAGTAGGTCCGGTGAAGGTCACGCCCCCTCCCATGTGGGCTGCAGGGCGACGTGGTGCGGCTGTTCCACGCGGAGCAGGAGAAGTTCCTCACCTGCGACGAGCACCGGAAGCAGCAGCACGTCTTCCTGCGGACCACCGGCCGGCAGTCGGCCACGTCGGCCACCAGCTCCAAAGCCCTGTGGGAGGTGGAGGTGAGGGGGGACGGGACGGGGACGGGACGTGGGGTGGGTAAGCTTGTCCTAGAGCTGGTGGTGGAAGGCCGGGTGGCATTGTAGCCAGTCAGTGTCTCGGCCGCACTGTGATTTGAGTGCCACGTCCTGGCGTGGCCGACCCTTCTCGCACACTGACCGCCTCCCCCTCCTCCAGGTGGTGCAGCACGACCCGTGCCGGGGAGGCGCCGGGTACTGGAACAGCCTCTTCCGGTTCAAGCACCTGGCCACCGGGCACTACCTGGCCGCGGAGGTGAGTGGCCGCCGGGGCTTCGTCTTCCGGGCGGACCAGCCCGTCCTCCCGCACCCGGGCAGGGCAGGGCAGGGCAGGCAGCCACCTCGCTCCTCATCCCACTTCTGTTTCCGTCGGCCTCCTTTCCCTGCGACCAGGCGAGAGAAGGAGCGTGACGGTGGTTACAGGCCTAGGACTTCACGCCAATTTCCACCACGATGTGGGGAGAACCTGAGCCAGGGGGCAGTGCCGTCCTGGGGGCGTGACGGACGGTGTGGTGCCGGCCGTGATAATGCTGCGTTGGACATTTAACAGCTGCTACAAGAGTAGATTAAAACAACAACAACAACAAAAAACACTAGTCTGGGTGTAGGACTGTTGTTCCGTTTTGCTCATTCACACTGCTCTCCCACATCTCCCCACCCCCTCCCCGCTCCTGAGGGGCATGGCCAGGCACACTGCGGTGACGCAGGCATGGGAAGCCGGCAGCATTGAGACACGGTTGGCTCCGGGGGCGCCTGGTTCTCGGGCCGTCTGGGGCGTAGACAGGCCCTCACCTTCTGCTGACAAGAAGCCAGCGTCGGAGAAGCGGCGGGGAGGGTTTGAGGAAAGGCAGCTTGTGTCCTGATGTTCGCGCCACGCTGAGGAGCCTCCCTCCTCCCGGGCGAGAGATGCCGAGTTCCCCTCTGATCTGCCCGACGTGTGGGGTGCATGTTCGCCTCAGGTCCCAGGCGTACAGCGGACGACACCCCCTGCCCGGGGCCGGCGGGGGGGCTGGCCCACAGCTGGCCCGAACCTCGGGCACCCCGCCCCCTGGGAGCCGGACAGGCGCACGAGCTGGGGGCTTTGAAACGTGCGAGCACCGAGGTTCAGACCAAATTAACACGGGGCCTCGGGGCCGCTTACCGACTCGGCTGAGGTCGGCGCGGCTCCCGTGCCTCCCGCGGCCCCAGGCGTCTTATTTCTCAGCACAGTGAGCGGCCAGCCGGGCCGCCGGGGTCTCGGGCCTCTCCCGGCTGTTCTGCTAGTGAGCTCGGGCTCTGCGGTCCACACCCGAGTGCCGGCCGGCGGTGGCGGGAGGTTGTCCCTGCGTGGCATGCACCTGTGGCGTGTTGTGCCCCCGTGGCGTGTTGTGCTCCTGTGACGTGGCGTGCTCCTGTGACGTGTGTCGTTGTGGCATGCTGGTTTCGTGGACCGAGGGAAGGGCCGCGTCCTCCGCTGCAGAGCGACGCCCGCAGGCCTTGGTGTCTCCCGCGAGAGGGGCCGAGCCCGTGAGAAGCCGGCGGGTGTTTTAATTCCCGATGATTCTTTCCCATCAGGTAGACCCTGACTTTGAGGAAGAATGCCTGGAGTTTCAGCCCCCAGTAAGTATGGGCGAGGCCGCGTGTCCTGCCCCCGAGGAAGGAACTGTCCCTGTGGTCGCCGGGGGCTGGGGACAGGGAATCCTCCCGCTGCCAACAAGGAGCGTCTTGTCAGTGCTCCCCTGGAGGGCGGTCATGCCTCCTGTGTCCTGATTGGTTCACGAGACTGTCCGTCACGATGCTCTTGGTGTGCTTCCTCAGAGGGCCTCCCCTCAGAGTCGGGAAGATTGACGGCTCTGAGAAGGCTGGAGGGGTGACGCCCTGCAGAAGGCGGCCTTTTACAAACAAACGTCCTGTTGCTCTTAACCTTGACTTGTCACTCATTGAGCATTTCCAATGAGTGGGCGGGGTGGGCAGGCTCACTTATTCTGTGGCGTTTAACACGCTGTCCGAGCCGACGCCCCTGGTCCTGCCGCGGGTTCCTGCTCCTGCAGCGTCAGGAGTGGACGTGAGAACGTGGGTAGGAATCTCGATGTCACCAGCTCTTTCTCTGGAGGCAGCTTTGCCGGTAGGTCCTGGTGTGCATTTCTGGCCTCTGTGCTGCCATCGAGGGGGCAGCGTATGGTCCCCGGAGGTTACTGGGTGTCTGGAGTCTGTGACAGAGAGCAAGGCGGTGGCAGTGTTTAGGTAGCGGGCCCGCGCTCGGACGCTGTGTGCTGTGTGACTCGGGCCCAGCTGCTTTCCCTCTCTGAGCCTCCCCTCCCTCGCCTACAGCTGTGGAGCAGGTTGTGCAGTGGAGGGCCTGGGGGAGCTCTCAGGAAGCGGCGCTTTGTGCGTTATCGGATCGTTAGCATCGCAGTGCGCCTGTCCTCCAGTCCTGCTGGGTGGCTCGGCCCGGGCGGAGGCGGTAGGGCGGCCCTCGGGGTCTGCGTGTGGCAGATGAGGACGCAGACAGCGGTCCCAGCGGACCCGGCTCGTCCCGCGTCTCCGGTCCTCCCAGCGGGCAGGCCTCTCCCCTCTGCCTTGCTCCCCAGGTGGCGGGGGCAGTGGGCTCGCTCTGCACCGTGCGGCCCAGGTGTTGGCGTTGGCAGGATGGGCCCCTCCCCACTCTCTGGGTGTGGAAACAGGGTCACGGCAGAGAGGAAGCCTCGAGTTCTGCTCCCGGCCCTGTTTTTCCCACACCGGCCTCAGGCCTGTGCTTAGCCTGGGACCTGCCTCTGCTTTGTCACTTGCTCTTGACCTTCTACTTGCGGGGGGCACAGGCTTGATGACGGGGAGAAAAAGGACCACTGAGGCTGGCTGGCCTTCTGCAGTGTGTCAGGGGGCGACCGCTGACCACACACAGAGAACTGGGGGATGGGGGAGGGAGTGTCTAGCCCCTCAGGGCTTTCGCCATTGGCCATCGGCCTTTACTGGCCACTTTCTTCCGTCCTGGCCAGACCCCAGCGGAGCCAGAGGCCCTCCCCGCTTGGCTGTGGGTGGCCCTCGTGGTTGACAGCAAATGGCCCTTCTCTCCAGGGCTCGCTGACCCTCAGGGGTGGGTCTTGGCCTCCCTCCTTGGGATCACGACTTACCAACACTCAGGCCCAGGTTTCTTTTTAAAAAACATATATTTTTATTGACTCAGAGGGGAAGGGATGGGGAGGGAGAGAGAAACATCAATGATGAGAAAATCCTGCACACCCCCACTGGGGTTGGAGCCCGCAACCCGGGCCTGTGCCCTGACCGGGAATCGAACCGTGACCTCCTGGAACATAGACCGATGCTCATCCCCTGAGCCATGCCGGCCGGGCAGGGTCCAGGTGTCTTTACTTCCTTTTCCCTCCTGTCTCTGCGAGGCAGTCTCATGTGGGTCCCACCGGGGCCTGTCACCAGCCCCCAGGACGCGTTCCTTAAGCTGCCGCTCCGCCGGCTGCTGGTGCCGGATGGGCCTGCCCGCAGACAGGGCGGCCGTGACCCTGTGGTCCAGATATCTCCGCTGCAACCCCGGCGGGACAGCGAGGCTGTTCTCCCGTGGATGTTGTCGCCCGTCTTGCGTGACGGCCGTGACGCCGCGCCTTTCCTGCCGTGGTCACGCGTGCCCGGCGGCTCCCCGCCTGGGGCCCGGGCGCTCTGTGACCCCGGCCTCCCCCCCAGGCGGACCCTGACCAGGACGCGTCCCGCAGCCGGCTCCGCAACGCCCAGGAGAAGATGGTGTACTCACTGGTGTCCGTGCCCGAGGGCAACGACATCTCCTCCATCTTCGAGCTGGACCCCACCACCCTCCGCGGCGGCGACAGCCTGGTCCCCAGGTATGGCTCCGGGCCGTCCCTGTGGCCAGCGGGGGGGGGGGGGGGGTCTCGGAGTCTCTCTGGAAGGTTCCGGACGGGGGCTGGTGAAGGACTGCTCCCCCTGCCCGTTGAATGGCTGCTGAATTGTTTTTTATTATTTTTATTTATTTTTGCTCATCATTTCACGTTCTTGGGGGTTGGACAGGAAGTGCTGTTTTAGGTTGACAGGCCAGACCGGAAGGTCAGGTGGCTCAGCATCTCCTGTCCTCTCTTCCTCCTCCCAAAGCTGAGAGGCCTCCTGGTGAACTGAGTAAAACACTTAAAGAAATCCTGGAAGGGGGTTATTTGAAGCTCGCTGAGGGCAAAGTAAATTCTACGTAGAAGTCAGACCAGTCTGGGGTCACCTGACTCAGTGGAGCCCAGCGCTGTTGCATCAGGGGTGCTCGGGCCTGGGTATTTCAATGGACTGTGCTCTGGCCGGGCTGCGGAGAGCCTCACTGTCCCTGCCCCGCCCTCTTCCCCCCTCCTCACCCACCCAGGAACTCCTACGTGCGGCTGCGCCACCTGTGCACCAACACCTGGGTCCACAGCACCAACATCCCCATCGACAAGGAGGAGGAGAAGCCCGTGATGCTGAAGGCAAGTCCCAGCCCCCAAACCCTGCTCCTTCTCCCCCTCCCGCTGCCCGGGTGCCTCGGGGAGGAAGGGACTTAGATTCTGCTGGTCACAGTAGCCTGATCACAGGCAGCTGGGGGCATGGTCAAGGCAGCCTGGGGCGTGGTCACTGGCAGCCCAGAGTGTGATGACAGCTCTCTGAGGGGCTGGCTGGAGCGAGCCCGGGGCTTCTGAAATAACCAGAAGCTTTCCTTCCCTCCCATGGGCTCTGCCCTGAGGTCAAGGTTGGTCGGATTTCATTACATCAGATCCCGGCTGACTCTCCCCAGCCTTGCTTATTTCTTTACTAGAGGCCCAGTGCACAGAATCTGGGGTCCCTAGCGGCTGCCAGCTGCCATCTGGGGCCTTCTTTCATTCCGCATCGTCCCCTGGTGGTCAGCGCATTCATAATGAGCAGTCAAACTCCGAGGGGACATTTGCATGTTAGGCTTTTATATATAGATTCCTGTGAATGTAACTATGCAGGTTTATTTCTAGAAGGACCTCCCATCCTCTTTACTGACTCTCCCTGAAGCCCACCTCTCCCTCCGTGCCTTCTCCAGAACCACAGAGAAGAAATGTACAAACATAGGGGTTTTCTTGTTAAAATTGGAATGCCACCCGTGTCATTTTTGGGGAGCATTCTTGGCATGTTTCTTCTACTTTTATGAAAACGTTTGGGGATGTAGAAAAGTGGGGAGAGCGGTGCCGTGCCCAACCCTGTGACGCTGTGACATGGAGCCACGAGTGAGCGTTTGGCCCACTTGCCTTTCCTGCGACCTTCTAACCAGTGTTGGGTCCGGTCTCCTGTGCTCTCTGCAGCCCATGAAGCTGCCCGTGAGGGGGCTCTTTTCTGCCTCCCTGGCCCCCAAGCACCCGTCTCCAGGGTAACGATGGAGCGACCTGGGTCCTTTGTTCGGGTGTTTCCCGTCTCGCTGGGTGTCTGCGGGGCAGCTCCCGCTTTGCGGGCTGCCGTGTCCCGTGACGCGGTGTGTGATGTCGCCTCTGAGGGGTCTCGCCCCGAGGCCGCCACGGAGACCCCGTGTGTTGCAGATCGGCACCTCGCCCGTGAAGGAGGACAAGGAGGCGTTCGCCATCGTGCCGGTGTCCCCGGCCGAGGTCCGGGACCTGGACTTCGCCAACGACGCCAGCAAGGTGCTGGGCTCCATCGCGGGGAAGCTGGAGAAAGGCACCATCACCCAGAACGAGAGGAGGTGAGGCTCCCCCGGGCAGGGCCGCCTCGGCCTCCCGCCCTCACAGGTCCCTTGGGAGAGAGCGCGTATGATCTTATCAATTTTAGAGAGAAAAGGAGAGGGAGAGAGATAGGAACACCAGTGGTGAGAGAGAACCATGGATCGGCTGCCTCCTGCACACCCTACACTGGGGATGGAGCCTGCACCCTGGGCCTGTGCCCTGACCGGGAATCGAACCGGGGACGTCCTGGTTCGTAGGTCAGTGCTCAACCACATAGATCAGTGCTCTTTTTAAAACAATATTTTTTATTAGTTTTTTACGGAGAGGAAGAGAGAGGGACAGAGAGTTAGAAACATCGATGAGAGAGAAACATCGATCAGCTGCCTTCTGCACATCTCCTACTGGGGATGTGCCCACAACCAACATACATGCCCTTGACTGGAATTGAACCTGGGACCCTTCAGTCTACAGGTCAACACTCTATCCACTGAGCCAAACTGGTTAGGGCAAGACCCTCTCTTTCTGTCTCCGCCTCCATCTTGGGAAACATCGGGGCTTGAGGTTCCTCTGAGAGAGTCTGAGGGCTCTGTGCCACTCCGTCAGTGACTGGCCTCGTGGTCAGTCCCGAGGACGCCGGGAGGGGTCTGCGTCTGTGGGCTCGTCCTCAGCCTGGCCCTCACGGCAGCGCCCACCGGTTTGCTGGCCACCCCGCCCCTCCCCCGCTGACGGCCCCCTGCCCCCAGGTCGGTGACCAAGCTGCTGGAAGACCTGGTGTACTTCGTCACCGGGGGCACCAACTCCGGCCAGGACGTGCTGGAGGTGGTCTTCTCCAAGCCCAACCGCGAGCGGCAGAAGCTGATGCGGGAGCAGAACATCCTCAAGCAGGTGGGTGGGCCGCGGCCGCGGCCGGAGCTGGTGGGGTGGGGGGCCTGGGAGGGACAGAGGCGGCCCCCCCTTGGGAAGTCCCACCAACAGTGATGTCAGAGAGACGGAGACATCCAATCCGCTGCCTCTGCGGGGCTGGGGGTCGGCCTGTAGCCCAGGGATGTGCCCTTGACCGGGAGCCCTGAGAGCGACACGGCAGTGTGCAGGCTGGTGCCCTAACCACTGGGCGACACCGGCCAGGGTGGAGTGTCCTGTTTTACCGATGAGGAAAGCAGGTCTCCTCGATGGGCGCCGCCGGGAAGGTGGGCGGGGTGTGACCTCAGCCTAGACTCCCCATGCCCCAGGCCATCCTGCTGACCACGCCCTAATGCCGCACTTCCCAGGGCTGGAGGTCCGAGGGTCCGGGCGGGCTGGACTCGGTGGGTCCTGGCCCCTGGGTGGAGGGACGCAGTGTCCAGCCGTGGCTGCTTGTGGACAGTCTTCCAGTGTCGTCCAGCAGACCTGGCGCTCCCTTGGTTCCCGACAGGCGGCTGGCTGACCCCAGACGGTGGCAGTGTTTGCCGGCTGGCTGACACCAGGTGACAGCGGTGTGTGCTTTCTTCTTGCCCCCAGATCTTCAAGCTGCTGCAGGCCCCGTTCACGGACTGCGGGGACGGCCCGATGCTGCGGCTGGAGGAGCTGGGCGACCAGCGGCACGCCCCGTTCCGGCATATCTGCCGGCTCTGCTACCGCGTCCTCCGGCACTCGCAGCAGGACTACAGGAAGAACCAGGTGGGCGCGGGCCCGCTCATCCCCTCCAGTCGGGTAAAAGCAGAGCGGAAACAGCTCCCGAGCTTTTAGAGAAACAAGTCAGGACACTGACGTTCGCGCCGTGGCCCGGAGAAGAGGCCCTTGGGGCGCGGGCGTTTGGTGAACCCCCCTGTGGGGCAGGCTGAGGGAAAGCAGGCCATCCTGGGGCAGGCGTCCCCGTGCGGGATGCTGTGGCCGGTGCTCTCGGCTCCCCCGTGTCCCACTGAGCCCCTCCCTCCTAGGAGTACATCGCCAAGCAGTTCGGCTTCATGCAGAAGCAGATCGGCTACGACGTGCTGGCCGAGGACACCATCACCGCGCTGCTGCACAACAACCGCAAGCTGCTGGAGAAGCACATCACGGCCGCCGAGATCGACACCTTCGTCAGCCTCGTGCGCAAGAACCGGGAGCCCAGGTGAGGGCGCGGGCGCGTGGCGGGGAGTGTGGTCCCCGCGGGGTCCCAGAGCCGTGTCTGGCTGCCTTCCATCCGGGCAGGGCCCAGCGGACCCGCTGCATGGTGTGGAGAACGTGGTCCTGGGAGGAGAGAGCCTGGGCAGCCAGCAGGGGCCTGGCCGCCCTCCGTGCTGGAAGGTCCTCTTCTGACAGGGGACAGTGTGTGTGTGTGTGTGTGTGTGTGTGTGTGAAAGAGAGAGAGAGAGAGAGACAGAGAGACAGAGAGACAGAGAGAGAGAGAAACCTCCGTGGGGATGGGAATTCGATGGGGAGGGTGCCGGAGTACCGGCCGGAGTCCGTGCTCAGCAGGGACCTGCTGGCCTGTCAGTCACCGTTAGCACTGTTATCAGTCCGAGTCCCTCCCCAGTCGCACCAGCGGAGTCTTTGGCGAGCTGGGCTGCCCCGGAGTATTCCTGGCAGCGTCATGTCTCGTAGAATCCCGTCTCCTCGCACTGCTCACCCCCCCCATCCCTCCTCTCTCTCCTGTGAGAGCCACCAGCCACGTGTGGGAGTGCAGGGTGGGCGTCACACAGGATCCCCTTGACCAGCCGAGCATGTTGTTGAAAAAGGACTCCTCCGCCCATAACAATAACAGTTTTTAAAACATATTTTTATGGATTTCAGAGAGGGAGAGAGAGACAGAAACATCCATGTTGAGAGAGCTTCATGGATGGGCTGCCTCCTGCACACCACCCTCCTGGTGATGGAGCCCACAACCCGGGCCTATGCCCTGATCAGGCACCAAAACATGACCTCCTGGTTCATAGGTCAGTGCTCATTCACTGAGCCATTACGCTCGGGCAAGCAACCCTTTATGGAGCATTCTTCTGGGCCAGGGATGAGCCAGTGACGCCTCTCACACCCATCATCTCCCTGAATCCTCGGACGCACCCTCTGAGGTCACATGTCACACTTTTCTGTGGACGGGAAACCGAGGCACAGAGAGACGTAGTGATTTCCCTGGGGGACGGTACAAACGAGGATGTAGCGAATAAGAATCACGCTGAGACCCTAACCAATGTGGCTCAGTTGATAGAGTGTCAGTCTTGCGAACTGAAAGGTCCCAGGTTTGATTCCGGTCAAGGGCTTGTACCTTGGTTGCGGGCACATCCCCAGTAGGGGGTGTGCAGGAAGCAGCTGATTGATGATTCTCTCTCATCAATGTTTCTGGCTCTCTGTCCCTCTCCCTTCCTCTCTGTAAAAAAATCAAATACATTAAAAAAAAATCATGCTGGGGTGCACGCAGTGCCTCGCCCCCACCACCCTGGGGCCCACTCTTCCCTCCATCCTCCTCTCAGTGGCCCTGTGGGCACTGGCACCCAGACCCGAAACCTCACCCCTCCTGCAGGGGTGTCCGATCTGTCCCCGCGAGGGACCGGCCTCCCCGCGCACAGGACACGCGTGTCGCTCCCTCCCGCAGGTTCCTGGATTACCTGTCTGACCTGTGCGTGTCCATGAACAAGTCCATCCCGGTGACACAGGAGCTCATCTGCAAAGCGGTGCTCAACCCCACCAACGGCGACATTCTCATCGAGACCAAGTGCGTGGGGGCGCGGCCAGGGCTGGGGGCACCCGGTGTCACCTTTCACACCAGCTTCAAAGTCACGCATGCTCACCTGGGAGCATTCGGCACACGCGCGGTTTAACTTTAAGCGTGGACGTCCTGGGAGTAGAGTCACCGTTTTAAGTGTAGAGGAGGTGACAGTTTGGTGTCGGTAGAAATCCGTGCGGGGAAAGGTTTTTAAGGGCTCACTGGGTTAACAGCAGTGAGGCATTGCTGGGGAGGAGCGCTTCCCAGTATAGGCCAGTGGTATGGACAAGGCTGTGTGTTAAATCCCAAACTATAATAAATCACGCCCAGAACCAGTTATTTCTGTTTGCTTGTTGCTCATGGGTTTGGGCTGATGCCGGGCTTGCCAACCTTGGCATCTTCCCGTCGGGGCCAAATAATGGCCATAGTGTTAGTAGTGCGTTGTAGGGTGTTAGCATCCCTGCCTCCCCTACCTCCCCCGTCCCCCCTCCTCCTCCTCCCCGGGAGCCCCCGGTGCCTCCTCCCACTCATGTCACACCAAAGGTCTCGGGCATCGCAGGTCGCCTGGCTGGGGGCCGTGGGGGGGGGGCCGGGGGGGGTGGTAAAGCAGGTGCAGAAGCTCGTGTTCGCCCTCTTGTGGTTCCGCTCGCCGCGGGAGGAGCTGCTTTCTGGGTCGTCATGTGAAGCCCGGAGCCACGGCCTCTCTGTGGCAGCCTTGCTGTGACTGGAGGGAGGTTGGCGAGGTTCCCGCCCGACGCCTGTCCCGCCCGTTCTGTCCCCAGGCTGGTCCTCTCCCGCTTCGAGTTCGAAGGGGTGTCCTCAGGGGAGAGCGCCCTAGAGGCGGGCGAGGACGAGGAGGAGGTGTGGCTGTTCTGGAGGGACAGCGGCAAGGAGATCCGCAGCAAGAGCGTGCGGGAGCTGGCGCAGGACGCCAAGGAGGGCCAGAAGGAGGACCGCGACGTGCTCAGCTACTACCGGTGAGCGCCCGCCGGGGGGCGTCCTCGGCGCTGGTGGGGGTCACTCGGGCGATGCAGTTGAGACGTTGAGTGTGAGGGTTTGGCTTCCCCTGCACGGCCATGGGCGTCTGGCGTGGCCGGGTCAGAAGACGGGCGTGAGCTGGCGTCCCCGGTGGAGGTCAAGTTACAGATCTTTCTGTGCCCCTACATCTCCCTTTTTTAAAAAAAAAGTTTTGAGACAGAGAGGCCCAGGCCGGGTCTCTGGTGTACGGAGCAGTTTAGGGGTGTGTGTGTGAGTCCCCAGACCACACGTCGCTGCTGTGAAACCCGGGGCCACCGGACTGTCCTGCCGGGTACCCGCTCATCCTCAGGGATTTCAGGGCCTGAGCTCGGTGTCACTGCCTTCCCTCCAGGTACCAGCTGAACCTCTTCGCCAGGATGTGTCTGGACCGCCAGTACCTGGCCATCAACGAGATCTCGGGGCAGCTGGACGTGGACCTCATTCTGCGCTGCATGTCGGACGAGAACCTGCCCTACGACCTGAGGGCCTCCTTCTGCCGCCTCATGCTGCACATGCACGTGGACCGGGACCCGCAGGAGCAGGTCACGCCCGTGAAGTACGCCCGCCTCTGGTCCGAGATCCCGTCGGAGATCGCCATCGACGAGTGAGTGGCCCCGTCGCCTAGTCCCGCCCCTCTGAGCCTAGTCGGCTTCCCTCTGCACCTTGTCCCTGCCCCTCTGCACCCAGTCCCTTCTTTGCCTTGTCCCCATCCTGACCCGCCGGCCCCCTGCAGCCTCATGCTGTTCCGTGTAGCAAACCGCATGTGGTCCCATTAAGTCTCGTCAACCACAGACAACAGGTGAAGTTACTTTTTCTAAGCTTAACCTAAAACGGAGGGCAAAGATGGTTTCTTCAAGAATGTAAGAGATGGCCGACTGTATTTTTATATCGTGCTCATCTCTCTTATCCAACACATAACTGTGCCCACGGGCCGCCTGTAGGAGTCTACCGGTAGGAACCAGGACGCTGTCTGCCCGCCAGAGGGAAAGAAAGGGCTGAGATGGAGGTCCGGGGCCGGGGGCTCCGGGGAGATAAAGCAGGAGGGGACGGGGGCGTGGGGACGCTGTTCACTGAAACCCTCTCCTCCCCTTCAGCTATGACAGCAACGGGGCCTCCAGAGACGACATCAAGGAGCGGTTCGCGCAGACCATGGAGTTCGTGGAGGAGTACCTTCGGGACGTGGTGTGCCAGCGGTTCCCCTTCTCGGACAAGGAGAAGAACAAGCTGACGTTCGAGGTGACCGGAGGGCGGGCTGTGCGTCTGCTGGGGCGGAGAGCAGAGGCTCAGGTTTCCTCCGGGGCCCGGGCTCGGCCATAGAAAGGGTTCGGCTCGGATTTGTTCCCGCATAACGGGAGGCCCGCCCCGGCCGCCGCTGGCCGCGCTCCCGGGAAAGTGGCAGGTGACGGAGGCGTGCGGGGAGGGAGCTGAGGACTCGGTTCATGACCGTATTAAAGACGACCAGACAGAGCACATACTGGGGACACCCCCCCCCCAGCACGTCACCCGGGTCCCCGTGGGGTCGGCAAGCTTCTCTGCGCGACGCTTGGCCTCGGAGGGGCTGTGTCTGCGAGGTCTCAGGCTGCAGCCGTGCCCTTGTAGCGGGGACTCGCTCGCTTGGGCCGTTTTGGGGGGTCTACACAGACCCACCGACGAGGCCCACTCCCTTCCTGAACTACTTCTCAGAGCAGAGCAGCCGCTTTGCAGGTTTCCGTTTGTTATATCTTCTTCCCGATGAAGCAAAGTGAAATTTGATCAGAAATTGTAAGCAGGACGTGCGTCTCATCGTGAGGAGGGCGGGACTCGGCGTGGACAGGCTGTGGGTGTGCAGTGGACCCGGAGGACACAGTGTTTAAAGCCACCTCTCTCTCTCCCCCCACCTCCCTCTCTTCCCCCACCTCCCTCTCTCCCCACTTCCCTCCCTTCCCCCACCTCCCTCTCTCCCCCCACCTCCCTCTCCACACGACAGGTTGTGAACTTAGCGAGGAATCTCATCTACTTTGGTTTCTATAACTTCTCTGACCTCTTGCGATTGACCAAGATCCTCCTGGCCATCCTGGACTGCGTGCACGTGACCACCATCTTCCCCATCAGCAAGATGGCGAAGGGAGAGGAGAACAAAGGTGGGGGCGGGCGCTGAGCAGGAGGCCTGCACCCGGTGTCCCGTCCTTTCTCTCTGAAACAGTGTTTTTTTAATATATTTTTATTGATTTCAGAGAGGAAGGGGAGAGAGAAATGGGAACATGAGGAGAGAGAACCATGGACCGGCTGCCTCCTGTCCGCCCCCCACTGGGGATGGAGCCCCAGCCTGGGCCTGTGCCCTGACCGGGACTCGAACCGTGAGCTCCTGTTCGTGGGTCAGTGCTCGGCCCCTGAGCCCCGCCGGCCTGGCCTAGCCTTCTCCACTTTTCACTGCAAACATTTCAAACATGAACAGAGAATAGTGCTTTAGACATCCAGAGGCCCGCACGTTTTTATGTGTTTCCTTTATGTTTACGTGTGAGTTCCTGTGTGTTCTGCGGAGCCCTGTGAAGGGAGGTGGCAGGTGGATTCGTTCACAAGATGCTCCTGTGGGGATTTCAGGCCACCTGTGTCCCTGCTCCCGGACCCTAGTGTCCGATGGGCATTAACCTTCTCAGGTCCCCAGGGTCCTGAGAATGTGCCGGAACAGAGACGTGTTAAATAGCGCGTCTAAGGGAGCTCATGGCCTGTGCCAGGCCCTCGGAGCACTCTGTAGGGGCGTGGCCATGACCCATGTCTGTCCCAGTCCCTCTGGGCAGTCACATGATTAAGTACATCCCCGGGGCCGGGAGGCTGAGGACCCAGGACGGGGTCATGACCCAGGTCTTTCCGGCCCCTCCAGGCAGCAACGTGATGCGGTCCATCCACGGGGTCGGGGAGCTGATGACGCAGGTGGTGCTGCGGGGAGGGGGCTTCTTGCCCGTGACCCCCATGGCCGCCGCCCCCGAAGGCAACGTGAAGCAGGCGGAGCCAGAGAAGGAAGACATCATGGTCATGGACACGAAGCTGAAGATCATCGAGATCCTGCAGGTAGCCCTCCGCCCGGGTGTAGGCCAGGCGTGCAGGGTGTGTGGGCGGCGGCCCCTTGGGGGGGGGGGGCTGCCTTCGGGGGAGGGGATGGCGGTAAATACCCAGCTCAGCCTCTGGTGGCACTTAGGGGCCAGCCCTTCCTCCCTCTCTGGTCCTCCCCCTCCCCCCACATGCCCATGTCCATCCAGGGCCGCAACCCGTGCCTGCGGACCCAGGCGATGTGGGTGGAGGCAGGGAGAGGGGCGCACAGGCCGGCGGCTGAGTTAGCTGCCGGTGCCGAAGTCGGCACTGAAGCCAGGGGCTGCCCACACCAGCCGGAGGCTGCAGTGACCTGATGCTGGGCTCGCTCGGTGCTCATGGTGATGGGTGCCGCAGCCCGCAGGCCCCGCCCGCCCCGCCCGCCCTTCAGCCTGGCCATGGTGGCAGGTGGCACGCCCTGTGACCCACCTGCTCTGTTTCCGCTTGACCCTGTAGTTCATCTTGAACGTGAGGCTGGACTACAGGATCTCCTGCCTCCTGTGCATATTTAAGCGTGAGTTCGACGAGAGCAACTCCCAGACGTCGGAGGCGTCCTCGGGCGGCAGCAGCCAGGAGGCGCCCGGCAGCGTGCCAGGTGAGTGCGCCCGGTGCCAGGCGGGGAGCACTGACCCCTTTGTCTTAGACCCAATCCATTCAGGCGTCTTAGGAAGGGGGGCGGCGAGCATATTTGGGGGATCCTTGTATTTTGGACGAGATCCTAGGGTTCTTTGGGGCGGGGGGGGGGGGGGGAGTGTTTGAAGGGGCCCAGAGCTTCCTGGGACGGGGCTTGGCGCCTCCGTCCTGGGGGTCGGGTCTGAGACGGCCGCGGGGTCCAGTGTGGTTACATGAAATGTCAGGTAAAAGCCAAACAGCAAACTTCCAGAAAACTCACCGCCCACCTCCAGCTTTTCCCGCCAACGGACGTGCTCCCTGCCCAGGACCCGGTGGCAGAGGGTCAGGCAGAGGAGGTGGCAGAAATAACCCCGTCCGGGCCTGAGCCCTCGGCAGGAGGGCGGCAGCGCCTAGAAAACTGGCCCAAGTGGGGGCCCTGCACTGAGTGCCCGGGCGAGGCGGAAAGCTCTGGAAGATGCGGGGGTGGCTGTGGGCCGGCAGGGGCAGGGCTCGGCGAGGTGGGTGTGGCCCGGCCAGGCCAGCAACAGCTGAGGCCTGTGCCCTGGTGTTGCAGGCGCTCTGGACTTTGAGCACATTGAGGAGCAAGCGGAGGGCATCTTCGGAGGAAGGCGAGTACTTCCCAGGCCCTGAGGTGGAGGTGGCCCCGAGTTGGTGGGGGGCGGGGCAGCGTGCGGGGAGCCAGGGCCTCTGGCTCAGCCGCCGCTCCCCCGCGTCCTGCAGTGAGGAGAACACCCCGCTGGACCTGGACGACCATGGCGGCAGGACCTTCCTCCGGGTGCTGCTGCACCTGACCATGCACGACTACCCGCCCCTGGTGTCGGGGGCCCTGCAGCTGCTCTTCCGGCACTTCAGCCAGCGGCAGGAGGTGCTGCAGGCCTTCAAGCAGGTAGTCGGGCGCCCAGCACGTGTATCTGTGTGCACATGCATGCACGTGCATGTGTGGAGCATTGTATGTTTGTGCACACGTGTGTTTTATTGTGCACACGTGCATGTGTGTGCACATGTGAATTATGTATGCGCGTGTGTGTGCATGCATGTGTGTGTGTGTGTGTGTGTGATCCACTGCTGCACCCGTCCAGGTTCAGCTGCTGGTTACCAGCCAGGACGTGGACAACTACAAGCAGATCAAGCAGGACCTGGACCAGCTGCGGTCCATCGTGGAGAAGTCCGAGCTCTGGGTGTACAAGGGGCAGGGCCCCGACGAGGCCATGGACGGTGTGTCGGGGGAGAACGAGCACAAGAAGGCAGAGGTGGGTGAGGCCCCGGAGCGCCCCTGACGGGTGGCCGGGTCCAGAGCAGGGTCCCTCCGGCTCAGACAGTCTCTCAGACTGGGCTGTCCTGGGCAATAGGCGCAGACAGCCGGGCCCCTGGTCGCCGGTCTCCTCGGACCGAGCGCCGGAGCCCAGGTCTCCCTTTCAAACCTCGGGCCAGGGCCACCTCCCCCGTCAGCCTGGTGACGACTGTCAGAAGGGGGTGCGGGCGGCCGGTGCGGGACGGGCAGGAGCCCCGCGCCATGGGCAGACGCCGCAGCCCTGTAGGGGGCGCTGGCCTTGCGCGGGCCCGGGTGTGAGGCTGTTGGAGGCACTCACCTCCCTCTGTCCTAGGAGGGGAACAGCAAGGCCCCGAAGCACGAGAGCACAAGCAGCTACAACTACCGGGTGGTCAAGGAGGTGAGTGCCGGCCGTGCGGCAAGCAGGAGGCGCTGGTCACCGGTCCGCGCTCATCATTGATGTTCCTTTCTCTCTCGCTCTCCTTCCTCTCTGAAATCAACAAAAATATATATTTTTAAAAAACACACATACGTATGAAAAAAAGAGCATCCTCTGAAGCTGCCCCACTGGCTCTCGAACCCCCCGTCCCCTGGTGGTTCCGGACATAGATTCAGTTTGATGCCGCCCACAGGGTGCCGCCTGGTGGAGCGTCCCCTCCGGGTTAGGTTTTTAATGTATTGGGGTCCCTCTGGCCTCCCTGCCCCCCACCCGTCCTCCACCCCCTGCAGTCTAGTTTTCTGAGGTCATTTATTTCTTTTTTTAAACAATTATCATTGAGGTAAAAATGACCGACTCGTCATATCCTTATCGTGTACAACATGATGAGTGACGGACAGAGGTGGTGAAACGATGCCCACGTCACTCACATAGTCAGCTCTCTGGGGTTCAGGGTGAAGGGTGAGGAGGCGTTTAAGATCTGTCTTAGCAAATCACAGGCGAGCAGCACCGTGCCCGCCATGCAGCCCCCGCCGCACACAGGCCTTCCGGACCGAGACGCCCCCGCCCCTGTCCCCCCAGATCCTGATCCGACTCAGCAGGCTGTGCGTGCAGGAGGGCGCATCCGTGCGCAAGAGCCGGAAGCAGCAGCAGCGGCTGCTCAGGAACATGAGCGCCCACGCCGTGGTGCTGGAGCTGCTGCAGATCCCCTACGAGAAGGTCAGCCAGCGGCCCGCCCCGCCGTCCTCACAGGGTCCCCCCACACACACTCCGTCCTCACAGGGCCCCCCCCACACACACCCCGTCCTCACAGGGCCCCCCCACACACACCCCGTCCTCACAGGGTCCCCCCACCCCGTCCTCACAGGGTCCTCACAGCGTCCTCACAGGACCCCCCACCCCATTCTCAGGGTCCCCACCACCCCGTCCTCACAGGGCCCCCCCACCTTGTCCTCACAGCGTCCTCACAGCGTCCTCACAGGACCCCCCACCCCATTCTCACAGGGTCCCCACCACCCCGTCCTCACAGGGCCCCCCACACACACCCCGTCCTCACAGGGCCCCCCCACACACACCCCGTCCTCACAGGGTCCCCCCACCCTGTCCTCACAGCGTCCTCACAGGACCCCCCACCCCGTCCTCACAGGGTCCTCCCACCCCGTCCTCACAGGGTCCCCCCACCCCGTCCTCACAGCGTCCTCACAGGACCCCCCACCCCGTCCTCACAGGGTCCCCCCACCCTGTCCTCACAGCGTCCTCACAGGACCCCCCACCCCATTCTCACAGGGTCCCCCCACCCCGTCCTCACAGGGTCCCTTCCACTCTGTCCTCACTGGGTCCAGCCCGGCTGCAAATGAACCTGGAGGCCTTCCCTCTGTGGCTGCTCTGGGCTGGCTTTGCCCACTGAAGCCTTTGCTCCCGCCCGAGGCCGTGGGAGAATGTGGGCTGGGCTGGCCCGCTCCAGGCACAAAGGGCAGCAGCTGGGGTCGCACAGGGTGGCCCTAGCGCTGCCTCCAGAGCCTGGGGGAGTCGGTGGTGGGTGTGGCCTGGGCCTGGCCTCCTGACCTGAGCTGAGGGCTGCAACGAGGACTGTCTGTGTGCAGGACCTCCCTCATCCAGGGCGCAGCCTGAGCTCAGCCATTTTCACATCCCCCCGTCCACCTCTCTCCCCCCCACCCCCTAGGCCGAGGACACCAAGATGCAGGAGATCATGCGGCTGGCACACGAGTTCCTGCAGAACTTCTGCGCGGGCAACCAGCAGAACCAGGCCCTGCTGCACAAGCACATCAACCTGTTCCTCAACCCGGGGGTAGGCTGGCGGCTGCGGCTGCGGCTGCTGTGGGGGGCGGGCCGGGGTGCTGTGTGTTGTTGTGTGGCTGCTGAGACTCGGAGCACTAATGCAACACCCGTCTCCAGGACACACTGTGACCTGTTCCCTCGGGGACACAGATCTCTCCATCTTTGTGTGGAGAGGAAAGGGGAAGGAGGAGGAGGGTGGGGGGCCAAGGTGAGATGTGTTCATATATATCTTTTAACGTATATTTATTGACTTCAGAGAGGAAGGGAGAGGCAGAGAGAGAGAAACATCAGTGATGAGAGAGAATCATTGATTGGCTGCCTCCTGCACGCCCGCTACCGGGGCCTGTGCCCTGACTAGGAATGGAACCATGACCTCCTGGTTCGTAGATTGACACTCAACCACTGAGCCACATTGGCCAGGCCAGATATCTATATGTATAGAAGCCTAAGTGACCATTGGACTATTCAGCTGTTAGCTGTAACATGCACTGATCACGAGGGGACAGACGCTCAACGCACAGGCATGGAAACATGGAACGGACTGATGAACCTCAAAGGGGATGGGGTGGGCGGGAAGAGATTAACCAAAGACCTTACACGCATACTAGAGGCCCGGCACGGGCATGGCCTGGCCTGCAGGAATCAGGCCGAGACCGGCAGTCTGACATCCCTGAGGGGTCCCAGATCACAAGAGGGCACAGGCCAGGCTGAGGGACCCCACCGGTTGATAAGTAATATCTCTAGTTTTTAATATTCGCCCTCATCACATCTCACCTTAGCCACAGAGGTGCTGACTCTCCAGCGCCCTCCTGAGGCAGGGGCAAGTTCTCTGTGTTCACACACATGAGAGTCACTCATCTGCAGCACGGCTATGCACCAGTTTAGCTTGTTAAGCATATGTTTGTAAAAGGTATCAAACACGTATTCTGCAGTTTTTAGAGAAAACGGGCACACTCTACACGTTGTTTTGCATGTTGCTCTTTCATGTAAGACACCGTGGCTGTGTTGGCAGTTCAGGGGTACGTAGTATGTTTTTCTCATTCGGTTTGGTGGCTACACGGCATCCCATTGGATGGCTGCGAGCTTTCTTAACCCCATTCTCATGGTGGCAGACGGTTAGGCAATGCCTAGCTGTTGGTTTTTCAAGCAGCATGGCAAAGGACGTCCTTGTATGTGCACATGCAGTGGCACACCTGTGCGCGCACATATTCAAACACATGCACACACATGCACACATTTGCACACAATTGCTTATTAGCACAGCTAGAACTGTGCAGGGAAAGGGTTACCGGATGGAAGGGCAGTGTTCCCTCTTTGTCATGCTCAGAGGAAAAGGCACAGGTAGGAAGTTGAGAGCCCCTGTACCTCACCCCACACCACGCTCAGCGCCTCGGTCACTGGGCAGGAAGAGAATAAAGTTGGAAGACGCCGTGAAAGCACCTTCATGACTCTGTGGAATGTGAAGTTGTTTACACAGTATGCTGGAAGCTCTCATCATAAAGGAAGTTCTGTTTATGAAGCGACACCACCAGGAGCCTCCAGAGGCAAGCCAGTAGCGGAGGAGACACTGCAGTGTGCACGTCCAGGAAAGAATTTGTGTCCAGAGCATGTAACAATCTCAGAAAAGTCAGCGAGGAAAAAAACGGACAGCCCCCTTTTTAAACTGAGCAAACCCCGTTAAAACGAGACCCTCCCAGCGGGGTCACCCACATGGCCGGGGAATAGGACCGGGTGCTCCCACGTGGTGGGTCTTCGGGGAAACGCACATGAAGTAAGATAGGACTGAAGTGAGGACGGACAATGCCAGGTGTGGGAAGGGGTCTAGAACAGCCGTGACATAGGATGTGATCTGCTGACAGCTTTCGGAAGCTGTTTGGATGGGTCTCCTATAGCCAGACACATGGAATTGCACCCCAGCAATTCCGCTCGTGGGCCTAACCCCAGCAGAAATGCACGCATTGACTTTCCCAGAAGACACGTATGAGAGTGTTCAGAGAAGCCCTGTTCACGGGTGTGGTAAGGAGAGTGTCACGACTCATCGTTAAAATCGGACACTTTCCCACGAGCCCACCGCAATGGCATAAAGAACTACATTGTGGTGGTTCAGTCAATGAAGTGGCCATGACAGTGACAGGGGACAGACTATTGGCTCCTGCCCAGCATGGATGACATCACCATGTCATTTGGAACAAAAGAAACCAAGAGGGACAAGAATGCATGAGGGCCAAGAGTAGGCCAAACAGCCTGGCTGGTGTGGCTCAATGGTTGAGCATTGATTTATGAACCAGAGGTCGCGGTTTGATTCCCAGTCAGGGCACATGCCTGGTTGCAGGCTCCATCCCCAGAGTGGGGCATGCAGGAGGCAGCTGGTCAATGATTCTCATCTCTGATGTTTCTCTTTCTCCCTCTCTCTTCCTCTCTGAAATCAATAAAAATGTATTAAAAAAAAAAAAAAAAGGCTAAATGAAGCTATGGTTGTAGAAGTCAAAATGGTGGTGAAATTGGGGGGGCAGGGCGTCCTTCAGGGGCTTTTTCATTTCTGGTCGGGGCGCTGGTGGCCCTTGGTGACCCCTGCATTCGAGCACGTGTGAGTTGTCTATTGTAGCTTGTGGCGTGCTCGTTAAGCTGGAAGGTTTGGGAGGAAAGGAGGCCGTGCGGGAGCGAGGCTGGAAGGAGGCCTGCGGGGGGCAGGTGGTCTCTGTGGGGGCGGACTCCGCTGATGCCCCCTCCCCACGCCCTCCCTGCCAGATCCTGGAGGCGGTGACCATGCAGCACATCTTCATGAACAACTTCCAGCTCTGCAGCGAGATCAACGAGAGGGTGGTGCAGCACTTTGTGCACTGCATCGAGACGCACGGCCGCAACGTGCAGTACATCAAGTTCCTGCAGACCATCGTCAAGGCCGAGGGGAAGTTCATCAAGAAGTGCCAGGACATGGTCATGGCCGAGGTGACCGCCGCTGCCCAGGGCGCCCCTGGGGCTCCCCTGGACGTTTAAGTTAGTTAATCTTGTCCTTGGAACTGGACCCTCTGCCGGAGCCATGTGAAGGGACAAAAAGTAATTGCTTGTGTGTGCATGCAAGTGTGTTCTCATGCAGTGAACTTACACTGCACGTACAGGGCAAGAGTCCAATCTTATTTTTTAACAGGTTTTTCCAGAGAGGAAGGAAGGGCCCTGGCCGGTTTGGCTCAGTGGCTAGAGCGTCGGCCTGCGAACTGAAAGGTCCCAGGTTTGATTCCGGTCAAGGGGCACATGCCTGGGTTGTGGGCTTGATCCCTCGTGGGGCACTTGCAGGAGACAGCTGATCCATCATTCTCTTTCATCGTGAATGTTTCTATCTCTCTCTCCCTCTTCCTTCCTCTCTGAAATCAATAAAAATATATTTTTAAAAAAGAGAGAGAGAGAGAGAGAGAAAAAACTGCAATGTGAGAATCATGGATCAACTGCCTCCTGCCCTCCCCACATGGGGATGGAGCCCTTGACTTGGACATGGGTCCTGACTGGGAATTGAGCCATGACCTCCTGGTTCGTAGGTGGACGCTCACCCACGGAGCCACGCGGCCGGGCGGGAAGAGCTGCTCCTCACGCCGCCGGCCCTGCGCCCTGACGTGAGCGCGCTGTGTCCCCGCAGCTGGTGAACTCCGGCGAGGACGTGCTCGTGTTCTACAACGACCGGGCCTCCTTCCAGACGCTGATCCAGATGATGCGGTCGGAGCGGGACCGCATGGACGAGAACAGCCCGCTCATGTACCACATCCACCTGGTGGAGCTGCTGGCCGTGTGCACCGAGGGCAAGAACGTGTACACCGAGATCAAGTGCAACTCCCTGCTGCCGCTGGACGACATCGTGCGCGTGGTCACCCACGAGGACTGCATCCCCGAGGTGAGGGCTGCACGGCCCGGGCTCTGGGGGGGCAGGGGCTGGCCCGGGGCCTCGCGGACTCGGGGCCGGCTGCCGTTCACAGAGAGGTCTCCGTGGGCTGAAACAGCATTTGGGAACACGGGAGAGGTTTATTTTCCTTCTGGGTCCTTGAGACGCGGAAACCCTGTGGTGCTTCCGCTCCGAGGGCCAGTCATGCAGGCAGCCTGTGAGCAGAGAGGTTTGGATCACCACGAACGGCTCAGAAATGCCTTCGGAGAGGGTTAAGGTTCGGTTCCTATGGATGTAAGCCCGACCCTGTATGTTTATCCTGGGAAAGGAACGGTTGTCTTACAGAAATAAGCAGCAACAGGTTATAAAATATTCATGCAAGAATAGGCCTTCCTTTCCCTGGCTGCGGGCACTGCCTTTGCTCTGGCCAGAGCCACCTTTCTGCTTTCCCATGCTGCCCGGCAGCCCAGAGCCACTGGGGTGGTGCGGAATGCCTGCATCATTGCCATGGCGATGAGATAAGCATCCCACCCACCCCTAGCCACTTGGTGCCTGCATATGCAAATTAACCCGCCATCTTTGTTGGGTTAATTTGAATACTCACTCCTGATTGGCTGGTAGACATTGCAAAGGTTCAGTCAGTTTGCATCTTTCTCTTTTGTTAGTGTAGATAGCCCTAGCCAGTGGTGCTCAGCAGTTCGAGCGCTGGCCAGAGGATCTCAGGTTTGATTCCCAGCCCCAGTTGGGGCATGAGTGGGAGGCAACCAACCCATGTGTCTTTTTCGCATCATCATTTCTGGGCTGCAGGGGAGGGGGAGGGGCCCGGCGGGCATCATCACTTCCTCCCCTTCCCCCTTCCAGAAACTCTAAAAATCAATGGTAAAACATCCTCAGATGAGGATTCACAACATTATTCTCTCCCAAAATCTCTGTGTTTTTAAACTTCACAAATGTGAGTTTTCAATATAAAAAAATCCAGGGCATGATATCCGGCGGGAAAACGGGATGTGTCCGGGTTGTTCTGTTAGGATGGGGCGGCGATCGCGTCCCGGGCACTGGGTCCTGGGCGCTGAGTCCCGGGCGCTGAGTCCCATTCACGAAGCCGTGTCCCCCAGGTCAAGATCGCCTACATCAACTTCCTGAACCACTGCTACGTGGACACGGAGGTGGAGATGAAGGAGATCTACACCAGCAACCACATGTGGAAGCTGTTCGAGAACTTCCTCGTGGACATCTGCAGGGTGAGCTTCCTGGCGCGGAGGAGGCCGAGCTGACGTGTGTGTGTGTCCCTGTCCGGCATGCCTGTGTAGCTGTAAGGAATAGTGTCTCCTGATGTCTCCCTGCTCATTCACGGCACAAGGGGCAGATGTGGCTGTTCTTCTGTCATTCATCTCCTCTCCCTTCACTCTCAGACGAGACGATTTGACTGGCCAGGCTTTGGGACGGCAGGTCATGTCCTGTCTCGTTCCATCCTGGGTGGGTGATGTGCGAGTGACCCCGGGGACACAGTACCCCGAATTACAGGTCTCCTTGCCCTTGACAACACGTCTCTGCTCCGGCCCCCTCCCCGAGCTGGAGCCTGGATGTCACAGGCGTGTGTCTGTCATCCCGGATTCCTGGTCCTGGCAGTCCGGGAGCCAGCCTGGAATCCAGGCCTCCTGTCCCTTTACATCAGGGTCAGGGCTCGGAAGTTTCCCTGACCTGCAGGCCTTCCCTGCGTGTGTGTGAGGGGGGGGCAGGAGCGGCGTGTGTCTAAGGCGTGCGGCCGCCCCACAGGCCTGCAACAACACAAGTGACCGGCGGCACGCGGACTCCATCCTGGAGAAGTACGTGACCGAGATCGTCATGAGCATCGTGACCACGTTCTTCAGCTCCCCCTTCTCCGACCAGAGCACCACGCTGCAGGTGAGGGGGAGGAGCTGCCGGTGTGTGGGGGGGCTGGTGGTGGTGGGGCCTGCAGGGAGAGGAGAGGGGCTGATGGTGGGGGGAGGGGCTGATGGTGGGGGAGGGGCTGATGGTGGGGAGGGGCTGATGGTGGGAGAGGGCTGATGGTGGGGGTGGGGGGAGGGGCTGATGGTGGGGGAGGGGCTGATGGTGGGGAGAGGGGCTGATGGTGGGGGGAGGGGCTGATGGTGGGGGGAGGGGCTGATGGTGGGGGGAGGGGGAGCTGATGGTGGGGAGAGGGGCTGATGGTGGGGAGAGGGGCTGCAGGGAAGGGAGAGGGGCTGCCGGTGTGGGGGAGGGGTTGCAGGGGAGGGGGAGGGGCCCGGCGGGCAGCCTGTGAACCCGGCGCACGGCCAGGTCCATGTCTCACCCCACACGCCCCCACGCCTCTCCCCGCAGACGCGGCAGCCGGTGTTCGTGCAGCTGCTGCAGGGCGTGTTCCGCGTCTACCACTGCAACTGGCTGGCGCCCGGCCAGAAGGCCTCGGTGGAGGGCTGCATCCGCGTGCTCTCCGACGTGGGTAAGACGCTCGGGCCCACACCTGACCGTGACCGAAGCCCCCCTCCCCTTCTCCTTCACTGCCCTGCCTCCAGCCCGGCCAGAGCGAGGCCCCGTTCCCAATCCACCATCACCGTCCAGCCGCGGCTCCCAGAGCCAGGAGCTGTCTCTCCCCAGAAACTCGGGCTTGGAGAACGAGCTCCCCGTCAGGCGGTGCGGCTCTCGGCACGTCCAGTGCCGTGTGAGCTTCCTCAGGGCCTGAGAGGTCCCTCACCAGGCGCTCACTGGTGTCCACGTCGCCTTGGAAACGGGATGTCCCCAGGGGCACCCTTTCGGGAGGAGGGTACCGGTCCCTTGAGCCTCTCGGGGGTGAGTGGGAAAACAATCCATTGGCCCAACGAGGGTCCTGCCTGATAGTTCTCACAACACAGAGCCCATTGAGCTTGGACTTGCCGAATGGTGTGGCCTCAGAGCATTTTTTAAAAACATCTTCATTGTAGGAAGTATTACAGACGCCCCCTTTCTCCCCGCTGACCCCATCTCGCCCGCCCCCGGCCCTGACCTCACTGTTGGGTGTCCATGGTGATGCTTCTAAGCAGACAAGGCCTTTGGTTGATCTCTGCCCCCCACCCTCACCCTCCCTCGGAGACGTTCACACCCTCAGAGCTGCTCCCCCGGCTCCCTCACATGGGGAGCCTCCCCCCTCGGGGGCAGCCTGCTCGCACCGGGTACCTCCCGCGAAGGCCGCCAGCTCACGCGTAGCCTCCCCCGCAGCCAAGAGCCGGGCCATCGCCATCCCGGTGGACCTGGACAGCCAGGTGAACAACCTCTTCCTCAAGTCCCACAACATCGTGCAGAAGACGGCCCTCAACTGGCGGCTGTCTGCCCGCAACGCGGCCCGCCGGGACTCGGTGCTGGCCGCCTCCCGGGACTACCGCAACATCATCGAGCGGCTGCAGGTACTGGCGCCCCACCAGCCCTGCTTCCCCGGCTAGAGAAAGGCCGAGGCCCGTGGCTGGCAAACCGCGGCTCTCGGGCCACCTGAGCCAACCGGGGCGTCTCCAGGGAGGGTCTCCTCAGCGAGCCCTCCGGCCAGCAGCAGCGTCTCTGGGAGGTCACGTCTCACGCGTTTCCTGCCATTTGCCTTTCGACTGTGTTTGTCGTGTTGGTTTCGCTGTTCTTTCACCTTCTCTCTGTTTTCCTCTCCTGCAGCTGTGTGTTTTGCATTTGAAGACCATCACGCTATCAGGGTACATGTCTTTAGCATGTTGATACCGCATGTTCATTCATCTGTGTTCTCATCTCTGTGTGACGTTTGAGTCCGTGAATAATTCATGCTCATTGAGAGTAACTGCCAGTACAGAGAAGGAAATCAGCATATCCCATAATCCCACCACCAAGGCCACTGTGATGTCTTTTAAAAAATATTTATTATTACCATTTTTTTAATCTTCACCCAAGGATATTTTTCTGTTGATTTCTAGGGAGAGTGGAAAGGGAGGGAGAGACAAAGAGAAACATTGATGTGAGAGAAACACATTGTTTGGTTGCCTCCTACATGTGCCCCGACCAGGGCCTGGGCTGGGGAGAAGCCTGCAGCTGAGGTACATGCCCTGCACCAGAGTTGAACCCCAGGACCCTTTGGTTCTCAGGCCGACACTCTAGCCACTGAGCAACACCAGCCAGGGCCCGTGCTGTCTGAAGAGTGGGAGGCACGTACCCTTTAGAGCTGACGCTTCTAAAAGTTGGGTCGTGGAGTCCATACCGCCTGACCCTTTGTGGCACTCACATTGTCTACATCTTCCCACGTGGCCGGCCGAACATATTCCGAGTCCGGCTGCACCGTCTGTGGAACGATCCCTCTCAGGGCGCAGAGCCGTCTGGGAGGGAGGCGGGTGGGAGGGCGCCTGTGTGTGCTTGGCTCTCTGCCCCGGGGCTGAGGCGCCAGGGATCCGTAGGGCCTCAGCGAACAGCGTGTGTCCGGTCCCTCTAACCCCGCCGGGCCTCTGGGCGTGTGGAGGTGGACGTGCGAGCGGTCGCACTCCCGCCCGCTCACCGCGCTGCGCTCCCTCCAGGACATCGTCTCAGCACTGGAGGACCGGCTGCGGCCGCTGGTGCAGGCCGAGCTGTCGGTGCTGGTGGACGTGCTGCACCGGCCGGAGCTGCTCTTCCCGGAGAACACGGACGCCAGGAGGAAGTGCGAGAGCGGGGGCTTCATCTGCAAGTGAGCGGCCCCTCCCCCGGACCAGGGACCAGGCTCAGCAGCGGCTCCCGACGGAGGAAACGCTGAGGGCAAGGCCACGGTCCTGCCCCACTGTCCCAGTGTGGGGTTCGCTGTGTTTTGGGCAAGCATGTCTCCCTTTTTTTCTTTCTTTGTAATCCTCACCAGAGGATATTTTTCCATTGATTTTGATTTTTAGAGTGGAAGGGAGAGGGAGAGAGACACACACAGAGAAACGTTGATATGAGAGAGACACACGAATGGGTTACCTCCCGCATGCCTGCAATTGAGATACGTGCCCTTGATCGGAATCAAACCCGGGACCCTTCAGTCCGTGGGCCGACGTTCTATCCACTGAGCCAAAGGGGCCAGGGTGCGAATGCCTCTCTCTAACTGCAGGCCCCGTCCATGCGTCTTCCACTCAGCAAGGACGGACGGCGCCCCCTGTGGGCTGTGACATGGACTGAGAAAGGTCTCCCCGCTCCTGCCCTCCAAACTCTCCAGGCCTGTTGGGCCTCACAGCCTTCCTACAACTTCGTCGTTTCTCTGTTTATGCTGTGGGGCATCCGCTAAGACAAAGCGCGATCCCAAGGTCCGCTGTGTGCTGAGCCTGACCCTGGACTTGGCCCCCGAGTTGGCCTTTCTGAGTCTGCAGAAGGACGAGGGAACAGTGTGTGTTGGCCTGTCCATTGTCGTCATGAGGTCGTGGCTCTGCTGGCGTGTTTTAGCCATGTTCCTGGCAGTCCTCAGGGGAGAAGCAGCGGGTGTGGGGGACCGCTCCTTACTCTGAGATCAAGCTCTCAGTGGGGAGTAGTCCTTCCTGCTCAGAGTGTTTTTGCTGCCACCGATCAGCAGGTGGCACCATTGAGACACTGTCGCTGACTGTTCCTAGGGCTGTGAACGGCCCTTGATAAATTGATTAGTGTTTGCTCACGAATTGAGGGGTCCCGTGAGTGGCAGGGACCTGTGGTTTGTTGCGGGGGGCCCTGGCAGGGGTGTAACGTGTGGCTCCCCCTCAGGCTGATCAAACACACCAAGCAGCTGCTGGAGGAGAACGAGGAGAAGCTGTGCATCAAGGTCCTGCAGACGCTGCGCGAGATGATGACCAAGGACCGCGGCTACGGCGAGAAGGTACCGTCCCACCCCACCTGGGACCAGGTGGCGCCCTAATCCTAAACCTAACCCTAACCCTAACCCACCAAGGACCAGGCGGCACCCTAACCCTAACCCACCTGGGACCAGGCGGTGCCCTAACCCTAACCCTAACCCACGGGAAGCCCAGGTGGAGGGCTGGAAAGCCACCCTTCGGGCACGCGGCGTGACCGAGGGGCTTGCTGTTTAGAGCCTGTCCCTGGAGAACTGACAGCAGAAAAGTCAGTTCTCACTCAGAGGCCGCCGGTCACATAGTTACTGTGGAGAAATAGCGACGAGATTGCCCATCTGCTTAGGCTTATAACGGAGGCCAGTGTGGTGTCTGCCTCAGCAGGTGGGGTGCTGGCGGGGGGCTCTGCTCTGAGCACACCTGTGGCTTCTGCATTCTGCCGGGGTGCGACACAGTATATCCCTCCCGTGCATCCATGAACTCCCGTTCTGCCTGGAACCCAAGAGGCAAACGCATCACCATTTCTACAGGAGTGTGACACGGGCAGGTCTGGCCTGTGACAGTGTGCACGGGGAGCGAGGGTGTGCAGGGAGAGGGTGTGTGAGAGCAGATATACGGGGAGCGAGGGTGTGCGGTGAGAGTGTGCAGGGAGCAGGCGAACGGGGAGCAGGTGTGCGGGGAGCGAGAATGAGCAGAGAACGTTCCCATCACTCCTCCCTCCTCCCCCCAAGGCTGGGCCTGCGTTGAGATCTGGGCCGGCCGTTCCACTCAGGTAATCAGGCGTGTGCAGGGACTGCCTCCTGTGACAGCCATGGAGGCGGCAGCACGGGCTGTGGTGTCTGGCTGTCTCACCGGCCAGTCCGCTGTCGTCACTGCGGAGCCTTTGAAGAAGAAATAACACTGAAAAGCACGCGCCCCTCCCCCGCTCCCTCCTCCGCTGTCCCCGGACCACCAGGCCCTTCGCTGTCACTCAGCGTGGGCAGTGTGTCCGTCAGGAGAGGGGTGAGCGCTGGCTGGCTCAGAAATAAGCTCCTGAGCTCAGGAGGAGTTTGGGGAGAAGCCAGCCAGGGGAGCGTTCACAAATGTGCAGAATAGACCAAGAGCCTGCGCCAGGTGAACGAGGAGGAGAGGCCCGGAGGGGTGACAGCCCGGGCACCCAGGCAGGAGCGAGGAGAGGCCAGGAGGGGGTGCCCGCCGGAGGTGGGGTTCTCTAGGAAGAAAGCACGCGTGTGTGAGCGTCCCTAGGCCGGGGATGTCAGCAGCCACTGGACTCGCTCGTCATCCGCGCAGCCTGAGGACCCTGGGCCTCGGCCTCCCGCAGCGGGCGGCACGGGGGCATGGGGACGGCTCCCGGTCCCTCCCGGACTCGATGCCAGCGCATTGGTACTCACGTCACCTCCGGGCAGCGTTTCCTCGAACAATGAGCAGCCCCGGGACTTAGAGGGTCTGGGCTCAGGGTGCACAGTGCCCCCTTGAACAATGAGGGCTTGGGCTGCGAGAGCTCACGTACGTGCCCGTTGGCCTCCACTCGAACCCGCCTTGTGCGAGGCTCAACAGACTCAAAGGTCTGCTGCCTGGCGAAGTTGAAGCTGATTTGGATTCACCCCAATTGCAGTCTGGACCTCGCCCCCTCCTCCTGCCCCCCCCCCCCATGGTGAATGAAGGGAAGCAGCCTGTCCTCCTGAGCTGAGTGGGTCTGCACCCCCCCCCCCACTGTTCACCCTGCTCTTTCCAGCCCCCTTCCCCCCCCCCACTGTTCACCCTGCTCTTTCCAGCCTTCCCCCCCCCCCCCCCACTGTTCACACTGCTCTTTCCAGCCAAGGCCCTTCTCAAAGCCTGTGGGTTCGGCGGGCACAGAGCCTTGCCCTCAGCGACCTGCTGTGCCACGTCGACGCACACCTGGCAAGGCGGGTTCCGGGCCCTCGGTCACGTGACCCATGAGGGTTGCTGCCTGCCCTGGGGACCACCTCCCAGGAGGCCCGGCGGTGTCCCGGGTGCCCTCGGACACGGCCTCCCCTCCGGTGCATCCGCGCTCGGACCCACAGGCGGCGGGCTCGCTCCCTCGCTGCTCTTCCTGTCCTAACGCTTCCTCCTCTTCTCTCCCTCTTCTCTCTTCCAGCCCATTTCCATTGAGGAGCCGGAGAGCGCCGAGGTCTAATTTCCTTGTTTTTCCGTGTCCGTGCTGCTGTCCCCGTGCCCTGTGGCCTGTCCGTCTCTGTCGCATCGTGTCTGCCTGTGTATGTGCGGTGGGAACACATCGCCGTCCTCTGTGTCCGTGTTGTTGGCGTGGCCCGTGCGCGGGTTGGCCATTTGTCCCTGGGGGTCCTGTCTGAGTCTGTCTAAGCCCTGAGATAGAGGTCGTCCCTGTCCGGGACCCCACTGCACGGGAGGGCGTGCCGCCAGCCGCCTTTCCGAGCCCAGCCCCACCACCAGGGCTGGCCTCCATGCAGAGCACCTGGTGCGGGAAGAGGGGCCCGAATGTGTTTCTGAGAGCACAGCCCTCGGGGTCTCCGTCCGAGGGAGGGTCACACTTGGTTTTGCCAGAGAGCGAATCCCAGTGCCCCCCGGCCGCCCCGGCGCAGCCTGCGGTGGTCAGGGGCGCCGCCCTGTGACCGGGACATGGCGGCTGCCTGGGGCCTCGGCTCGGCCGGCGGCTCCATTTCCCGGCAGGCTCACCCGGAGCCAGCGATGGGGGGTCCTGGGGGCCGGGACGCATGCTCTGTTTTGTGAGTGTTTGTTGAGGTTTCTCGCCGTGTTTTGGGGCGTGCTGTGTAGGTGGGTTTCACGTGTATCATGGGGAGTTGCTTGTGTTGGAACCGAACTCGCTGGAAGAAAATGTTGACTGTCAGAAAGTCGCTTTTGGTCCACTTCCTCATGTGCCCACCGCCGCCAGGCGGGCCCCGGAGGCCTTCTTCCCGGAGGCCTGTGTCCTCACTCTGAAGGCCACTACCCATGGTTCAGACCCTGCAGGGCTGCTCCGAGTCCCCTGGGGGAGTTTGCAGCCCAGGTGTGAGCAGTGATGACCGGTTCCCATTCCCTCAGGAAGGGAAGAGCTCAGAGAGGTTAAGCCACTGGGCTTGGGTCACACAGCTAAATGGCACTAAACTAGGACCAGCACAGACTTTTCCTTCCTGCGGGGCTGAGCAGGAGCTGGGAAACACAGCAGGCTGTGCAGGGAGGGCTCCTGGGCCAGGGGACAGCCCGCTTTCTGCACGTCCAGTGTCGCCCCTCCCGGGTCCTGAGCCACAACCCCCCACACCAAGCCCCACCCGCATGGCCCTCAGGCTCCCTCCTCCTCGTTGGAAACACCCGCTGCTGTGGATTCCCTCTGGAGAGGGCGCTGGGGCTGTTTGCTTCCCTGCACGCTGGGTCTGGAAAGGCCGGTCCTGGTCGGCGCCTGGGGCTTCGCTCATGGCTGCTGCCCTCGGAGTGAGGAGTGACGGGATGTGTCTGCTGCTCAGGATGGAAGGGGGGCCAGGGTGCCCCCCGCGGAGCCCGGGGAAGCAGGGGTGTCTAATCGTCTGCAGGAGACAGAACCCTGTCTGTTCACGAAGGAAGCCGTCCTGGCAGCGCTCGGGCTCTTTGAAAAGGTCCCTGAGGAAGCAGCTGTGGCTCCCTCTCCCTCGTTGCCCTGGCAACCCTCCCCGCCCTGGGACACTGTCCCCAGGCGGCAGCCTTCCTGCCAAGGCCTGTGCTGGGAACTCCCGGCTCCCCCGTCCGGGGCTCTGCACAAGCCCAGTGTTGGGGTTCCTGCTGGTGGGGGGTTTGGGAGGAGAGGCCTCTGCAGAAACAGCACACCAGCCCCGGGCGCACTGTGACCTGGGGTCTTGGGGTCCCCATGGTGAAGGCCACGGCCCTTGGGTGTAAAGCCAGCAGCTTCGGGAGTGGCACCCAAACACTAGCTCGGGGGCTAGTGGTTCCCTGTGGAGATGGCCAGGGTGTAGGTCCGTGCTAAATGCGAGCTCCCCCCCACACACACACATACACAATCCCCCGAAGAGAGGTGCAGGAAGGAGAAATGGGGTAACCAGAGCGTGTCCTCGGGGAACCTCGGACCAGGGTCAGGAGGTCACGCGGCCACATGAAGTCCTGTGTGGACTGAAGGGCGCCTCCGGGGAAGTGCACCAGCCCCCGAGCCAGAGCCGCCACGGTTCATGCGTGTGTCTTGGAGAAGGACTTGTCCCGCCATGTGCGGGGCCTGGACCTGCTGCCCTTGCGTGCACTTGAGAGAAGATCCCGCCTCATCCCTGTCACCTGGGACCCAGAACTCCTGGAGTCCCTGGAGCTGGCCAGCACCCGCCTTCCTGCCCCGCCCCAGAGAAGCTCCCTGCAGCCCTGCCTGGAGGGCGGCAGCCAGCTCATCCCACACCTTGGCTTCTCCCAGGAGCCAAGCTCAGAGGAGAGAAGCAGGGCGTTACTCTGTGTCACCAGGAGGGGGCGCGCTCGTGCCACCAAGGCCACGCCATGTCCTACTTTCCCAGGCCGAGCGCTGCGCGGGCAGGCTGGGCACCTGCCAGCATCCAGGCGGCTGTTACATAAGCGCGCCTTTTTCCTGGAATTTAGGCTCATGCTGATGTGTGACCTTCAGCGCCGTTGCCAATAAGGCCGAGGCTGTTTACTGCTCCCGCTGGCGGCCCGGGCAGGGCGAGGGCAGGGCCTGGGAGCCTCACGCTCCCCCCCCCCCCTCTCTCTGTCTCATGCTCAATGGTTCCATAATGATGGGAGTTGTGTAACGGAGTCAAGTGGGAACGCGTGGGGGTTTCCTCAGTGAATTTGAGTTCCCGTGGACTCGCCCTGTACGTGGGGGGGAAGCTGCGTCACTTGACTGCTGGTTTTGTTCTAAAACAAATGTCCGTGTAAAGGGATGGGTAGGCGGGGGGGCTTGAGCACAGCTCTGCTGACAGGCGAGGCGGCCCATGTCCGCTCAGGTGTTCTAGTGGGTCCGTCCACTCCCTGCTCTGCGTGCTGAGTGGAGGGGGGGGGGGGGAGCTGGAGACGGACCCGGGGTTAGAGATGAGGACTTCCCTTTGACGTACCTGGGTCGTAAGGCAGTGACATTTCTCAGCGTGAAGAGGCAGTGGAGGTCCATCGTTGGTTTCCAAGGTCAAAGCCAGGCCACCTCCGGTTGTTGTGGAGCACCTTGATGGGGGCTCAGCACCTAGGGGTGGGCCTGAGGGGGGGAGGTGAGGCCTGGGCCTCCAGGCTCGCCCATTTCCTCGACGTGTGCCCTCTCGGTGCGTGGCCATGGAGATGACCTCACGTGTAAAAACACTCACTTCGGTAATAAAATGTGCTGAGAAGGTCACTCCAGCATTTACCAAACACGCTCTCCTGCTCTGGGGATTACGTGCTGTTTGTGTGGCTGCGGTCTGATGTGAACATAGCTTATGGGTACGATTCTATTTTTCAAAACTGGGCTTGCTGCCGTCAAATGACCACCTCCTCCGGAAGCAGGGCAGGAGTCCCGGGGGAGGCGGCGTGGAGAGGCTGTGGGGTGAGGGTTGTGTGTGCGGTTATGTGCCAGGTGTTTGCTGTCCCCCGCTGCGAACGGCGTCTGTCCTCGCGGGTGACAGAGCGCCTGCCCGTCAGGAGTTATGAAATGAAGTTTACTGAAAATACAGCAGGCATTACGCAATGTCTTCGCCGGAAGGAGTCTGCTGAATCTCTCCTGAGCCAGGTCAGGGGGCAGGAGCCCAGCACAGGGGGCAGCTCTGGGTGGCACGGAGATCCCGGGGCCGCCAGAGGGCGGGTCCCACAACCCCCATCCAGGGCCCTGGTGTTTTCGTTCTGCCTCGTGAGCGGACAGCGTGAGGCAGCGATCCCAAAGCTGCAAACCGCCAGCCCTGCCTCCAAATCCTCTGTGAAATGGTCAAGGAAGAAAAGAGAATTCAGCCCTGGCCGGTGTTGCTCAGTGGATAGAGCGTCGGCCTACAGGTTGGAGGGTCCCAGGTTCGATACCAATCAAGGACACATTTCAGGGTTGTGGGCTCGATCCTCAGTGTGGGGCGAGCAAGAAGCAACCGAGGTATTATTCTCTCTCATCATGGATGTTTCTCTCTCTCTCTCTCTCTCTCTCTCCCTTTCCCTTCCTCTCTGAAATAAATGAAAACTTTTTTTAAAAAAAGAACATTTTTTCTATCTTGGAGGGTCGACCACCAAATGGGTGGTTGAACTGCACCGACAGCCCCGAGTCTCACCGCCCATGCCCAGCTCCCAACCCCTGCCCGCCACCACAGCACCCTGCCCGCCACCACAGCACCTGCCCCCGCATGCCCTGTCGCTGGGGCACCTCCAAGGAGACCAAGGTCACTGCTCACGGCCTGAGCCTTGGCCTCTGCCCAGGACCCCTCCCGCACCGTGAACCAGCCGGCCCTGCCCGGTGCGGGCCTGGTCCAGGAGCCCTGGCAGGAGGGCCCGGCAGTCCCATGGGGCATCAGCCAGCCTGCTGAGGGCTCTGCCTGCACGGGGGCGTGGCCTTTTCTCCGGCCCCACCTCCTTTTAGCCACGCCCACCCTCGCGGGACCCAGGTTTCCCTGGGGCCCCTCTTCTCCCTCTGGGATGGTTTGGAAAGAAGGAGGTGGAGGAGTGTCAGCATGGTCTGCAGGAGTGGGGCCTGGACTCCAGTTTGGGGAGTCCTGAGAAGGCACTGGGGGTAGCCCTGCCCACAGCAGCCTTTCTCCCCAGAGATGTCTCAGGGGGGCGGGTCCTCAGCCTCCGAGACAGGCACGGGGTGGGGACGGGACACGGGACATGCCTGCACCCATGGGAGGCCCCGGCAGGGAGTGGGGATGACAGCACCAGGCCCTGGGGGGGCACTGCCCAAGCCCCTCCTGTCGGCACCACCCCTCCTCCCGCCCCAGCCCCCGTGTGTGCACTGTCTCTGTCTTCCTCCCTGTGGATGGACCTTTTTGAAATATATATGTTTTATTAATAATATAAGAGAGAGAGAGAGAGAGAGAACCATCAATGATGAGACTCGTGGATCAGCTGTCTTACATGCCCCCGACTGGGGACTGAGCCCACAACCCGGGCCTGGGCCCCGATGGGAATCGAACTGTGACCTCCTGGTCATAGGTCCACGCTCCTCCCCTGGCCACGCGGGGGCTGGCCTCCTTTGTCAGAGGCGTTTCCGTCTTGGTGGTGGGCTCTGCTTTGTTTCTCTCCGTGTAACACGCTTCCCCTCTCAGGCCGGGGCGCCCCAGGGCAGCAGGTTCCGGTCCCTGTAACAGGGAGAGGGTCTCCCCTCAACAGCGCCCCCTGTGGGCACAGGCCCCTCGCTGTGACCTAGCCGCTGTGCGTCTGCGTGTCCTTCCGTGTCCGTCCCGGCGTGTGTGGCCCTGGGCGTGCCCTCACTAACCTCTGTCTCTCCCTGACCAGCTGCCACCGGCCCCGGACCCCGAGAGCAACACAGAGGTGTGTGCGCCCGGCCGCGGGGGCCCCTCTGTTGTCCTGAGTGTCTGCTTTGTCATGGCGACGTGTGTGTCTGTCCGGACCGGAGCGGGGTGTGCGGGGATAGTCTGCGGCCTGGCCGGAACTGGGGTGGCGCCCGGGGTAGGAGAAGGTCCTGAGGGGCTGGGGCAGGTTCGGGGGAGGCCCGGAGCCCACACCCAGCACCGCAGCCTCCACCGCTCCCCGGGGCCCTGGGACGCAGCCCTGTCCGTCCATGAAGCAGGCTCTGGGCCCGGGCAGGGAGGTGCGTCCCCCGAGCCGAGCCCGAAGGGGCTGCGCAGAGCTGGGTCTCAGGTGCGCGGCGCCCTGGCACCGACCACACTCCTAAGGGGCGCTGGGCCCTGTGGGCTCCCAGAGCCCAGAGGAGCTTGGGGGGGCACGTGGGCCAGGCTCCCCGTCTGCTGCCTGAAACCCCGGGTGAGAACGGGAGTGGGGGCAACAGGCCGCCCCCCCGGCCACCTCACCAGCTCCCTCGCCGCCGATGAAAATGCGGGCGCTGGTGGGCCGGGGAAAGCCACTCTCCGTGTCCGTGTCTGCTGGCATGTCTCGTGGATGTTCTCATGCATGCGCCATGTGGGGGTGCATGTCTGAGCCGCGGGGACCTGCCAGGTTGAGTTTGTGTTATGTACAGATACATGACATAAAGCTTCATTCCATCATCTTCAAAAAAATCAGCCAAACATCCGTGTGTCTGCTCGCCTTCCACCGTCAGGGGTGGGTGCGGGGCGAGGCGCTGTCCCCGTGAACGGGCGCTCGTGTCCGTCCGGGAGAGAGCGCCCTCCGTGTGAGCGAGCGCCCAGGGCCGGGGCCAGAGCTTAAGACGGGATTTCTGCGTGTTTAGCAGGAGGCGGAGCCGAGTCCCCCGCTGAGGCAGCTGGAGGACCACAAACGGGTACGTAGCGGTCGCGGGGGTTAGTCTCGGAGGCCGAGGTGCTGGTGGGCGTTGTTAGGGCAGGATCGGTCAGGCCCCGTCACAGCCACTCACAGGTCAGACCCACCCGCACCCAGCGGGCCCCAGACGGGGACCCTGTCCGCCACCCAGGCCGCTCTCCTTTCTCCGGCAGCTTCCACGCAGCTGCAGTCTTGCATCCCTTTCTCTGTGAGTGACCGGTGGTCGTTACGGGTGGTTTATCCTGGGACAGAAGTGTCTGCGGCCCTGCCCAGGGCAGAGGCGGCCAGAGGGTCTGTGATCTCCCTGCCGGGTGCAGGCCGGCCAGCACGCACTCCCCGGCTCCGCGGTGACTCCCGCACAGCTCTGGGTCCCTGCTTTTGTGCGGGTCTCCCTCCGGCGGAGCGTCTTCTCTGAGTCTTAGACGGTCGGCAGCTGCCTCAAGTTCCACGGGTTCCCTCGTGGCTTGTCATCGCTCCCCTGGGACGGGGACGGCCGAGGGAGTGTGGTGTCCAGGTGGGCGAGGCCCCGGGAGGGGTGCTCCCCGCAGGCGCTGACAGGGGGAATCTGGCACGCCATTCCCACTGCCTGGGCCTCGGTTTCTTCTTCTGTGGAATGGGCATGAACAGCCTCCATCCCTTGGGCAGTCTGTGGACTGTGCCCACGAACGCTCGGCGGGCGGTGATGAGGGGCGTGAATGGTGCTGGCCGGTGTTTGCGGGCACCGGAGACGCCTCGGTGGTTTTGCGGAAACAGGCGTAGGCAGAGGAGGCGATTCTAAGCCGAGTGCTGAGGCGGGGCAGAGGCCCGGTCAGGGTTTTCCGTGACTGGTGCCTGAGAAGCCCAGGCCACTGCCCCCGGGCGCCTGACAGCACTGACCCGTCCGGGCCCCGTCCCCACCCGGCTCCTTAGACACGGGTTTCCGTGACGGACGCGGAGCTTGGCTTCCCGGCCCACGTCACTGTTTTCCAGGACACCCTCGGGGTGCAGGGACTCCCCCCTGCTCTCCGCCTTACGCGGCGATGTGCGGCCGGAGACATACGCCTGCCGTGGGCTGCACACGGCAGGTGTGAGCCGCCGGCGAGGCCAAGCTCTGGGCGGCGCCCAGCGGATCTCCTTTGTCCTGTGGGGCCCACTGGCTCCGAAAGCAGGCTTCCCCTCGAACCCATGGCTCCACACAAGGACCTGCAGGGCCTGCAGCCATGCCCACCCCTTTCTTCCTCCGCCCCCTCCTCCTCAGCATCTCCTTTCACAAAAAGGATGCATCTCACTTGGCTTTCCCAAAAGAAACCCCGCGCGCCTGGTTTCCATGCCGCTCGTTCGCCCGTTCATCGCTTGTTTGTGGAGAGAAGGGGTGCACTGATCCAGAGCCTCCCGCGAGGGTGGCGGGGGAGACGCTGCGGGTGGTTGTGCACAGGTGGGCTTTTTCCCGTAATGAGCACGTGTCATCTTATCTCCTGGGGAAAAGTGCCCGGGTTCCTGCCTCAGTTGCTATGGTAACAGCGAGGGCTTCTCTGCAGAAGGACAGGCAGCGTGGCGAGGGGAGGGGAGGCCCTGGCGACGGGAGGTCCTGAGCGCATTCCCAGGCCCCGGCCGGGGTAGGTTCTCCGTCTCCGCTTCTTCAGGCCGCACTGACCTTGGTCTTACCCGTGACTCTGGGCACCACACGGAGCAGAAGGTCTGGCCTGTGCCGGGGCCTCGGGGAGCCCGTGGGGATGGCCCTGCCTACAACCATGCAGCCTGTGCCCTCCAGGTCTTGCCTGAGGCTGCGGAGGCATCTGCCTTGTCTGCGGCCCCGGTTCCAGCCCAGGCACCGCCTCTCAGTGAGAGGGTCCAGTGAGGGGCAGGCTGCTCTGCTGCCATCCCTCCTCGCATGGGAGCTCCAGGTCTGCGTCCCGGAGGGGCGTCCCCAGGACGTAGGACGAGTCCCCAGAACTCCCATGCCACCGCCCGTCAGGGTAACCGGGGCGGCAACCTGTGCGCTCCCTGGTCCCGGCTCAGTGGGCCTGGGCCAACCTAGCGCCATCCTCTTGGGTTGATGTGCGCAGTGGGTGGTGCGAGGGGGTCCCGGAGGCCTGAACACCAGCCGACCGACTTGACGCCACAGTGTGGTTTCCGAAGCCATGAACACACGCCCTGAAAGCAGCCCCTTTAAGCAGGGCCTGGGAGCGGCCTGGGGGCCCCTGGGGAGCGCGCGGGGCTGGGCTTGTGCTGTCGGCTGGGGAGGAAATGAGCTTCCCAGCGAGTGAAAGCAGCTACAGGGAGAGGCGTTTGTGGGTGGAGGGGAGAGAGAAACCGGGCTTGTTTTATTCCCTGAACTTCCATTTAAGAAGCAATTCTGCCCCCTCCCCGCCCCCACTGCTCTCTCTCCCGTGCGCCCATCCAGTCCTCAGGAATCTTTGACCAGCGTCTTGCAGGGACAAAGGGGAAGCCCCCTGGGACCTTAGGGGGTTGCCCCTGGCTGCCCACCTCCCTGCGGGCACTCCCTCTCCTGTCAGCCCTTCTCTCCCCCCTCCCCCCCCTCCAATCTGGTTTTGCATACAGCTCCTGGCCTATTCTGGGAGCTTGTTTGCAAATCCTGTGAGTTCTGCTGACTCCGTTACAGCTGCAGGTCTTGGTGGAGGGGAGAGACCTGTGTGTGTCAGCACCTCCCTGCCTCTGCGGCGTCCCACCTGCTCCGCCGAGGTCCCCAGGCGCCCCACCCCGCCCTGTCCTTGGGAAGGAGTCTCGGCAATCCGTGCCGCCTTTGGCCTTTAGAAACCTCCAGACCGAGAGGCGGCTGGCGGCCCCTAGCGAGACGGCACTGGTCGCAGCGCCCGCCGCCTCTCCTCCCTCCAGGGCCGCAGCCCTCCGGGCGTCCTCTGCCGTGTGTGTCAGTACTTCTTACTGTGCACGATGGAGCCTCTTTGGAATCCGCTCGACAGCTCGGCCCGTGCCCCCTCGTGTCTATCACACACCTCCCCCCTCGCCCCCGTGGCCTTGGAGTCATCTCTTCCGCGATGCTTCTTTCTGATGGATGTCCGCTGTCGGCCACCCGCTTACTCTCCGTCGCACAGTCTTCCTTCGCCGCTCGGCCCAGGGACGGTTCCCATAGGAAGGCCCGCTGTCAGCTTCTCATCCCATCGACGCGGACTCCTTGCGTCCTGTTCCCCGGGGTCTGGGGAGGGAGCCCTGGGCCTGGGGTCAGGTGCTCTGTGGGACGTGACCTCAGCGTTTCCCTGGCGTCCGGTTCTGATGGGCTGACCCCAGGGGACCGCTGGGTTAGTTTTTGTTTAGCGCTCGCTGCCTTCAGGGGACAGGGCCTCGGAGCGTGGACAGTCTGGGTGGCTCCTTTTTTATGCCCTGGTTCCCGAGAAACGATGGGGGAGCTCACCACGAGTTTCCTGACGCCATCATTAATCATTCATCTGCCTGCCACCCCCACCCTACCCCACCCCGCGCATTCCACCGGTGAGTGCTCGGTTATGCGTGAAATCCTGAAGCTGACTTTGTTATCCTGTTTGAATGCAGGGTGAGGCGCTCAGGCAGATTTTGGTCAACCGTTACTATGGCAACGTCAGGCCTTCGGGAAGAAGAGAGAGCCTCACCAGCTTCGGCAATGGCCCGCTGTCGCCCGGAGGAGCCGGCAAGCCCGGGGGCGGAGGTAGGCGCACGGCAAGCTGGCGTGGGCGCTGCGGGCCGCCTGACGGGGACATGCTGACCAGTGATTTCGGGGTGCAGGTGGATTTTGAGCAGCTTGTCCTGGTCCTTAGCTTCTCGCCCGGAAGTTCTCAAGCACAGTTTCCTCCCACAACATCTCCAAACAGTCCCTGGTTACTTTCCATGGGGAGGCCTCTCCACAAATATGAGGGCCCCTGGGGAGGCCCCGGGGAGGCCCCGGGGCGTCGGGGACAGTCTGCCTCCAGGAGAAGCGCAGGGGGGGGGACCAGCTGCCACCTGCAGGAGAGACCAGAGACCGAGGCCTCGGTGGCCAGAGCAGGAGGTGGCGGCGGCATCTGAACTGAGTTCCCTGTTTTTTTCTGAAATCGATCGGCCCGTATTCCCACAGACAGAGTCTCTGTTTTTGCCATTAATGGGGCAAGGGAAGTTCTCAAACAGACACTTCCAAACGCAGGCCCAGCTCCCTGACGGCGTGAGCCTCTCTGAAGGTCACCGCCACGGGAGCTTCCTTGGTTTTGCTCACGACCCGTCCCCAGCTCCTGGCTCCACACAGCACAGCGTTGCTGAGTGAGTGAGTGAATGAGTGATGAATGAATGAAGGAACGAACAGATATTGTTAGGGTTAGGGTTAGGGTTAGGGTTTTGTGAGCGGGTGAGTTTGCCAGGAGGGTTTGTTGGAAAGAGGGCTGACGTGGTCGCTGTGGGCTGTGCATGCTCAGGAGGGTTCGAACGAGGGTTTGAGTTGAGTCTGTCACTGCCCCAAGCCTTTGTCTGCTGGCGGGAGGGAGCATCTCAGCTGGGAAAGCCGGGCTCTCTCCGTCCCATCTGCCGGGTGCAGGTACCATCTCCACCTCCAGGGGGCGTCCGCTGGCAGGCGACTTCCCCTCTGTGCAGGCAGCACCGGCTGTTACATGGCGGAGGGGAAGGAGAGGAAGCCATTGACGTGTGGACCTGTGACCTGTGGCCCAGTGTGACCCAGTGAGTGTCCTGCGCCGATGTGTCAGTGAGAACCATCTTCCCTCACCCCAGGGGGCAGCTCCGGGTCCAGCTCCGTGAGCCGTGGCGAGATGAGCCTGGCCGAGGTCCAGTGCCATCTGGACAAGGAGGGGGCCTCCAACCTGGTCATCGACCTCATCATGAATGCGTCCAGCGACCGCGTCTTCCACGAGAGCATCCTCCTGGCCATCGCCCTTCTGGAAGGCGGCAACACCACCATACAGGTAGGGAGGCAGGGGGCCCCGGGTGTGGCTGTGGGTGCGGCTGTGATCTCAGGTGTGGGTGTGGCCATGGGCGTGGCTGTGGGTATGGGTGTGGCCTTGGGTGTGGCTGTGGGTATGGGTGTGGCCTCAGATGTGGGGGTGGCCACAGGCATGGCGGTGGGTATGGGGGTGGCCTTGGGTATGGGTGTGGGTATGGGTGTGGCCTCAGGTGTGGGGTTGGCCAGGGGCTTGGCTGTGGTGTGGCCTTGGGTGTGGCCATGGGCTTGTGTGTGTGGCTGCCGGCTGGTCATCCCTGCCGAGCCAGGGGCACCTGTGCCGGGAGCCAGATACCGCGTGGTGTGGAGACTCGGTGTGAGCAGCAGCTGGTATTGGAGCAGGACGTGTTCATCCTGTGAGATGAACTCTGACCTCTGGCTGTGTCGCGCAGTCGGCACTCAGACTTGGTTCCAGAGCAGGAGTTCCGTTTACACGCGAGTGACATGCTGAGCGTGTGCAGAGGGAACTGGCCGACCTGGGGCGGAGCTGGCTCCTGGACGCACAGTTCCCATCCCGGTCATGGTCGCGTCACAAGGTGACCATGGGGATTAGACGTGTGAGCTCCTTAGAGCCCGGTTCACACAGCCGTGCTGCCCGGTTCACACAGCTGTTCTCGGTGAGAACACAGCGGAGGAGACCAGAGCCAGGGGCCGGGACAGGGTCGAGAAAATGGGAAAGCTCAGGACTCCTGCCGGGGCCGGTGGTAGATGTGAGGGTCAGCGATCGGGTGAGAGGTGGGCGCCCCGCTGGCTCTCCAGGCCTCGGGGAGTCTGGCCAAGCAGCGCGTGAAGGCACCGGGGCACGTGGGGCGGGCTGGCAGGGCGGGTGTTGGCAGGGGCGGGGGCTGGCGTGGTGCCGTGCACTTCACAGTGTACCCTGCCGGGTGGCACCGCACACAGAAGCTGTTTTTCCTTCAAGTTCTTTATCTTGTAAAGCAATTATGAATATTAGTCTCATGTTTTCACACATTTATTACTCATTCGCTCAGGCTCCAGATGAAATGCCACGGCTGCGCTCAGCGCTCAGCCGGGGAGGGCCGCTTCCTCTTCAGGGAGCGTGTGCGCCGCCGTGGGCGGGCCTGGGCGCCGCGGGTGCCTGCCGGGACCGGAACCGGGACCGGAACCGGGACCGGGACCGGGACCGGGACCAGGAGGGCGCGGTGCCGAGGACGCTCTCCCTCCTCTCCTCCCCCTCCGGTGACCTGGGCCTAACCCCTGCCTCCCTCGACCTGTGCTTTCAGGAGAATGTGTTCTGGCCTCTCAGTGACACTGAGGCCTCTTGGCCCCGCTTCTCTCCGGAGAAGATGACGCGGGGCCGGCCGAGGCCAGCTGAGGACGGGCTCCCAGCCCCGGCCTGAGTCAGAGCTCCCTCCTGCTCCCCTTGCTGGCCTGGCTTTGGAGAAGCCGGTTCAGGTGTGAGGGACCAGCTGGGAGCGTTGAGACCCTGCCGGGGTCCGCCGAGGCGGGCAGTGCCAGCCGGTCCCCGCCGCCTCACGTCCTGCTCTGACGGCCTCGGCTCAGCAGGCACTCACCGGGGCCGGGGGGGCTCCCCTACATTCGAGTGTCTCTGACTCCGTCTGGGAGCAGGACACGCTGTCGTCTGAAAGCAAACTCAGCACCTTCGTGCTGTTTGGTCGGAACTCAGACTTGGTTCCCGCCGTGGGCTCCGTGTGCCGCCGGGAAACGCTGCGCACCGAGCGGGCGCCCCCGGCCGGGCAGGTTAGACGTGGTGCACGTTAGTACCGAGTAGACACAGTGTCCCCAGGCCGTGTGCGCCCCGTAGAGGTCGTGTTCACGTCTCAGACTCGTCAGTGGCTATGGCTAGACAGCTCTCCACCTTCCCTGGGAGACTTCAGGAAGAGCAAACCGCTCTGAGCTAACCGGTGAGCTGGGCGGGTCAGCAGATGTGGCGGGGAGAGGGGAGAAGGGATGCGTGGGAGAACCCAGCCCTGCCCCTGGAGGGGCTCCCTGGGGCCCTGGCCTTCTGTTCCGGGCGTCACTGCCCGCACCCAGAGGGCGCAGCGAGCAGGAACCAGAGCTGCGAGGGAGGCTGCAGCCTGGCCGGGCGCCTCTCCCGGGCTGCGTCATCCGCTACCTCATCCCCCGAAGCTTGGAAATGCTGGGACACCACATTGGCACGGTGCCTCCTGGGGACAACGTCCCCAAACCTCCCAGCATCCCTGTCCCACCCTGGCTCCTCTGAGGTGGGATATCCGAGGACCAGTGCTGCCTCCAAGTCCCTCTCCCCGGGCCCTCCGAGCGGCTCCCCTCCAGGCAGAGCCCTCGGGTGCCCCAGGGGTGGCTGAAGAGCCACCTGTGCTGTTTCTCCCCCTGGGTGCCACCCCTCTGCCACCCTCAGCAGAAATCTTCCTTCCTGTGCCGCGTCTGGCAGCAAGAGGGAGGCTACCAACTAGCATTTGCTTCTGAATTACTGTTTGGCCTGAGCCCTCGCCTGGCCCCTTCCCCGATGTCCCCCCCCCCCCCCAGCGCCTGCAGATCCCTCCCCTCCCTCTTCCCTGGGGCCGCCATCATGGGGAAGGGGCGGGCCGTGCACCTGGGCCCGTGGAGAGCGGCTTCTCGCAGATACAGCCACGTGGGGGGGGGGGGGCCGCGGGGGTGCTGAGGTGGTCACAGGGACCCGCACAGTGGCGGGGCCAGGAGACGAGCTGTTTGGGGCAATTGCTTCCGGCTGCAGGAGCACAGAGCCTGCTCCGTGCCGGATGGCTGCCCACGCCGTCCCGGCCAAGCCCGGCTCCAGACACACCCAGCAGGGCTGTCTGAGCAGCACGTACACACTCGGCTTGGCAGAGGGCGGGTGCTCTGTCAGGCGCTCGGCTCCCCGGGGAGAGGCGGGGAGGGGCCACCCCGGGCCCTCGCTCTGCACGCCTGGGCTGCTGGTCGGCCTAGGGCTTCGGCTGGGGGCCCACGTGAGACGGACATCCCCCACCCCTGCAGAAGGCACCCGGGTAGGGGAGGGGCACGCCTGCCCTGACCCGTGGGCTGACCCCGTGGGCAGAAGGGCTGCTGGGCTTCCCTTTTCTGGAAGCGGAGGGCCCTGGGAGGAAGACCAGCCTCTGACACCCCCCGCCCCCCCAGCGGGAGGGCAGGCTGCAGTGGGAGCGAGTTACGTAAAAGGGAGTTGTTTCTGGCAGGGCGTCGGATGAGTCAGGCCTGCGTGGTGTCTTCTGACCTCGGGTCCTGTCTGTGGGAACGCTCCCAGCGCAGCCAGCGGAGGCGTCAGACCCGCGGGGGCTGGAGCCCTGGCAGCGAGCGAGGCGGCAGGTGGCCCGGCCCCATCGCCACCCCCGCCCCCAGGGGCTCTGCCCGCAGCTGAGGCCCAGCTGAGCCCGAGGTCTGAACAGGAGCTGAGCTGGTGGCCTGGGGTCGGCCAGGCGTGGAGGGGGGCAGCCTGGAAGGGAAGCCATGCCCGGGAAGGGGCGTGGCCTCCGGGCTGGAAACACCTGCATCAGATCCGCTGTGCCCTGCCCGCCCGCCTCAGACAGCTGGCCACCCAGTCCTCCCCCCGAAACGAGGGTGGGGAGCACAACCCCCCCCCCCCTCCTGCAGGGTCCAGGAATGAACCAGCCATGGGGGCACCATGCACAGCCCATTGACGCTGCAGAAATGGGGCTGGTTTTGTGCAGGGAGGGAGGCCCGGGTTCGAGCCTGGCCTCTGCCCCGTCCATCCTCAGGCAAAGTCCCTGCCCTCTGGCCTCACGAGTCCCAGGGCGCGGACACAGGGTTCACAGAGGTGCCTTGTGCAGGGTCAAGGTCACAGCTCTTAAAACGGGGTGGTGTCTTGTATTAATAAAGTTTTATTATTTAGGAGAGGGCTTCCTTTTACTGATGTGTTCCTGCCAAAACTCTGACATCTGCAGTTTTGCTTCCGGGTGGTGCCGTGGCCCAGCGGGCTGGGGTGCTGGTTCTCTGTTCACACTCGGTCCCCCACATCAGGGACACAGCTCTGAGGCAGGGGCTGCCGATGGTCACTCCGGCACGCTGTCTCTCTGGCTCCAAGTGCTCCGACCGCCTGGCTCCTTCCCTCTCGCCTTCTTTCTTTTTCCTCGGTCCTCCCTCGAGGACGTGTTCCCCCTGGATGTCTTATTTTAGGAAGGAAGCGGGAGAGAGAGGGGGGCACATCGATGTGAGAGACAAACGTTGGTCCGTTGCCTTCCATACACGCTGGCCAGGGGCGAACTCAGCCACTGGGCCTCCGCCAGGGCTCCTTCCTTTTTGCCCAAATAGTCCCTTGGCCACGCCCCGTCCCCTTCCTCTCGGGCCCGGGGAGCTGGCGTCGCGCTGGACAAGGGCCTTTTACGATTACCGATCTAAATCTGAGTTCGGAGGCGGAAGCTCGGTCCTCGGGAGCAGTGCCATCCTCGGGAAGGCGGGCCCTGGGTGGCCTCCCCTGAGCAGGCGACAGGTCCCCGGCTCCGCCCACCTGCCTCGCTGCCACTCCAAGGGACACACAGTTGGCCCCGGACCACGTGGCCCTCGGGCCTGGCCTGGCTTCAGCCGCCCGTGCCCACCTCCCCCGGCGCCGTGGTCTGTGGGCAGGGGCTCTCATTGGGAAGGGCACACCGCGTGGGCACCGGTGAACTGTAAACGTGGACGGGGGAAGCCGGCTGGCTCCCTGTGTGTCATGAATGGGTTTCCTCCGTCTGTGTCCTTTCGGGAGGAGTTCCTCCGCTCAGGGGTGACCTTGTCTCTGACACGGGAGGCTGCTGCTGGCTCACGCTTCGCTGAGTTTTCCAGAATCGGCGTTGTGAACCCCTGCACGGTTTCCGGGGCGGACGTGTGTGTGCACGTGCGTGTACGTGTGTGTGTGTATGTATATCTGTGTGTGTGCGTGTGTGTATGTATGTCTGTGTGTGTGCGTGTGTGTACGTGTGTGTCTCTGTGTGTGTGCGTGCATATGTCTGTGTGTATGCGTGTGTGTACGTGTGTGTCTCTGTGTGTGTACGTGTGTGTCTGTATGTCTATGTGTGCATGTCTGTGTGTGTGCGTGTGTGTGTCTGTGTGTCTGTGTGTGCGTGTGGCCCGCCTGACTTGTGTTTACAAGAGGAAGCGCCCCGTTTGGGTTTGTTTCCACACCGAGGCTCGGGCGCGGAGGGAACATGGTGTGTTCACGCCCCCTCAGTGTCAGCTGCCGCGGAGGCTGTACACTGTCACCGACAGCTTTCCGAGTAGATTTCCACACGGTTACCTGGCAACGGCACCACCAGCACGTGCTGCCCGGCCTCGCCGGGCGGGGGGACCCGCCAGGCCCCGGGGAGAGGCCGGGAGGAGAGGCCGAGGCCGGCGGCACCGCGGAGCCCGGAGGAGACGCCGGGACGGCTCCCGGGGCTCTGGCCCCCTGGGGTGCGCATTGCTGAGCAGCGCCCCCGCCCGGCGAGGGAGGGAGCCACAGCGGGGAGAGGGTCGCAGCACCCCGCACTGGGGTTGCGCGCTGAGCTGTTCTGACCCAGCAGAGTTCAGGGTAGCCTCCGTGATGTATTTTTTTAAAAATGTTTTTATTGAATTCCGAGAGGAAGGAAGGAGGAGAGACAGAAACATCGGTGATGCAAGAGAATCATGGGTCAGCTGCCTCCTGCACGCCCCACACTGGGGATGGAGCCTGCAACCCCGGCAGGTGCCCTGACCGGAATTGAACCCGGGACCCCTTCAGTCTGTAGGCCGACGCCCTGTCCATGTAGCCAACCCACCGGCCAGGGCGAGAGCAGGTTTGTTCAGACCCAAGGGGGCCTTGACCCTGAGGGTTCGCACCGCGGCCGTTACCCGGGGCTGGGCACCCTGGGGGCCCTCTGGCTCAGGACCCTGCGCTGGCAGGTGCTCCCCACGCAGACGGAAGTCCTCCCGGGCGGCGGGAAGGAAGCGCCCGGAGGAAAACAAGGTCATGCGCGGCCGGGGTAGGCACAGGCGTCAACAAAGAGCGGTTACATAACGGCTATTTATATCCGCGCGGTGCGGCAGCAGGCAGCGGGCGGGCGGGCGTCGCCGAGGGACTTAATGAGCTGCCGCTCCGCTCACCTTCCCGCGCTGGCGGGAGCCAGCTTGTGCCGGGACGTCAGCGAGGGATCCGGCTGCGGGTGGGCGGCCGGGTAGGTGGACGGCCGGTTGCCATGGCGCCTCTAGAGCACGCACCCCCTTCCGGCTCCTTCCTTCCCGTCTCCTCCCTCCTCGCTCTGGAGCGTCCAGGCTCCTCACACCTCCTCTGCGATCCCGGCCTGTCCCGGAAGCAGGACAGCCCTCCCTGCCTGCGAAGAGCTGGTGGGGGCGGCTCCGGGGCCTCGGAGGAGCTTGGGCCAAGGGGTACCTTCCCAGCCCCCCTCCCGGCCTCCATCACTTCCTGGGAGTCTAACCTCCCCCCACAGGCTCAGCTCCCCCACGCAGTGCCCACACCAGGCAGGTCCAATGGGGCCCATGGTGGCTGTGCCCCAAAGTGCCATTACCCGGCCGGCGTGGCTCAGTGATTGAGCGTCAACCTATGAACCAGGAGGTCAGGGTTTGATTCCTGGTCCGGGGCACATGCCCACATTGTGGTCTCAGTCCCTAGCAGGGGGCGTGCAGGAGGCAGCCGATCCATGAGTCTCTCATCATTTAAGATTCTCTCCCTCCCCACCCCCTCTCTCACCCTCTACCTTCCTCTCTGAAGTCAATAAAAACACATTTTAAAAAAAGGAAGAAAAGTGCTCTTGTGCCCCATGCACTGCCTGGCGCCTGTGCCCTGCATGGGGGTAGGGGTGGCCGTCTAGCCCACAAGGAGCTGGAGCCCCAGGCAGATGGGGGGGCGGGGTGCCCCGCAGGCAGAGCCCCGGGCACTGGGCAGCTGGGCACCTGAGGGCTGCAGGTGGGAGTGACTCCGCCTGGGTTTCCGGAGAAGTGGCTGCTCCGTCCAGTTCTCAGCAGGAACTAGAATTGCCCGTCTGAGACTCGCCAGGGAAGCTGAGGGCCGGACGCCTGTGCCCTGGCTGCCCGCCCCCCCCCCCCGTCCCCCACGAGCCCCCCATAGGGAGGTGACAAGGGCAGGTTCTTAGAAAAGAAAAAGCCGTGTCGTGAGGATGGGCTTTTCAAAAGCCACACACACAGCCCGCCCCAGCCGACCGTGCGGGCTGAGCCCTCCGAAGCCGGAGCCTGTGGAGCTGTCGCGGCTCCGACGTCCCCTTCCCCCCGCGGCACCTGCTGAAGTGCCCGGTCCGGACGAGGCCGGTTTCTCTCTGCCTGCAAGGACCGGGGCCTTTCCCTGGGGACACTGTCCTCGCGTGTCGGTGCGACTGTGCCCTCTCTAAAGCTGCCAGTCGTTCATCCCGGCCCGGGGCAACTCGAGGGCTCCCTGCCAGCCAGAACGTGGCGGGTGGGGTGGGGAGGGGGCTGCAGGGATGGGAGAACAGACGGCCCAGAGCACGGCCCTCGGGGTCCAGGCGGCCGGGGCCCCACAGGCTTGGGGCCCTCTGTGGGGCAGGCGCCCGCCGGGCTGACGGTGGCTGTCCGTCAGCGTGTCCTTGCCCCCGGCGGCCGGCCGTTGTTGTTTTCCTCTGGATTTTACGGCCGAGTGGCTGTGTTGTGTTGTTTTTCCACGGAGGCCTGTGTTTGCACGTCTGCATTCCATCCCTAGAAGAGTCCCAGGCCCTTCCCTCCTGTGTTCGTTTCGCTCTTCATGGTCCGCGATGCCCGCAGGGGCGGTCTCAGGGACGGTGCCCCCGCACCCCATGCCACTCTCCTCGCTCCCGGGGCGTAGCTCTCAGCTCCTGGGGGCAGAGCCGGAGGTTTGCCTCTGCCGCTTCCGGCCGTGACCTGCCCGGACAGCGTGTGCCTGAGTGTGCGGTGGGCACAGCGTGGTCAGAGGTCACAGGTGGTGTGCCTGTCCTGTTCGCCACTAGCGGGCCCTGGGGGGGCTTCGGGTCAGGCAAATGGGAGGGCGAGAGGTAGAGGCGTTAGGGGGCTTGGAGAAGCTGCGATTCCCGCTTTTCCTGGGATTGAAGCCGGGACCCTTCTGTGGGAAGGAGGGGGCGGTCGTGGAACTGGCAGAGCCCCCGGGGAGCACGTGCGCTGGGAGCTCTGCTTTGTTCTCCTGGAAGTGCGGGTGGTGTTTCTGTGTAAACAGCTCACAACACGCAGTGTTTGCAAAGCGCTAGGGAGAACAATGGAACCGAGCGCCCGCCAGCCGCCTCGTTGTAGCAGCAGTTGCACGCGGCCCACAGCAGGTCCGAGCGCGAACACACACGTAGCCGCAGATGCGGAGCGTCTTCGTCTGCACCCCCTCGGCTGTCCTCCCAGGCCCGCCCTGGACGCCCCCTTCCGTGAGGATTGCGGGGTCACCCTCGCCAGCTCTGGGCTCCGGAATAGATGTCTGTGGAGCGGCTGGGCGTGGTGACTCCCCGTGTCTCACCTGGGGACACGTCACCCTCACCAGTATGGAGGCAGCCTGCGGGACAGGGGGCTCTTACTCATCCGCCTGTGCCCACGGGGCTGTGCGAGGAGGAGGGGCCCGTGGACGTCCTTCAGCAAAGGGCTGGCCCTGCAGGAGTCGCCCAAACACAGTCTACCCTGGCCGGTTAGGTTCAGGGGTTGGAGCGTCAGCCCGAGAACCAAAGGGTTGCAAGTTCGCTTCCAGTCAATGGCACATACCTTGGGCGCAGGCTTAATCCCCAGCCCAGGGTCAGGGCACGGGCAGGAGGCAACCAATCAAAGTTCCTCTCTATCTCTCTCCCCCACACACACATACTCGCTCAAAATCGATGGAGAAATGTCCCCGGGTGAGGATTAGCACTTTATTTCCCCCGTTAACGCTGGTTCCGTGTGTGTGTGTGTGTGTGTGTGTGTGTGTGCAGGTGGCTGCTCCCGGTGGGCTAACAGGGGCCCCCCACACCTCCCTTAGCGTGCTGCCCTCCCCGGGGGGCCGCTCGGGCACCGACGCCCCAGGCTCAGCAGAAAACCTCAGGCCGAGGACCCGGACAGCCACGGAGCACCGAGCGATGTTAACTTTGGTCCGGCTCAGACCACGCGTGAGGTCCCGTGGCCGCGCCGGGTCTCCGTGAGGCGGGGCTGTCCGAGCGGGACCCGGTGCTGAGAACGAGCGTGTGTATCCCCTCGCAGCACTCCTTCTTCTGCCGGCTGACGGAGGACAAGAAGTCCGAGCGGTTCTTCAAGGTCTTCTACGACCGCATGAAGGTGGCCCAGCAGGAGATCAAGGCCACGGTGACCGTGAACACCAGCGACCTGGGGAACAAGAAGAAGGACGAGGAGACGGACAGGGATGCCCCTTCCCGGAAGAAAGGTGAGTTCCTCTCTACCTCTCTCCTCCCTTCCTCCCGCAGCTCCCCATCAGCTGGTCTGTGCGGCCCGAGGACATGCCTTCCTCCCTCTAGTTCTCCCGTGGCTTCGAGGCTCCAGGCCAGGCGTCTTCAAACTACGGCCCGCGGCCCACATGTGGCCCGCAGAGGAGTCTGATCCGGCCCGCCAGGTTTTTTGGGCAGTGAGCGCAGCCGAGGTGTTACAGTAGGAATTAGTAGTTCATATAGTCCGGCCCTCCAGCTCTCTGAGGGACCGTGATCTGGCCCCCACTTTAAAAAGTTTGAGGACCCCTGCTCCAGGCCGTAGGCGGCGGGGCTCCTGGGAGCAGACCCGGAGCCAGTGATCACGTGGCTCTCCCTGCGCAGCCGGGCGGATCCTGCCGCTTGGGAGGTTCCTCTTGTGCAATAAGCTCCCTGGCGTTCCTCTGGGTCCAACGCCAGGTGCTCCGGGGGGAAAGCCATCCGTAATCCTTTCCTGTAGCTTTCCGCTTCACGTGGGAGAACGCTGAGGGAAGCTGAGTCAGATGGCATGTCAGACCGGGGCGCCCCGTCTCTTGCAGGCGGAGTCTCCCTTGTTTCTGAGTTATTGTCCGTCTCCTCGGTAAAGGGGAGCAATACCTGGGAGGGACACACACACACACACACACACACACACACACACACGCCCGGTGTTGAGTCGATGGCCTTGAGCAGGTTAGCAGCCCCTCAGGCCTTGCTTTTGGGGCTGTGCCTGGGTTTGCAGCCACAGCACATCCGGCCTGGGGGCTTGCTGCCATCGTGCATTGTGGGATGCTTAGCTGTGGGTGTGGCCTCGACACGGCAGATGCCAGCAGCCCACCCACCCCCAACCAAAAGGTCCCCGGATGTTGCAAACTGTCCCCTGGCTGGGATGAGGGCAGAGTCACCCCATGGGTAACCACTGGTCTAGAACGGGGGTTGGGGACGGGGGGAGAGAAGAAAAGTTTGCTCTGTCTACTGGGTACTCCTGGGACCAGGCATCATTCAGTCCCCCCTGTAAAATAGGCAAAATTGTCCCCATTTCACAGATGAGGAAACAGAGGCCCAGGGCGGTAATGACCTTTTTGTGTGAAAGGCACGTAGGCAGTCGAGCCCGATGCGAACCCAGCAGCGTGGCTGCGGGGCTGGTGCTCCTGCCCTGAGGCCCAGTCCCCTCGCAGGGCGCTCTGAGGACGAGGCGTGGCACCTTTCAGGGCCTGTCACAGCACAGGCTCCGTCAGCCAACACCTCGGTGACTGTGGTCACTACTGCGGTCAGCCTCCTGTCAGCCCTCGCAGGAGCTTCTCTGGGTGAAGTTCACCCATTTTACAGATGAGGAAGCTGAGGCCCGAGGCCTAGATTCGGGCCTGACAGCCTGTAGTCGGGCTTTCCTCTCACACGTGAGAGTATGGATGAGGTCAGAGCGCGAGCAGGCTGGCTCGCCCGGCTCCGTTCCCATCCTTCCGGGGACGAGAGAGAGCTGTGTGCTGGGCGTCATCCTTCCTCGGGGGTCAGAGGACTGTGTGCTGGGCGTCACCTGGGGACTGCGGGCGGCGCCTGCACATGCGCAGCGCCCATGGGCTCCCGTTCGCCTCGCAGCCAAAGAGCCCTCAACGCAGATCACGGAGGAGGCCCGCGACCAGCTCGTGGAGGCCTCGGCCGCCACCAGGAAGGCCTTCACCGCCTTCCGCCGGGAGGCCGACCCCGACGACCACTACCAGTCCGGGGAGGGCGCGCAGGCCGCGGCCGACAAGCCCAAGGACGAGCTGGAGATGAGCGCGGTCATCACCATCATGCAGCCCATCCTGCGCTTCCTGCAGCTGCTGTGTGAGAACCACAACCGGGACCTGCAGGTGAGGCCCGGGTGGTGAGGTCTGGAGCAGAGGGACGATCTGAGGCAGGTGAGGCCCGGGGTGCTGAGGCCGGGGGCAGGGGAGGCCAGGGGCCTGCAGGGGAGGCCTGAGGCCTGGAGGGGAGGTCTGGGGCAGGTGAGGCCCGGGGTGGGGAACCCTGGGGCCTGCAGGTGAGGTCTGGGGCAGGTGAGGTCCGGAGCCTGTAGGGGAGGTCCAGGGGCAGTGAGGTCTGGGGCAGGTGAGGCCCGGGGCCTATAGGGGAGTTCTGGGGGCAGGTAGGCCCAGGGACACGGCAGCCGGACACGCCTGACACTCGGCTCCTGTCCCCCAGCCAGGGTCCTGGTGGGGAGGGTTCTGTGTCTGGGTGATGACACGTCCTGTCTGTCCTCCCCTCCATCCCCCTGGGACTGGGAGCATCCCTCCCCCTTGCTCTCCGCATAGTTACACATGTGTATCTGAGACAGGCCTGTGTTCGGCATCATAGGAGCACAGGTGGCACACGGGCGGGTGGGCGGGTGGCTGGCTGGGTAGAGAACATTCCGGACTTAAACACCTGCCACTCAGGAAGGCTGCTGCTGGGAGATGGGTGAGTGAGGGGTTCCGGGACGTTGCGCAGATGAGGGCTCACAGGCACTGGCTGAGCTGATCATTTCGGAAGTCCTCGGTCCCTTTTCTGCTGTCGTGCGGATGGTCGCGGGGCCCAGGGCGCTTAGAAGCTGGTGCGGAGTGTCGCCTCTGCTGTGTCTCTAGAGGAGGGCTGAGGTTCGGGGACCCGGGCGGGCGGGCAGAGCTGGACCCGGACCCAAGCCGTCCGCCGGGAGGGCCTGACTCTCCCTCCCGGTGTCCCCACCAGCAAAGACTCCTGGGAAGACCATGGTGGACCCAGGGGCGCCCCTGCTCCAGCACTCACCTGTCACAGTGCCAGCCCCCAGCCTGGCGGTGCCCGGCGCTGCTGGCTCCGGGAAACAGCCCTGTCCGCCCAAAAGGGGCGACGATGAGCAGGAAAAACACCTGGACAGCCCCTCTATAACAGCCAGGGGGGCGGCGCTCCTGGTTCTGAGGTCAGGAGGGCATGGCGGGAAGGAAGCCATGTGCAGACGGCACCTCAGCACAGCCCACCTGGCCCAGGTAGTCCTCCCCCCCCCACACACACACACACCCATACCTCCCCCACTCCCTCAGGCCTGAACGATGGCTCCAGCTGTGGTCTCGTTCGGAAGCAGAGCATGAGGCGCTGAGGTCCAGGGGCTCGGGGGAGGCGGGAGTTGGATGATGAGTCAGGCATTCACCGTGGGTGTCAGCTTTTAACGTGGGCCTTTACCAACATTCTACTTATCCAAGGAGTGAGAGCATGAGTCTATTCTGGCTGTAAAGGTTCAGGCTGAAGTAACTATTGCGTTAGAACAAACTGTCCCTCTCCCGTTCCTCCCCCTCCACCCAGAGAAACGTCGTGGGTGTGGCTGTGCCCTCCAGGCAGGCCTCCTCCCGCGTGTTTGGATGGGGCGTGGGATACACGGTCATCTCGGCCTTTCGGTTTGACTTAAGTGTATCCTCGAGGTCTTTCCATCTGGCCCCTGTGGACCTGCATCCGGGTCTCTGTCACTGAGGGACGTGGATACAGTGTAGCTGCTCCCAGCTGTGTGGTACTGGGGGTGTCACTGAGGGACGTGGATACAGTGTAGCTGCTCCCAGCTGTGTGGTACTGGGGGTGTCACTGAGGGACGTGGATACAGTGTAGCTGCTCCCAGCTGCGGGGCATTGGGGTTCCTTCGGGTCCTTCCCCGTGACAGACAGGCCCATGTGACCCGAGGCCAGTGTTTCTCAGAAGTGTGATCACTGGGTCAGAGGTTACATCCACCTTATCGTTTGATCGTATCTTTTTGTGGGGCCGTTTTCTACAGTCAGCACACGAAACTTTTATAGCTTCGAGCAAAAGAGTGTTTGTGGTTAATTTCTGCTTCTCTTTTAGAAGAGATTCATGGAATCTCCGATAAAAATCTCCTCAACAAAACAGGCCGCTGTAGAAGGGGGTGGGATGTGGCTCGCGTTAATGTGTTGAAGTTCAGACCACTTACCGGTCTACCTGCAGAACGCACTGGGCACCCGCTCACCAGCACATACACTCCACATACACACATTCACACACACACACTCACACACACACACACACACTCATACACACACACTCACACACTCACACTCACCCCCCTTTATCAGTGGACGGGGCCACACATCTCCCGGGCACTTGGCGTTCAGACCCTCCTTCCTCTGTTCTGGAAATGTCAGTGCTGTGAGCTTAGCACCTGGTGAGCGGGCGGGTGGGCTGGAGTGAAGAGAAAAGTGGGAACTCGACAGGCTCAAGGAGTCAGAGACGAGCCCTCCTCCACTGCATCCCCTGCAGTCACCCCAGGGAGCCGGCCACCCTGTCGATGGTCACGGCCACTGACCCTCCACGGACGGAACCTTCAGTTCGCCGGACGCTATGTATCGCTGCATCCAGGGCACTGACCCGTTCGATTCTATCAAAACAGTAGGGCGGCCGAAACCGGTTTGGCTCAGTAGATAGAGTGTTGGTCTGCGGACTGAAAGGTCCCAGGTTCGATTCCAGTCAAGGGCATGTACCTTGGTTGTGGGCACATACCTGGTAGGGGGTGTGCAGAAGGCAGCTGATCGATGTCTCTCTCATCCATGTTTCTAACTCTCTGTCCCTCTCCCTTCCTCTCTGTAAAGGATCAATAAAATATATATTTAAAAACAAACAAAGAAACAAACAAACAAAAACAGCAGGGTGAGCCCGGCCAGCATGGCTCCGTGGTTGAGCCTCGACCTATGAACCAGGAGGTCACAGCTCCATTCCCTGCTAGAGCATGTGCCTGGGTTGCGTGCTCAATCCCCAGTGTGGGGCATGCAGGAGGCAGCTGATCAGTGACTCACCCTCTCTCATCATTGATGTTTCTCTCTCTCTCCCTCCCTCTGAAATCAATGCAATAAAAAAATTAAAATTAAAAAAAAAAGTCAAGTGAGTGACCGTCTCCCTCTTCTCCCGCCTGCGCTCCCGTGGCCTGGCCGTTGCCTGCCCGCAGAACTTCCTGCGCTGCCAGAACAACAAGACCAACTACAACCTGGTGTGCGAGACGCTGCAGTTCCTGGACTGCATCTGCGGCAGCACCACGGGTGGCCTGGGGCTGCTCGGCCTCTACATCAACGAGAAGAACGTGGCACTCATCAACCAGACGCTGGAGAGCCTCACCGAGTACTGCCAGGGACCCTGCCACGAGAACCAGGTGCGGCCGAGTGGGGGCCGGGGGGTCATTCCGCCGTGTTGTCGGGAGGACTCGCTGGGGAGTCACAGTGCACCGCCCGCCCATCGGCCCAGGCGTTGCCCTTGAGGCCGTCGCCAGCAGTGAGGGGGGGGGGGGGGCGCCCGTCACAGGTGTGGGCTTGTCCTCACGGGGCGGGGCTCGGCTCGCTGTGACTGCCCGCTCTGACTTGCGGGGGCAGATAGTGAAGGCGGAGTTAAACTAGGACCGGGAGGCAGTGCCCAATGCTGTGCAGGAGCCAAAACGTGGCTCCCTGGTGGCAGGAGGGTCGGGCCGGCTGGAGGAGAGCCCGCCCTGCAGGAGGAAGCCTGATGGTCACGTGGGGACCTGGGAGGCTCAGGCTTTGACCCCGAAGACATTCCCAGGGGAGGAGGACCCTCAGCTTTGACCTTCTAACCTTGGCCTCTCCGGAAGTAGATTTCTGGACTGGACCGCTAGTTTGCTGAGAGCAGCCGCTGCCTGTGGACGGCGTCCTGTGGTCAGGGGACGGGTCACTCGTTATCTGCGTGGGGGAACCAGGAAGCTCGCTTCCTCTGTCACAGCCTCCAGTCGGTGCACGTCCGCCGGAGAATGGAGCGGGAGAGAGGCTGGAGCCCCTCAGAGGGAAGACGGGGCCTGGCACCCAGACTCGGTCACACGCCCGGTTTCCCTTCCGAACAAAGGCTGTGGCGCCAGCGCCGTTTGGTCAGACACGGCCGCGTCTGCTCCAGCGCAGGGGCTTCCCTGCTGTTCGGTTCCCTCTGGAACTAGAGATGGTGTCTTTCATTTCCACCACTTCCTCCCAGACCACTGCAGCCCTCCCCAGGCGCTGGCCATGTCCCATAGCAGCTCAGCCCGCTGGCCCCTGGCTGCTGACCAGCACATGCGTGCACGGGTGTGCATGTGTGTGTGTGCATGTGCGTGCCTGTGTCTCCTCAGAACTGCATCGCCACCCACGAGTCCAACGGCATCGACATCATCACGGCGCTGATCCTCAACGACATCAACCCGCTGGGGAAGAAGCGCATGGACCTGGTGCTGGAGCTGAAGGCAAGCGGCCGGGTGGGCGCCTCGGACCGGGCTGGGCTCTGGCTGTGGCTCTGGCTGCGCTGGTCACCCGGGCGCCACGGGGAAGCTGACGGGAGAGGCGGTGCTTCCACACCAGATGCCGGGCCCGCATGGCACCGGCTGCACGCGGCACGCAGCCCTCCGCTTCCCTGGAGGGGCCTGGGTCAGGTGGGCACACACGGCCAGCACTGGGTGCCAGGGCGAGCGGGCACACAGCTGACCGTGTGGACCCGCTGCTGCCCTACCAGAGGGTCCCCTCTATGCCTGCACAGCCTCCAGGGCAAGGCTGACGGCACCTCTGCTCCACCACCCTGGGCACAGGGGGCTGGGCTGCAGGTGCCCCGACTGTCCTTGGGAGGCACACGTTTAAATGCCCACTTTCCGCTAGAATCGCACCCAGTAATGCCGGGGGAAACGATGCCCAAACAGATACGTGTCTTGGACCCCGCCCGGCGGTGCAGACGTGTCCGGGCACAGGGGGCGCTGCCCGCCTGGAGCGGGTGCTTTTTCATGTGCTGGCCCGTGCCCCCTGGGACCGCGCTGTCACAGCCCCGGCCCTCACAGCCGCCCACGCCCGTCTGTCCCCCCAGAACAACGCCTCCAAGCTGCTGCTGGCCATCATGGAGAGCAGGCACGACAGCGAGAACGCCGAGCGGATCCTCTACAACATGCGGCCCAAGGAGCTGGTGAGCCGTCTGGGTGGGGACCGCACAGCCCAGAGCCAGGTGCCGCCCGTGCCCAGCTCGCCCCCTTGTGGGTGACTGACACCCTCGGGCTTTCTGGAACAAACCCACGTGGCAGGGAAGCCAGACGTGTGCAGGCGGGTGTGTGCACATGCAGGTGTGTGCACGGGCATGTGCTCTGGGCCCCACACCCTGTGCAGCTCGTCTGTGCAGTTCAGTGTCAGAGAGAACGGGCGGGAGAGCGACCTGTCTGACCGGTGTCGGCACAGCGTGAGCCGCGGGCTGCCGGGTCCCGGAGAGCCTTCCTGTCCGACATCCGTGCGGGAGGCCAGTGCCTTCCCAGCCGCCACGGCAAGCAAGCCCTCAGGCAGCGCGGCCGAGTGCTCTGTCCTCACTCTTGGGCTGACCCCACCTTGAGTGACAGGCTGCTTGGCAAACAGCCAGGCCCTCCCTCGCACCAGGCTGGGCCTGGAGGGACCGAGGAGGGAGGGGCTCGGGGCTGCTGGGCCGGTGGGGCCGGTGGGGCTGCTGAGCAGGTGGGCAGAGGAGGTAGGTGGGCAGGGGACGGGGGAGCAGAGGGGCAGGTGAGGCAGGAGTCAGATGCAGGGTGTTCTGGGAAGCGAGCTCTCAGGTCACACCCCAGCCCTGGCCTCTCACGTCCGTTTCCCCGAGTAAACGGTGTGAGCCGGACGTTCCCTGAGAGGCAGGGGGTCCTGTGGATGGTGCTCCTTTCATGTGGGCTGTGGGGTGGAAACGGGGTCAGAGAACCGCTTCCTCGCTGCCCCTAAAGGCCGGGTTTCCTGTGTGTCTTCCCTGAAATGACACGGGGGGGGGCGGGGGGCTGGCCGGAGGAAACGGGAGGAGGGGAAAGGCTGGCCGCTGCTCTCATCTGCGTCATGTTTGCCCTGAGTCACCTTGGGAGCTGTTGTCCTTCTGGAGGACAGAGCGTGGGCACAGGGTGTCTCCTGTCCGGGCAGTGCAGGTGCCAGCACTTCCCTGTCAGTGGGAGTGGGAGTGGGGGCTGCCTGGGCCACGTGGAGACGGAGTCCGAGGTGTGTCCATGCCTGATGGGAGGTGCTGAGCCTGGCGAGGAGGGGCCGCACCACGGGTGCTGCTGAGGGCAGCCCGGGGGTCCCTGCGGCTCCAGCCCGGGGTCCCTGCGGCTCCGGTCCGGGGTCCCTGCGGCTCCAGTCCGGGGTCCCTGCGGCTCCAGTCCGGGGGTCCCTGCGGCTCCAGCCCGGGGTCCCTGCGGCTCCAGTCCGGGGTCCCTGCGGCTCCAGTCCGGGGGTCCCTGCGGCTCCAGCCCGGGGTCCCCGCGGCTCCAGTCCGGGGTCCCTGCGGCTCCAGTCCGGGGGTCCCTGCGGCTCCAGCCCGGGGTCCCCGCGGCTCCAGTCCGGGTTCTCCAACAGGGCCAGCCGGGGTCCCTGACGGGAGCCGTGTCCCTGTCCTCTCTGCAGGTGGAGGTGATCAAGAAGGCCTACCTGCAGGGGGAGGGCGAGGGGGAGGCGGAGGAAGGAGAGAATGAGGAGAACGGCGAGGACGGAGCGGCCTCCCCCCGGAACGTGGGCCACAACATCTACATATTAGCTCACCAGGTACGCCCGCCAGCACGCCCCTCACTGCCGGGACCCTAGCCCATGTGCTCCCCTCCTTCACGCTGGGGTCATGTCCCTGGAGCACACACACACACACACACACACACACACACACTTCTAGCAGCCCTCGTGCCGGGCAGGACACGGAGACTGGTGATGACGGGCTGGAGACACTTGAAGGAGGGTCAGGGTCTTATGAGCATCGGGGGGGTCTGTGAGCCGTCACACCCAGCAGCTGCCTTCACGGCCAGCGCCCCCGGGACCAGCCTGTGCGGTGCGTCTCCCTGTTTGCTTGGGGAGGGCTGTCACCTCCGCCCGGCTCCCGGGCGCCCGTGGCGTCATCCTCTGCCAGGTGCCTGGGCTCTGGCGCCTTCCCCACAGGTGTGGCCACGAGGCTGGGCCGCGGGCCTGTCCCCCCCCAAAGGTCAGCAATTAGATGTAAGCCGGATGGTGCTGGGCTGAGGTCGCAGGCGCTGCCACTGGAGCAGAAGTGCAGCCTCTGCCTCAGCTCCTCCAGCCGTGGCGTTGGGCCACCGAGAGGCCCCTGCACGGAGGCCTGGGCTGGGCAGGACCCCAGCGTGGCAGGAGCGAGGCCTGGTTGGGACACCGCGCCCGCCTGTGTTGCAGCTGGCGCGGCACAACAAGGAGCTGCAGAGCATGCTGAAGCCGGGCGGCCAGGTGGACGGCGACGAGGCACTGGAGTTCTACGCCAAGCACACGGCGCAGATCGAGGTAATGGCCCGTGCCGGGAGGGGCCTGAGGTGCCTGGCCCCATGGGGGCTCCAGAGGAGGGGCGCCATTCCCAGGCGAGGTCGTGCCTGCGGCGGGCTCTGACCAGCCCCGGGGCGCGCAGGAGGCGGGACAAGCAGGAGGCGGGGCGGAGGGAGCAGCTCACGCTCCGCCTGCCCCCCAGATCGTCCGGCTGGACCGCACCATGGAGCAGATCGTGTTCCCGGTGCCCAGCATCTGCGAGTTCCTCACCAAGGAGTCCAAGCTGCGCATCTACTACACCACCGAGCGCGACGAGCAGGGCAGCAAGATCAACGACTTCTTCCTGCGCTCCGAGGACCTCTTCAACGAGATGAACTGGCAGAAGAAGCTCCGAGGTGGGTCCCACCGGCCCCGGGCGGCGCGGGCTCCCGGCGGGCACACGTGTCTCCCAGGGAGCAGAGCTGGTGTGATCCCGACACCCCCACCGCTGTGAGTGCGGAGTGCAGGGGCTGCCCGCTCCCCTGCCCCTCCCCCGGTCCCCACAGCCCAGCCCGTGCAGTGCTGGTGCCCTGAAAGGTGGGGTGCGGGGGCTGCCTGCTCACCTGCCCCTCCCCCAGTCCCCGCAGCCCAGCCCGTGCTGTACTGGTGCCCTGTAAGGTGGGGTGCGGGGGCTGCCCGCTCACCTGCCCTTCCCCCTCCCCTGATTCCCGCAGCCCAGCCTGTGCTGTACTGGTGCCCTGTAAGGTGGGGTGCGGGGGCTGCCCGCTCACCTGCCCTTCCCCCTCCCCCGGTCCCCGCAGCCCAGCCCGTGCTGTACTGGTGCGCCCGCAACATGTCCTTCTGGAGCAGCATCTCCTTCAACCTGGCCGTGCTCATGAACCTGCTCGTGGCCTTCTTCTACCCGTTCCGCGGCGCCCGGGGAGGTACCTGCCTTCACTCACGGGCCCCCCCCCAGGAGGCGCGGCGGGGAGGCTGCGACCTGCACCCCGGCACTGACCCTGGAAGCACCCAGACAGCAGATAGGGCCACAGGGACCCCCTCGGACAAGACGAGGTGTCCCCTCCTGCAGGTTTAGCTGGGAAGCCCTGCCCTGGCTCACTGACAGGAGGAAAGGGCACGCGGCCTCCCCCGGGGCCTGCTGGGAAACGGTCTCAGAGGCGGGGAGACACGGAGCCGGGGCGCACAGCTCGGAGGGCAGAGCCCGGAGGCAGGTCCCACCCCGCTCCTGAGTGGACGGGTGGCCTCGTCCCCCGGCCTTCGCTGAGGACGGGGACGCGGGTGTGGCAGCGTTCGAAACGGGCTCTGCGGGAGTCACGGGGGCTGAGTGTCAGCCACGTTGGCTCCGCTGTGTAACCGGCCGCCCAGGGCTCCACACAGCACTCCAGCGGCAGGGAGACAGCCCGTGTCCGCGCTCCGCCCGCTGGGGAGGCCGGCCGGCAGCAGACGCTGGCCGTGTGGGTGGAGCCCCGTCCCCGGAGGCCCCAGTGCGGACGGGGACCTGCACCCCCGTGTGCCTTCCATAGAAATTAGACATTTAGGGCTCCCGTCGCCTTCCCTTGTGAAATGTGACGCAATCCGACTTTTACTTCTTTTTTGTTGTGTGTCCTGAGGTTACTTTGTCACTGAATTTTTTTTTAGAACGAAAGAGGGGGGAGACAGAGAGAGAGAAACATCGATGTGAAAGAGGCATAGCGACTGGTTGCTTCCCATAAGCACCCCAACAAAGGCCAGGGACCAAGCCTGCAGCTAAGGTCTGCCTTTGACCGGAATCGAACCCCGGACCTTGCAGTCCACAGGTGGACGCTGTATCCACTGAGCCAAACCAGCCAGGGCCGTTCTGTTTCTTGAACAAGCGCATGATGGGCGCTGAAGGTGCTGAGCGAGCACTGGGAAAGCTGTCCCTTGCGGACGCCCAGGGGACAGCTGAGAGCGCGGCCCCGGGCTCCCGGGGAGGCGGGTGGGGGTGCTGCCCACTGGGGCGACCTCTGAGCTGAGACCCGGGGGCCGGGAACAGGCAGGGCTCCTGGCGGAAACACACGGGCGGGGCGGGAATTGGAGCCGAGCGCCAGGGCCATGCGGCCGGGGGGTGGCGGGAGGAGGCAGCGGGCCCCCGCCGCCCGTCCCTGCGCCGGCTGCGAGCTGCGCCCGTGACCGCCTGTCTCGCAGGGACGCTGGAGCCGCACTGGTCGGGGCTGCTCTGGACGGCCATGCTGGTGTCGCTGGCCATCGTCATCGCACTGCCCAAGCCCCACGGCATCCGGGCGCTGATCGCGTCCACCATCCTGCGGCTCATCTTCTCCGTGGGGCTGCAGCCCACGCTCTTCCTGCTGGGCGCCTTCAACGTGAGTCCGGCCTCGGCGCGCCTTCCCCTCTGGGCAGGCAGGGGTAGAACGCACCCCGAGTCCCTGCCTTCGCTTTCCCCGGGAAGTCGGGAGGGACGGGAAGTTAAGTCCCGCTCTGTCCTGCCTCTGGCGGGCGGTTTCGGAAAACGCTCCCTCTGAGCCTCGTCAGTCCCGTCTGTGCTCGTGTCCGGTTCTGTCGCACACGCATGCCGCTTGGTCACATGGCCCCACAGCCTTTGGACGACCACGTCGCTTGGGTCGTGCCTGAGAAGCAAAGTCACGAAATGGGGGCTCCCGTGGGCCTGGTGGGCACTCGGTGCAGAAGGAAGCGCGGGGGGGACACACAGACACACAGCCGTGCTCACACGCCTGCCCTCCCTCCCGCCCCAGGTCTGCAACAAGATCATCTTCCTGATGAGCTTCGTGGGCAACTGCGGCACGTTCACGCGCGGCTACCGCGCCATGGTGCTGGACGTGGAGTTCCTCTACCACCTGCTCTACCTGCTCATCTGCGCGCTCGGGCTGTTCGTGCACGAGTTCTTCTACAGCCTGCTGGTGAGCGGTGGACGGGAGGGTGCCCTCCTCCCCCCCCCGCCCCCCGCCCTCCCCCGCCTCCTCCCGCCCTCACCCCTCCCCCCGCCCTCCCCCCCGCTTCCTTCCGCCCTCCCCCGCCCTCCCCCCTCTCCTCCCGCCCTCCCCCTCTCCCCCCGCCCTCCCCCCCTCCCCCGCCCTCCCCCCCCGCTTCCTCCCGCCCTCCCCCCCTCCCCCGCCCTCCCCCCCCCCGCTACCTCCCGCCCTCCCCCGCCCTCCCCCCCGCTTCCTCCCGCCCTCCTCCGCCCCCCCCCCCGCTTCCTCCCGCCCTCCCCCACCCTCCTCCCCCCCTCCTCCCCCCCCGCCCTCCCCCGCCTCCTCCCGCCCTCCCCCCTCCCCCGCCCTCCCCCGCCCTCCCCCCTCTCCTCCCGCCCTCCCCCCCCTCCCCCGCCCTCCCCCGCCCTCCCCTCCCGCCTCCTCCCGCCCTCCCCCGCCCTCCTGTGGGCGTCAGCCCTCCCCCCGCCCTCCTGTGGGCGTCAGCCCGCACCGAGGGCATCTTCCCCAGGGTCCTTAAAGCACGGGAGAGGAGAGGGACAGAAATTGGCATGATAGAGACACAGCGATGGGTTGCCTCCCTCTCATGCCCTGACTGGGGCCGAGGATCGAACCTGCAACCCAGGCACGTGCCCTTGGACCCTTGACCCTTCTGGGTCTGGGGGCAGATGCCCTAACCACTGAGTAAGACTGGCCAGGACACAGACCCCTCCTTTCCATTGTGATGGCTGTGCCTGTGGCTCTAAGACCGGAGTGCCGTGGTGGGAAGGGAAGGGCCGCCTGTCTCCTCCATGACGTGGGGCCAGTGCTGGCCGCGTGCTCAGCCCAGAAGGCCCATCGCCGTCTGGCGTCCCCAGTGGCGCTCCCCTGCTGGGTGACCTTTGACCCACATCGGCCGAAGCCCTTTCTTGTTTCCTTTTAAATTCCCTACTTACCCCGTTGTGCACATGCTCCCCCCCCACCCAGTCTCACCGTACAGCCCTGAGCTCTGTGCTCAGCACCTCGAGACTGACTGCACCCCGAGCACCGCTCTCGTTTCCCGCCCCCTTCTCTGGCGACGGCCCCCCTTTCCCCTCTCACCCTGCGCTGCGGGGAGGGGCACGTGAGGAGAGCGGGGTAACCGCCGGGGCGCATCCCCTCGGGGCCTCTGAGCACCCCATCGCCCGTGTCCCCAGCTCTTCGACCTGGTGTACCGGGAGGAGACCCTGCTCAACGTCATCAAGAGCGTCACCCGCAACGGGCGCTCCATCATCCTGACGGCGGTGCTGGCGCTCATCCTGGTCTACCTCTTCTCCATCGTGGGCTACCTCTTCTTCAAGGCCGACTTCCTGCTGGAGGTGGACCCGCTGCCCAACGACACCGCCCTCCCAGGTGGGCGGACCCCCCGGAGGGCACGGCGCCCAAGCGCGGGGTCTCCCTGGTCCCGGGCGGGACCCGGGAACGCAGGCTGGTCCTCGTATCAGGGGCGCGGGGGGCGTGCGGAGCCGGCACTGAGCCCACACACGGCGGCCCGGCCGCCACGGGCACGGCTTTTCCCTGAGATACCGTGACCTGTCAGACAGGCTGGGCGGCGGGGGGCGCCTGCCGTGAGCGAGCTCATGCCTCACCGTGTCCTCTGTCTCCCAGACACCGGCGAGAGCCTGGCCAGCGAGTTCCTGTTCTCGGACGTGTGCCGGGTGGGGGCGGGGGAGAACTGCTCCTCGCCGGCCCCTCAGGAAGGTAGGCCCCCAGAGGCGGAGCTGGTGCCTGACGTTGAGTCAGATGGAAGCGGGGCCTCTGCCCACACATGAGGCCGGTGGCCGAGGGGGAAGGCTGGGGAGCCGAGGGAAACGAGGGAGAGAAGGCTCCTTGGGAAGAAAGGCCGGCTTCTTGGATTCAGCCAGGACGTCCTGAGGGCCCTCTGTCCACCAGGGGCCGTCATACTCTAAGATACAGTGACATGGGGGGACGGGGGCGGGGGCGGGGGGTTGGCGCACCGGGCCGGGCAGGCAGGTGTAGGTCACCTGAGAGCTGCTAAACGCTGGGAATAAGGATGGAGCACGGAAGACGGGCACCCAGCCTCAGTGCAGTGAGAGTATCACCAGGAAGTGACAGCTAAACCAGAACAGTGGACAAATCAGCAAAGGCAGAGGGCCAGGCATCCTGTAGAGGGAGCAGCCGTTGGAAGGCTTGGAAGTAGAATTCAGCAGGTTTAGGGAGGTAGGGTTTATGAGGAAGAAGAATAGCAAGAAATGGAGCCGGCAAGGTTGGCAAAGGATCAGATCACAAAAGGTCTTACATGTCAGGCTAAGGAGGTTACACTCATCCAGCGGGTGATTTGGAGTTGTTGAAAGCTGAGTGACATGATGAGATGTATGTTTCAGCAAGGCCGTTCCCTCCGCAGCTGGAGAAAAGAGTGAAGGCAGAGGGGTCACTGCTTTTTTCCTCCAAAAAGCAGTGGACAGCCTCCAGCATAAAGCGGTTTAATCAGAGGAGCCATTCTAGCATGCTGCCAGGCGTAGGCCCTACACTTGCGGTGTGGAGCCTGGGGGCCTCGCCCTCAGTGGAGAGGAGAGAGGCTGTGGCTCAGGGTACGAGCAGCTCCTCTGAGGTCAGACACCTGCTCGGCGCTGGGGCTGGAGTTTCCCCCGAGAAGGACGGGGAGTGTTTAGATTCCGAGGCGGGAAGGCAGGTCTGGCCTGGCTGCCTCCAGGAGGGATGGCTGGAGGAGGGAGCATGGGGCAGGGATGGAAACGGTGCCCTGGGCGTCAGCCTTTCTGGAGGAGGCGCGTGGCGCTTGGGTCTTCACATCCTCCTCTCTCTCTGTCTCTCTGTCTCTGTCTCTGTCTCTCTCTGCCTGCGTCTGCAGCGCTGCTCTCGGCCGAGGAGCCCGAGCAGGACAAGGAGCACACGTGCGAGACGCTGCTGATGTGCATCGTCACCGTGCTGAGCCACGGGCTGCGCAGCGGTGGCGGCGTGGGCGACGTGCTCAGGAAGCCGTCCAAGGAGGTGGCTGCGTCCCGGGGCCGGGGTGGGGGCTGGAGCACAGGCAGGAGCCACGCAGGCCGCCTGGGAGTGGGGTGCACGTGGGTGCCGCACCTTCCCCTTTGTCCGACCACTGACCGTGCGAGGGGCTGGTCCCGTCACACGCGAGTGACCACTTCCTCGACCCCAGCTCCCTGCCCGTGCGGGCCCAGGGCACTCAGAGAGTTCACAATTTATTGATTTTACTTTTTTTAATGTATTTTTATTGATTTCCGAGAGAAAGGGAGAGGGAGAGAGAGAAACATCAGAAATGAGAGAGAATCATGGATTGGCTGCCTCCTGCGCGCCCCACACTGAGGATCGAGCCTGTAAGCTGGGTATGTGTCCTTGACCAGAGTTGAACTTGGGACCCTTCGGTCCACAGGCCGACGATCTATCCAGTGAGCCACACTGGCCAGAGTGCACAACTTAGGAGGTATGAAAAGAGATACAGCGGTGGCCTTTTTAAAAAAATATTTTTATTGATTTCAGAGAAGAAGGGAGGGGGAGAGAGATAGAAACATTAATCATGAGAGAGAATCATTGAACAGCTGCCTCCTGTGCGCCCCACACTGGGGACTGAGCCCTGACCAGGAATCGAACCATGACCTCCTGGTTTATAGGTCAACGCTCAGCGAAGTGGTGGCCTTCTCAACAACGTTTGCCCTCCCGATTACGTTCTGCTCGAGGAGCTGACGGTGATGTGGTGGGGGACGGGGGACTGCGGATCGGGGTGGGGCCTGACCGCGCCCTCTTCCCAGGAGCCCTTGTTCGCTGCCCGCGTCATCTACGACCTGCTCTTCTTCTTCATGGTCATCATCATCGTGCTCAACCTCATCTTCGGGGTCATCATCGACACCTTCGCCGACCTGAGGAGCGAGAAGCAGAAGAAGGAGGAGATCCTCAAGACCACGTGCTTCATCTGCGGTGAGTGCTCTGGGCGGGGCCTGTGTGGGCAGGAGCAGGGCTGTGGGGAGGACTTGAAATGCGTGCATCTCGGGGTCTTGTCACTGGGGTGCCCTGAGCGACTCCCGCCCCACCAGCACGTCCTCCTGTAGTCAGGCCCGTCTCTGAGCCGAGTGGCTCCCAGTGATGTGGGTGCAGCACATGAACCCCTCCGCCTCAGGTGGCACTTGGGAGCTGGCTCAGGTGCCACCAGGCCAGGACCACACGGTGCAGGTGACAGTAGTGAAGGTCCGGGGAGAGCGGGTGGGCCCCACGGCCATCTCAGTGACCACAGGACGTCCATGTAAAGTAACTGTGGACAGACAGGCTGACAGGGCCCGGGAGCCCGCCCTCCTGTGGACAGACAGGCTGACAGGGCCCGGGAGCCCGCTGGGCTGCTCACGCCGCCTTCCCGCCTCCGCAGGCTTGGAGCGGGACAAGTTTGACAACAAGACGGTCACCTTCGAGGAGCACATCAAGGAGGAGCACAACATGTGGCACTACCTGTGCTTCATCGTGCTGGTGAAGGTGAAGGACTCCACGGAGTACACCGGCCCCGAGAGCTACGTGGCCGAGATGATCCAGGTGAGCGGCCTCTGCGCCCCCACGTCGCACGCCGACACTGATGCAGCGAGCGCCGGGCTGGGGGCCTGGCTCTGGCCGTCGCTGTCCGCTCGGTGGCCTGCAGAAGCAGCAGGCGGGCGGTGCGCCCCACTTCGCAGGAGGAAACACTGAGGCTGGGGCTTAATGAGGCCCTTCCGGATCGCGGGTGTTTTTATTTATTTTCTTTGTGTTTTTTGCCTTAACCAAGAGCTCGCCCGGCATAGCCCAGCACGGCTGGTTCCTGTTGGGCCAGCCCAGCCCTTCTGGGGGACCACGTGGCGGAGGGCCGAGTCCCGGTTAACCCCTGGCCCCTGGGGGCGTGGCGGCCGTGTTCTCAGGGCGTGGAGGCACCACGGGGCCCCGGCAGCTGTCCTTGGTGGCCACATCGTGGGAGAGTGGGGTGTGCATGTTAAAGGGGAAAGACGGCTCCCAGAACCACGGCCAGACTGGGCACCCACGCCCAGGTGACTCATCGCCCGGCGTCGCTCCCTGAGGATCACACACTGAGCGTCCCATCCATCATCCCATAGCCGCTGTGGCTGTTCCCACGGCCACGTAGACAGCACGCTCCCTGCCCTTCCTCTCTCTCCCCCCTCACCCCCCTCCCTCACACACTCACCCCCCTCCCTCACACACTCACCCCCCTCCCTCACACACTCACAGCTCCTCCCAGGGTCCCCGGTGCTCCCTCTGTGTGTCCCTGCCCTCTGCAGATCCAAACTGTCAAGGTCAGGGAAGCAAAGTGGCAGTGGCCGCCCAGCCACAGGTCCTGGTTCAGCCCCAGGGGTGCTCGGGGTAGCGGGGTGCTCGGGGGGTAGCGAGGTGCTTGGGGGGGCAGCGGGGGGCTGGGGGGGTAGCGGGGTGCTCGGGGGGCAGCGGGGTGCTTGGGGGACAGCGGGGTGCTCATGGGGGTAGCGGGGTGCTCGGGGGGGTAGCGGGGTGCTCGGGGGGCAGCGGGGTGCTCGGGGGGTAGCGGGGTGCTCGGGGGGCAGCGGGGTGCTCGGGGGGCAGCGGGGTGCTCGGGGGGGTAGCGGGGTGCTCTGGGGGGCAGCGGGGTGCTCTAGGGGGCAGCGGGGTGCTCGGGGGGCAGCGGGGTGCTCGGGGGGGTAGCGGGGTGCTCTGGGGGGCAGCGGGGTGCTCTAGGGGGCAGCGGGGTGCTCGGGGGGGTAGCGGGGTGCTCGGGGGGCAGCGGGGTGCTCTAGGGGGTAGCGGGGTGCTCGGTGGGTAGCGGGGTGCTCGGGGGGTAGCGGGGTGCTCGGGGGGTAGCGGGGTGCTCGGGGGACAGCGGGGTGCTTGGGGGGTAGCGGGGTGCTCTGGGGGGTAGCGGGGTGCTCGGGGGGCAGCGGGGTGCTCGGGGGGTGCTTGGGGGGGTAGCGGGGTGCTCTGGGGGGCAGTCAGGAGCCTGCACGCCTGGAAAAAGCTGTGCTGAGACCGTGTCAGTCGGGTCAGGAAAGCCCTTTGCAGCAGGTCCCGCAGGCCCGCCCTGCAGCCCGGAGCTGAGAAGCTTCAGCAGCGGGGCCTCTGCCCGCCTCGCTATCTGGGTTTGATAAGGCGGAAGCACAGCCAGGAAACGGTTTGCTAACAAGGGCAAAGGGCAGAACGGGAACCCAAAACCAACATGTCACGACCTCTGCTCAGCCGGGAGCCGGCTGGGTCTTGCACCTTTGACCCCCGCGAGCGGGAGCCGTGCTGTCAGGCCTGCAGGCGGCGCCCTGCAGAGTGGCCGCGGCCCGGGCTCCAGGGAGGTGGGGTTCAGGCCCGTGCAGAGCTCCTGGGCCTCAGGAACGGGGGCTGCGTGCAGGGCGGAGGGCGGCTGTGGAGGCCGCCTGAGGAGGGCGTGAACGGCGTTGCTCACAGGGCTCAGGGTGTGCCCCGGGCCCCTCCTGCCACCTGCCCTGTCTGCTCCACCCGGGCCCTCTGCTCGGTGACGGGCTGGGTTTCATCCTGGAGCCCCAGGGGCCGCCTCTGCTCCCGGAGAGAGGTCACGTGGGCGGTGCTCTCGAGCCTCCTGCCCACCCTGGGCAGCTCCCCCTCCCATCCCGCCGCCGTGTCCTGGGGCCCCAAAGCCCTCACTGTGGGTGAGGACCCAGCCCTCTGCCCTCTGCCCGACTCCCAGAATACACCGGGGCAGGGTTCAAGAACACGGCGAGGGGGGAGGGGGGACTTGGCAGGTGCCCAGCGGCCGGAAGCAGCTGTCAGCGTCTCGCCGCCTCCCCCACGGCCCGCCCGCCCCGTGCCCGGAGCTGCTCCCTGTCCTCCGCCCAGGCTGCCCGCACACCCTGCCCTGGGTCCCGGGTCCCGAGGGTGCGAGGTCCCCCTCCCCACGCACTTCCCAGGGGCCGCCCTCAGCCCGCACCTCCTGCTCTTGCCTCCGGGTGACCCCCCATCGGACCGTGGAGGGCTGGGCATGTCACAGACGTGTCTGCAGAGGGCCACGGTCTCCCAAGGAGCCGACCCTGAGGGGGGGCAGGCATCCGTGGCCCCAAGTGGCCCCTGGGCCGTGCACAGTGTGACCGGCAGGAAGGCGGGTTCACAGCCGGACATCTGCCCCCTCGAGTCTGTCCAAGGGCGTGACCTCGGCCCACCTCCTCCTAGAGTGCAGACCTCATGACTCTCCTCCGTGCCCCCACCCCACGCCAGGCCCCACCCCGCCCAGGCCCCACCGAGGCTCCCGGGCCCCCAACCGTCGTGGCCTCTGCTCGAACGGGGCTGTCGCTCGGAGCCAGGCCGCCGGGCCCTGTGCCTGGGTGTGGGGCCGTCCCTGGCCCGGGTGGGACTAGCGTGTTGAGTCCACGCTCGGACGCTGTCTCCTTAGACGGAAGCCCCCGGCGCGTCTCCGGGGCGGGAGGGCGCGGAGGACGCTGGTTCAGGTGCAGCCCTGGTCTCTGCCGGTCACACATGTGGACGGGCTCGCGGTTCTATACTGCGGAGCCAGTGAGCGGCCACAGCCTCTGCCGCCCGGAGCTCCCGCCCACGGGGCAGCTTCGCGTGGGGGGGCTCGTGGGCTAAGCGGGTCCGTGCGGGGGCAGGGGTGCAGTGTGGAGGCAGCCAGTCGCTCTCACATCCATGCTTCTCTCCCTCTCCTCCCTCTCCTCCCTCCCTCTCCTTCCTCCCTTGCACTCTAAAAACCAACGGAAAAAGTATGCTCTGGTGAGGATTAATGAGGAAGGCAGGCAGGCATGGAGAAACCACCATAAGGGCCGAACGCCACCCTGAACTCTGGGGACTGGGGTGTCAGCTGAGACGCCCTGCGGGGAGGTTGCCAGCAAAGACTGTGAGCCGGGGGGTGGGAGAGGGGGGCGGCGAGAGGGAGGGTGCTGGGCCCCAGGTCTCTGTCAGGCGTCCCCAGGGCCGGCCTGCCCTCGCCCTGCTGGGTGGCCAGCCCCACCTGCCTCCTCTGTGCCCTCCTGGGTCCTCCCCGGGGCTGGGGGCACCTGGGACCAGCCCCGGGGCCGGGAACCACCGCCTGAGGCCGGGGGACCAGCGGCTCTGCAGCCGCTTCTCGGAGGATTTCGTCAGCCGGCGGCCCTCCCTGCTGGCCGCGACCTCGCTCCCGAGATCGCCCTGGAACGGCCTGGATGGGCCCGGTGGATGGGCGGCCCTCCCAGCAGCTGAGTTACGTAAGGTGCTGCCGGGGAATGTCCTTCCGGCCCGGAGCCGCCCGCCGGCGAGACGGGAGCAGCTGCGCGGGAGAAAGTGTCTGGAGCCGCGCCCGCGGAGGACGCGCTGCCCGGACACGGTGCCCGAGGCCAACGCCCGCGGCTCTCCCCCGGGCTGGGCACTGGCTCCCTGCCTCGAGGGGTGCCTGCCTCAGGGACCCTCCTCATAGCCCTGTGCCCCCAGGCAGAGCCAGGCTGCCCCCTCCTGCCCCGGGCGGTGTCCTTCCTGCCGGCACTGTCGTCAGGGCTGCCATGGAAACGCACCGGGACCTGCGGGGATCACGGGTGGGGCTTGGGGGCTGGCCAACAAATTCCAGGGGTGGGACCTTTTTTCTTAATTACGGAACTATTTCACAGCAGCTCTAGGTGTGCAGACAAACGGAGCAGAAAGTGCGGCTGTTCCCTTGGTAACACTTTGTGTCCCCGCGGCGTTTGCTACAGCGGACGAGGCCACGTAGACACATTGTGACTGGCTGAAGCCACGCCACGGTTCACCGCTCAGGCGGTGACAGGGTCAGCATTGCAGCCGGGGGGACGCAGAGGTCACGGAGGAGAGAAAGGGGGGCCGGCCCACAAGGAGTCCCCCCACACACACCCCCTCTGTGCCGGCCTCGACACCCCGCCCCCCACCTTCTCCCTGTCCGGAGTCCGGAGCGGTTCAGTACTCTGCTTTTGCTACGTGCGTGACCCACACAGGAAATGGTGCCGAGCGACTGGCCGGTGTGTGATCGGTCACGGTCTCGCCGGAGCGGCCCTGGGCTGTGGTCTGGGCAGAGGGGGCTGGGGGGCTCTGCCTCTGCGTGGGGGCAGCCTCACTCGCCAGGCAGGGGACCAGTCTGCGTGCTCCGTGCCCCGCACCCCGCGCCCGCCCATGGGAGGGAAGGATGGCCTGCCCTCCCCACCTGTGGGCCTTTCCAGCATCAGTCCTGGTCCCACCGACCTCCCCTCCCCTCCTCCCCCTCCCCTCCCCCCCTCCCTCCCCCCCTCCCCCCTTCCCCTCCCCTCCCCTCCCTCCCTGGCACCGGCGTTCCAGAGAAGCCCCCTGTCGCCTGCTCAGTGAGATGAGCAGTCGGTTGCCATCTGAGCTGACAGGCTTGCCCGCTGGGTCTGCCCAGCGCCTACTCTCCAGGGCAGGAAGCCCGCAGCAAACAGTCTGCACCTGAGACCACCTCCAGGGCCTGGCCTCTTAGCACAGCCCCCACCGGCCTGGAGAGGACAGGCTTCCCAGAAGGAAAGCTCCTCTCCCCTTCCCTCCCTCCCTCTCCTCCTCCCTCCCTCTCCCCCTCTGCTTCCCCCCCTTTCCTCCCTCCCTCCCCCCTCTCCCCCGCTGCCTCTCCCCCCCTCCCTTCCTCTCTGTCTCTTTCACACACACACCCTCCTCTCCCTCCTCCCCCCTCTCACACCCCTCCCCCCTTTCCAGTCAAGGACAAGCCGAGCTGTGGTGCCGCCCCCGTGTCTGAGGCCTGGCGCTGGCCCGCGGGGCTTTTCCAGCTTTACCTAGAAGACAGCTAACCAGAGCCGAGCACTGTGGTCAGCCAGCTTCCGGCTGCGGCTGCGGCCGCCGTGCGCTCTGACACAGGAAGCGGCTGTGCCGGGAACGCCGGCCTGCCGGCCCGGCAGACAGTGCCTAATGACATCGGTATGCGCGGTGCCACAGCCAGGCGGCCGGGTGCACTGGGGCGGCCAGACCCGGCGACACATGCTCGGGGGACCCGGAGCCGCCCGGCCCCACCCTCCGACCACACACACCCCGGGATGAGTTCACATAGGAACATGACTTTCCCAAAAAATGCAGCCGAAGCCGAGACCCAGACTTTGATCTTGGACAGACGCGAAGGCGGGGTTCTGCCGACGGTCACCCGCCCGGGCCTGGCTGCTGGGCCGCGGGCGCAGGCGGCCGGTCGTGCCTGTCCGAGCTGGAGAGACGGGAATGGGTGTGGCGGTCTGCCTCGCTCACGGCACAGGGCGGGCTCCGTGCAGAGGGGTCCAGGGGTTCAAAGGGGTTCTGGGGTCAGAGCCACATGGAATTGAATTGCTCGTTTTTCTTTTAAATTACGTTTTTATTGATCTCAGAGAGGTAGAGGGAGAGAGAGAAACGTCAGTGATGAGAGAGAATCATGGATCGGCTGCCTCCTGTACGCCTCCCCACGGGATTGAACCCACAGCCCAGATATGTGTCCTTGTCTGGCATCAAACCCAGGACCCTTCAGCCGCTGGCCGACAGCCTATCCACTGAGCCACAATGGCCAGGGTGGGAAATGCTCCTTGGTTCTAGCCCCCAGGGCTGTGTGCAGGTTGAGGTCTGATGTACAGCCCCAGGGCCTCAGGCTGGGAGCCGCCCGCAGGGCAGTGCTGGCGGTGCCCGCAGCTGGGCTGCGTGTGGGGGCTGGGGAGGCCCCAGCTCTGCGTTAGGCGTTGGTGATGGAAGCAGAGGGGGACCTGCCTGTGCGGAAGGGACGGGATGCCACGGCTTGTGTCTACAACGCGGCACGGAGGCCGTGTCTTTGGGGTCTGAGGTTCCGTTTCCTGGGACGAGGGCCAGCGGGGAGACGAGAGGCCGGGTGGTGGGTGACGGCGGACACATGTGCACGGGTGCCTGGGCGGCCGTGTGCTGCAGGCTCGGGTCTCCCGCGAGGTCACACTCGGCACTCGGCCTGTGGTCTGCAGAGCCGGCTCCCAGGGCAGCTGTTTGCAGATCGGGAGCCTGTCTGAAAGGCGGCTTTCCCAGGTTCACCGTGAGAGAATCCTGGGAATTCAGAGTTCCGTTGACTGAGTTCAGAGGGTGTGATGACGTGGTTTTTTAAACGACCGTATCCGCCGGTGCTGCGGCTCCGAGCGGGCCTGCGCGGGGGGCAGGACACGGTGCTGCTGGCCCCGGCCTCGCTCCTGGCACTGACCCGCTCTCTGCCCACACGGTTCTAGGAGAGAAACCTCGACTGGTTCCCCCGCATGAGGGCCATGTCCCTGGTCAGCAGCGACTCAGAGGGCGAGCAGAACGAGCTGCGGAACCTGCAGGAGAAGCTCGAGTCCACCATGAAGCTGGTCTCCAACCTCTCCGGCCAGCTGTCCGAGCTCAAGGACCAGGTAGGAGAGGCGTCCGCCTGTGCGCACCGTGTACACACACACCGCACACACCACACACACACACACATGCACATACCACGCACACACACACCACACACCACACACACACACACACGCACACCACACACACCACAAACACACAAACACACACATCACCACATAAACACACACACACGCACACCACACACACCACACACACACCACACACACACCCATACACGCCCGCACATACCACACACACCACACACACACCACACACACACCACACACACACACATACACGCCCGCACATACCACACACACCCCACACACACACACAGCACACGCACACACCACACACACCACACACATCACACACACACGCACATACCACACACACCACACACACGCACACACCACACACACGCACACTCAGTCCTCTGTTTGAAGAGCCGTAGCCGTAGGTTCAGAACTGCCGGCCCGCACCCAGATGTGGGAGGCAGACATGGCCATTGGGCACAGCGGAGCGGGTGCGGCGGGCGCCTGTCAGATCCGAGTGGTGGCTCCCGGGGTGGCATTAGCGCCTATGGGGCGTGAACTGCTCGGCCCCGCCCTGAGTCTCTGTTGGGAAGGCAGCCTCCCTGTGAGTGAACTGGACATTGAACTATTCCTGCCCTGGCTGGTGTGACTCAGTGGATAGAGCGTCAGCCTGCAGACTGAAGGGTCCCAGGTTCGATTCCGATCAAGGGCCCGTACCTCGGCTGCAGGCTCCTCCCTGGCCTGGGTTCTGGTCAGGGCTCATAGGGAGGCAGCCAATCGATGTTTCTCTCCCCCGCTTCCGGCTCCCTTCCTTACACTCTCTCCAGCAATAGAAAAAACATCCTCGAGTGACGATTAAGTAAAAGTAAATCAGTCAGTATTAAAAAGAAGAAATTGAACTATTTTTTCTCAGGAGATGTTCAGGCCTCAAAGAGCAGGCGGAGACCAGTCCGTGGTCGGGGGCTCGGTCCGGCTCCCTCTGCCTCCGTTTAAAGGGCCGGGCTGTGGGGGTTTCAGCGCAGCTGCACTTCGTTGGGGAAAACGGCTGCTTTCGGAGGAACCAGGGACAGTGCTTTTGGTCTGAAGCAGACGTCACTGCAGAGGAGGGAGCGCCCGGCCAGGGCCACACAAGGCCCTGCCACAGCCCGAGGGGGAGCGAGTGAAGGTGTGGCCGCGCAGAGCGGGCTGGGTTTTAAGGGGACGGTTTGTGTGTCCTGAGGACGGCGGTGTAGATGTCACGTGGCCCCAAGAGAGATTCCCGACTGAGAGAGACAGCCACCAACGACCGGCCGGCACGGCCTCTGACGTCTTAAGGGCGATGAGAGGATCCGTTTGCCGGCAGGAGCTGGAGCTGTGTCCGGCTCGGCCAGCACCCAGCGCCGCGGACAAGGGCAGCTCCAGGGCAGCCTCTTAGTGTAAAGGCTCCTGGTGCCGCGGGCTGTTCGCCGGCACAGCAGCGGGAGGCGAGGCGGCGCCGGGGGGTGCAGGCAGAAGCTGGTGGGGCTGCTCTGCTCTGCCAGAGCCGGCTCAGCTGCTGATCCGATGCGGGCGCTGACCTCGCCCGAGATGCGGGCGCCGAGAGTGATCCCGCCCCGTGTGCCCCTCGCTGGGCTGGCCCCTCGCCTCACGCTGGTGTGCGGAGCAATGACCCTCGCTGGCAGCAGGAACGGTTTAGGCCGAGAGGCCCCCTCCCGCCCCATGGAGAGCACGGCCCTGACACTTCTCGCCTGAGAGCTGAGGGGGAAGCCGCCTTTCCGGGAACCTGACTCCTGGGCAAACACTGCTTCCACATGGTCACAGAAGGCGTTTCCCAGGAGCCTGAGAGGAGGACTCTGGTGGAAACGGCTGAGTTTTCTATAAGAAAAGGCCTCTTTGTTTCCTTGGGAGGTTTTGTACCAAAAATTAGTCCCAGCAAAAACCCAAGTTTAAGCATCGGCCACATAACAGACACTGTCCTAGGAGATGCACACACACCTCCTGCCGTCCCAATAGAGGCATTGCCCGTGTGGAGGGGGAAACTGAGGCAGCATCAAACCCTAGGGAACAGGTCTGATCCCAAAGCCCACGTTCCTCTCCCTGCTCTGCCCCAGTCCCTCGGACTGAGGAAGCGGAGACCCCGTTAGCTAACGAGCATCTCACACATGAGCCTTCTCACCTTCACGGCCTTGGCCGTCCGCACCCAGCCCAGGGCTGGGACCAATGTCGTTCATGCAGAGAATTAAGTCTGTCCCAACACCGGGTGCACCAAGACACCACCCATGGCAGAACCGAGGCGGGGAGGGGTGCCAGGACTGCCTCCGCTCTGCCTGGGGAGCGAGCACGGAGCTCCAGGCCGGGGCCGGACAGGCTCTGCAGGAAGCGCGCCTCCAGGGGGCCTGCACGCCGCTGGGAGGTGGGTGCGGGGTGTGTCCGCGCCCGTGCCTTCCTGTCCGCCGCTTCCCCGCAGGGGGCTGCAGGCAGTGCCTCCGGGTGTCCCGGCCCGGCCGGCCCCAGAATTCCCCGCCTGCGGGCGGCCCCCGAGGCCGCCTGCGTGTGAGGTGCAGCCTGTGTAGAAAGTGGGTTTCAGAACAAACCGTAACCACAGAGGTAAACCCACGGCCGCCGGGGCTGACGCACAGGAAGCGTCTGGCTGATGAGGAAACTTTCTGACTTTCCAGATGACAGAGCAGAGGAAGCAGAAGCAGCGGATCGGCCTCCTGGGACACCCTCCGCACCTGAACGCCAACCCCCAGCAGCCGGCGTGAGCCAGCGGAGTGCCCCCCGGCGCAGGGCGGGGCGGCGGCTGGCTGGCCGAGGCGTCTGTAAATAAACTCCGGTCGTACTGGATGTACATGATCGCTAGCCTAGAGGTGGGATGTACCTATTGTAATCAGTGTTGGCACGGTGACCTTCGTTTGTGCCAAGAAATATTAAAAATGCCTTTTTTGGAAAGGACTACAGAAAGCACCTGATTTGCACTTGAACCAGAGTATAGATTTAAAGCTATAGGACGTGTATTTTGTATTTAAATCTAGAGTAGCCAGTATTTATGTTTTTTATAAACTGTGCAATACGGATTCCGCGATCACAGTGACCCTTAGCCCCCGGGTCCCGGAGGGAGCCGTGTCTTTGAAGCTGGTGTTAATACGATGTGACAAATGTCCGACGATGCTGCTGCCAAAACACCGTGCTGGTGCGCGCAGGCCCGGCGGCCGAGCCACGGAGGCGCCTGTGGTGGCGCCGTGGGCCGTGGCATCGGCGCCCCACGCCTCCGAAGCGGCAAGCCCGCCTTCATTGTAAGAGCAACTGTAGCTTCGAAGATCCTTATAAGCTTCCGAATGGATCGTTGAAACTGTTGCTAAGAGGTAACCTAGAGGCTCAGGCGTTAGCTTGTGGCGTTAATAGACGTGCTTCAAGGGGGAACGCACCCTGCTGCCAATCGGTGAAGCTCCTGGTGAGTGTGGGTGTCTCGCCGTCAACACGCCGTCCGCCGCTGGTCTCCGAGTATCTGGTCCCAGCGGCAGGGGCTGCGAGGCGCCCGCTAGCCCCCGCGGTAAACACGTATCGGTTTTGTTTGTCACGTGAACTCTGCTGCGGATGGATGGAGAGTGAGAGGAACCTTGCGTATCTGTTGCTGAGTTGTGTACCTGGAATCATTTTATAAGAGACACTCTGCAAAAAAAAAATTTTTTTGAAAATGTGTTGAGAGCAGAGTTCCAACGAGGGAAGTCTGTAAATGCCTGTGTGAGGATAATATTTAATAAACGATGCAGACCACGGCGTGGCTGGCTGGTGGCTTCCTTCCGTGCGGCTGCTCGGTCGTGTTTTGGTTTAAAGCACAGCTGGTTGGTGAGCAGGTGAGCTCAGAGACACTTACCCGTCCGTGCAGACTACAGTAAGCAAAGTGACCGCCACCGGGCATCCCAGGCCCTCGCACGCACTGGATCTCAGGAGGCTGTCCTCCGTGGCCGTGGCCAGGGGCCCGCGAGCCTGAGGGTCTCACAAAGCTCCCGCCCTCCCGGGGAGGCCTGCCCTCGTGCAGGCCGGGCGAGGCGAGTCTCCCTGGCTTCGGGCAGTAACTGCCATTTCACTTTCTAAACATTGGAGTCAGTGTCCTGGGCTTGTGACAGACTTCGTGCCCCTTCCCCGTGGTTCTCGGCCTGCGGTTCTCACTCGGCTGTTCTGGAAACGACAGCTGACCTGCTGCGGGGAGGCTGGCCTGCCGCCCGGTGTGGACGCAGAGACACAGCGTGCGGCAGGCGCTGGTGTAAATGTGGGCCTGTCACGGGCGGCCGCTGTGGCCACCGCGCGCAGTGACAGCGCCAGGGGCTCGCCCGGGCGTCCCTGGGGGCTGAGTCCGCTCACCAGGAACGGGGTCCGGCCTGACCCCCCCGCGGGCGTGCACGTTGCTGGCGGGGGCACTGCCTGTGGGGCAGACCACACAGGGAGGCCCGGGCAGTGAGGCGAGCTCCGAGGCATGCGCCCGAGACAGGAATGCAGAAAGATGCACTACAAAGGGGGCCCTACACACAGGAGCAAGGTGGGGTTTTGCTGAAATAATGGTTTTACAGGTTTTAAAAACAACAGGTGCTTGGAAGAGGCTGGAGTGCTAGGTGGCCATCAGAGTCAGCTTTCAGACAGGGATCGGGGCAGAAGACGCCTCCTGACGGCGCTGGAGAGCAGCAGAGAGCACCGTGGTGTGGAGAGCGAGGCACTGAGCCCGGGGGAGGCCGAGGCACTGAGCCGGGGAGGGGGGGAGGCCGAGGCGCTGGCCCGGGGGAGGCCGAGGCGCTGGGCCCGGGGGGGGGGGGGCTGAGGCACTGAGCCCGGGGGAGGCCGAGGCGCTGGGCCCGGGGGAGGAGAGGAGGGGAGGCCGAGGCACTGGCCTGGCCGGGCTCCGAACAAGCGCCTCCTGCTCACGCCTCCCGGGCTCCCGTCCTCCCCTCGCAGCCCTGTGGCCGCCCGGCTGGCCCGGCGTCCCCAGCCCTTTCCCTGGGGATCTGCTGGACTGTGAGACTCTCAGACCAAACGCCCTGCGGCAGAGAAACCTCCTAAAATCGGTTCACAAGCCGGTCGCATGCACCCCCTCCGGCCCCTGCAGCGGTGAGAGCGGATCCCCCGCACGGAAACCCGCAGGAGGTGCTGCCGAGCAGCCGCTCCCGGCCCCTGCGCATCATGTCAACGCGGCCTCGGAGGCTGGAAATCCCCGTGAAGATTTCGATTTCACAGAAAGTACCCAAAATTCCACCACTTTTGCATCACAAAGGTTTGCCAGTTTTGAGTAAAATGCTGTGTGGTTTTGTGGGCGGCAGGACCGCCAGGCTCCCCGGTGTCCGCGGGCCGCACAGGCTGAGCCCTGGCCGCTTCCCAGCAGACGCCTCCCCGGGGCTGCGCGCTGAGCTCCCGCACCTGCAGGCTCGCTGGGCGCAGCCCGCGTCACACCCGCCCGCAAGGAAGCCCCGGCAGGTCCCTCCGAGCTCGCATCTTCTGCTCCTCTGATAAAACGAGTCCCAGCTCACCGTGTGTCACATTAAAAAGCAGCATCCGGCCAGCACGGCTCCGGGGCTGAGCATGGACCTCTGACCCAGGAGGTCACAGTGAGATTCCCGGTCAGGGCACAGCCCCGGGTTGCAGGCTCCATCCCAGTGTGGGGCGTGCAGGAGGCAGCTGAGCCATGATATTCTCTCTCATGGATGTTTCTCCCTCTCCCTCTCTGAAGTCAATAAAAATATGCTTTTTTTTAAATAAAGAAAAAGAAAGAAAAAGCAAAACCTGGCCCGAGAAGAGCCTGGCGGCCCTGAGGGTGCTGTGGGCCATGACGAGCATGAGAGAGAGAGAGAACGCTCGCACCTTGGGGGGGACTGCGAGCAGAGCCCCCGGAGGGAGGCGGGGTCCCCGCCACGGAGGAAACCCCCGGGGTTCTGGCGGCAGCGCCCACAGCAGAGTGCGTGCGCGGGAGCCGCCCTGGAAACTGGGCCAGCTCCTGCCGGTGCCCTCAGAGGGCGGCGGGTCCCTGCGAAGAACAGAACTTCCGGCAATCCCGGAATTCAGCCCGCTCGCTCCGGAACACAGGCAAGCTTTGGAGTCCTTTCCCACACACCAGTCCTGAGGCAAGCTGTCCTAGAAGCCCTCTGGGCCACCTAGCCGGTGTGGCCCAGTGGATAGAGCGTCGGCCTTCAGACAGAAGGGCCCCGGGTTCGATTCCGGTCAAGGGCATCCCCGGTAGGGGGTGTACAGGAGGCAGCTGAGTGATGTGTCTAACTCTATCCCTCTCGCCTCCTTTCTGTAAAAAAATCAATAAAATATATATATTTTTAAGTCCTCCAGGAGAAAACAGGTTTGTGAGAAACTGGAATGAGGTTTGGGTGCAAAGTGTTCGTCTCCTTGTGAGCCCACAGGGCAGCGTGGAGGATTGGGGGAAACCGTGTCCTTCTTTTCCAAATATGTTTTTATTGACTTCCAGAGGGGGAGAGAGAAACATGGATGAGAGCGAGACATTCATTGGCTGCTGCCTGCACACCTCACACTGGGGATCAAGCCCACACCCGGGCATGTGCCCTGAGCGGGAATCGAACCGGCGACCCCGCAGTGCCCGGGACCGCACTCAGCCAACCGAGCCACGTCAGGGCCGTCCCCCACTGAGGAGGCTCGTGAGGAGAGGCGGCCCTGTCCCGTGTCTGGCTCACACCCCACGCGTGTGACTTCCCGTTCCTCGGCCTCCCGCCGGTTCCCTTTTCTCATGCCTGTGCCTCCCTGCAGGCCCTGCGTGACCGGCGCTGCTTTCTGTTCCTGCCCGGGGCCGTTCCTCCGGGGGACCCCGGGCCGCCGCCTCAGAGGCCTGGTCACCTGCTAAACGGGTCCCTCGCATCCGGGTGGTGCCTGACCTCCGTGCGAGCCGAGCTCCCGGGGAGGAAGCCGCTCGCGGCCTCCCGCACGGTTCTCACGCGGACCAGGGCTGAATTAACAGCGACTTCTGTTTCGCTTTTTTTGTGAATCCTCAATCGAGGGTATTTTTCCATTGGTTTTTAGAGCGAGTAGAAGGGAAGGGGGGAGAGACATCTATGTGAGAGACACATCAACGGGCGACGGGGGCTGGGGATCAAACCCTTAGTCCTCAGGCGGTGGTCTCACACGGAGCCGCACCGGCAGGCCGAGTTCCCGCTCACACGTCGTGGAGAGATGTTTTCTCGGGGGTGAGGATGGGTTTCCGTTCGTGCTGAGCTGCCATGAGGCAGGCGCTGCCCGGTGCTGACCTGGACTCCCCGTTCAGCACCCTGTGAGCTCGTGGCTCACAGGTCCCCACGGGAGCCCGGCTCCCCTTCATCGCCCAAGGACCCCACGGGGTGCTGACAGCTCCTCTGTCCTTCCGTCTGGAGTCCTGCCGGCAGCCCAGTGCCCCCGTCCGCCCCGTCGCCTCGCCTCTCCCCGGAGCGGACGGGCGTCTCACAGGCGCTCTGGAGAGCACCCCCGGGAGGACCGCACCACGGGAGCTCTGCGCGTGCTCCCGCCCGGCTTCCCTGCCCGGAGGCCCCCTCCTCTCCAGCCTCACCCAGGGCCCCTTCCCCCGCACCGTCCCCAAAACAAATACAAGCTTCCCATCAGCTTCCCGAAACAACCTTCATCCGGCAGAGCCATCTCAGCCCGGGGCCTAACGCTCCCATCTAGACGGCCCCTGACCAAACCAAAGGGAAGGAGAGAGAGTCCGACTCCGAGCCACCGCCCTCACAGCAGACTGCTCTCTGCGCTCTCCCTGCCCTCCCCTCCCCTCCCCCCCCAGGGAGAGCCTCCGTCTGAAGGCCACGTGGTGGCCAGACCGGAAGGGCAGACCTGGAGGCCAAGGCCGACCGCGCCCACAGGGCACTGCCCACGAGGGGCCGAGAGGCCGAGAGGCCGAGCCCTGCCGGCCTGGAGGGAACAGCTAAGACGCAGAGGGAAGCGGGCACCTCCGGGTGGGCTGCTCTGCTCGCTGCTCACCCGCAGGCCCTGCCACAGACGGGCTCTGTGCACTCTGGGGGCGGAGTCCTCGCAGGCCCTCCCTTCCTCTGGGGTCCTCGGGAAGGGGTCTGCACTGGCCCGGAGGGGCATGCAGAACAAGCGGCCGTCCGCACTCTGCTGCTAAGCGACCATTGCATCCTGTAGCTAACCATCGTCACAGCCTCCGGCCGCAGCAGCCCTCCTCCCCGTCCCCTCCCGCCCGGGACCCCAACCTCCCCCCCTTCCAATCTGCAGCAATAAAGAGACCATCCCCGTGAGAGCGGCTGCCACCCCCAGCACCTCCTCCCGCGCCGTCTGCACCTCCCGCGCCGTCGGCACCCGCTCGGCTGGCAGCGGTGGAGGGCCGAGGAGACAGCCGGCATGGAGGGTTTGAGGAGAGGCCGGCCACCGGGGTGGGGAATCTCGGTCCGTTTACACAGAGCAGATGCACGTGAGAACTCTGCCAAGCATGATGCTCACACGGCACTGAGGCCGGATCCACGCGGCCGTGTGGTGTGTCGCTCCGGGTGCGTGGCATCCGGACGAGGCCGATGGGAGACGGAGACGCGGTCCGGAACGGGTTATCACAAAGGGACACGGGGAGGTGTTGGCGATGGAAACACGTCCGTTACGTGACTTCAGCGGGTTCTCAAAATTCATAGAACTCTAACCTAAAAAGGGGAAATTTCACTACATGCAAATTAGACTTCGGTTAACTTGACTTAAACTAAAAACAAAAAGAGTGGGAGGAAGGAAGGGCCAGACCCCAGACTTTGCATTTTAACCTGCACCCGGGGGAGGCTGAC